TCCTGCCTGTTTTGGGGGAGTAGAGCAAAAAATGCGAGCGTGCATGAGGTTCTGTGGCCAGCAGTAATGTGATCGAGTAGCTTCCTTCTCCATCCCTTGAGGAGTTTCCAGTGCGTGGTAGCTGCCCTTTGGGGAAGGGCAGCTTGGAAGGACACCGGGCTTGGAAAAAAAGGGGTCTTGGCAGGAGAACTGACAGGCGGGGATGTGCAGCTGCCGAGATAAGGTACCTGTCAGCGGTGGAGGCTGAGCTGCTGTCAGCAGGTGCGCACGGTTCTCCTCTTTGTCAGCTGGAAATCTCAACAAAAGCCCAGTGCCGTCCTCTTGCTTGCGCTCAGAGTACACAATTTCACTGAAGTGAGGTGCAAAAAGCACCTTTGTTCAGCGTTTCCTTTTATTCTCGAGTTGTAACTGGCTTGAGGGGACCTTGTGTAACAGTGGTGAGTACAGGACTGCTGGGGGAGAGGAAGATTTTGAGTCTTTGCCTTGGAAGTGTTGGAGAAATTGAGTAAGACTAAAGAGAAAGGTTAAAGATTGGGGGGATTTTTACTTAAAAAATAATAAATGCATTAAAAAGCCGGCCTTCATTTCACTCCAAGTCCTCATCTATCCCTCCAAAGGGAAATCTTTGTCCTTGAGGACTATGTCATTAAAATGTTAGCTGGTCTAACCATGGATTACTTGCACGTTTCCATAGTAATGACACTTTCCAGAGCTTTATATTACGGTCTGTAGGGTATTTACTGTATGTCAGCCTTTCTGAAACCCGGTACCTGTCTTAAAAATCTTCTGATCTGTTACCTGCTTGTCACAATGTGGAGGGAGAGCAGATTGAACACTTCAGAAAGAAGGTTACTAAACAATCTGGTGGAAGTGCTGAGTGACTTAAAATTGACTATATCACAGTGTTTGATGGTTGTGGTTATTTGTAACGCTAAGATGGAGTTAATCCTGCGTTTAAACCTGCTGAGCTTTCACTTATCTGGCCCGCAGCCCTTGGAAAATACTAGAAGAAAAGAGTTAAGTTATGGAGACGTGCTTAGACTAAGTGGCATCTGTCTTAAAACTGCGGATGAGAGTTTAATTAACTGGCAGGTTTATCTCGTACACAAATACTGCCTGACTTGCTGCTGTTTGGGATGTAGCACTTGGAGACCCCAGGCATTCTTGTTTTTCATTCCTCCTGACTTAGTGCCATTGAAAACGTACACACAAGGCTCGGTGGCTCTTCAATCGTGCACACTTGTGAGGTTTTTGATTAACAGCCTAACTGGGAAAAGTCCATATATTGTGGAAGTCACAGTGTACTTCACTGAAGTTAAATTTGGGATCGGTGCAGCCTGTTGGTGTAGCCTTAATTTAAAAAATAAAAATCCACCAGCGCTAAACTTCAGGCGCTTGCCAGCTCCCTTTGTTGCCTCAGTGTTGGAGGTGGTTTACATATCGGGGAGTCTGTTAAACCTTGAGTAGCCTTTTTTTTTTATGACAAAAAGCAATTCTGTGCAGCCAAGAAAACATGACAAACATTCCCTGAGCAAGGCCCAGCGGCTCGGCCTGGCTCCCTGAGGAGCCGCAGGGCCAAAGCTGCCTGAGGAGCGGGCCCTGCCTCCAGCCAGCTTGCTCCTTTCCCCCTTTTCAGTCACGCTGATGTGGGATTGGGATTTAGCTCGAGCTAGGCTGCTCGGGGAAGCTGGAGAGGGCTAAAGAAAGCAAGCCCAGAGGTGGTGGCTCGCACACAGAGGCCCTGTCATGGCACCAGCCCTTGGGATCACCCTGAGGCGCTGCAGGTGTCCCTGTGGCCTTTGGGGTTTGGGAAGGTCCCTGTGGTAAAGCCTTCCCCAAGACATGGGTGAGGGCGGGATGTTTGTGTTTCTGGAGCTCACAGTCAGTTCTTTAATGGAACAAATAGCCCCATTGTGCTGGTAATCACTTCAGGTCAGCCTTCTTTCTCTCCCAAGAGAAAGGAGAACCACCAGGAGAGCTGGCTCTGAGCGCGGCTCCTTTAGAGATGTGTTGGGATTGTGCCTGCGACTAGATCACAGTTGGACCCGGCGACAGGGAAAGGAACAGGGCTGCTCTCAGAAGCATTTCTGTTGACTTCAGGCCAGCCTTCTTTATTGTAGGATTTTTAGCTCTCTGATGTGCATCACGCAAAGTACATCAAACTGCATTTTTTAAATTTAAATCAAAATATGGAAGACTCTTTAAGGCTCTTCGTCATTTCTCACAGAAACATGTTGGGATTTCTCCTAGCAGGGATGTGCACATGTCAGAAACACTGAAACGAATGGGCACGTTAGCTTACTGGGCAAGGCAATAAAGGGCCTGCCTCTGTAGCCAGGAGAGGAAAAAACCTATTGCTATTCTAAGAGCTCAAAGTACTGAAAGTAAAGAATGATATCCACGGCTCTCTGGAAACTGAGTATCCACCTTTTGTATTTTTAAAATGTGCAAGCTATTAAAAGCATTTTTTAAAAGTCTATTGTGAAAAGGAGACTGGCTTCCATGAGTCAGGTTTTACAGGAACTGGTCCAAGCCTTGTTCTTCTCCCTGAAGAATTTCCTTCCAGTTTCCTCTGCAGAATAGGGTTCTGCAGGCAGCTGTGGTATCGAGAACTGATACCCACCTATTCAGGAAAAGAAGACCCGCCTGTAGTAAGGACACTTGGTGAAATGTCTAGTGCTCTGTGTCCATACACCAAGCTCTTGTTCCTTACCTTTCTGGTCCTTGTTAGTTTGCTGTTCTGTGCCCGGTGCTTTGGAGCGAGCCCTAACAAAGCTGCTAAATAATTCCACAGTGTATAAAGGAGCAAGACTTAATCTTACAAGAAGGGCTAGAGAAGTATTCAAGTACCTCAGAGAATACTTGAAAGCCTCTTCTGGAAAGCTCCTATTACCAGCGTAAAACAGGCTCTTACACAGTAAAATACCTTGAGATTTTTGGTCCAAGCCTTAATTTGCAAGACCCAGTGAAATCATTGCTGGTGCTGGTATCATTTTAAAGAACTCTCTACATGGTTGTGTGCTTTTTATATATATATATATATATAATTTTTCATGTATTTGCTGGTGATTCAGAATCTACAAAAGATTCTGGAGTAAATAAACATCTGAAGGTTTTGTACTCGGATTTATTACTGTTTGCAGATAGTGGTGATACGCAGAACGACTGCTTGTCTTACTGCTTGCTTAGAGAGTGTAGAGCAGCAAACCCCAAAAGCGATGTGGGGAGGAGGGAGGACTTGAAGACCCTTCGGATTCAGGAGCTGTGTGTAGGGGAGATGGAGCAACGCAGGGCTCTGTAAGTAAAATTGCATGTCCAGGCTGAGAGCTTGAAGCAAAGGAGGGTGAGACCCGTCTCCTGCTCTCAATGGCACTTTATCCGAGCGCTTCGTGCTGCACAAACAACTGCAGTGGTTGAGCTGGGAGTACACGAAGCCTCCCGACCAGGAAGCGACTTCACTGGATCCGAAGGTTTTCACCTTCCTTTTATAACAAGCCCAGTTATTGCCTCACTAGATCTGTGCACACCTGAAAGCTCCCAGCTCACCCCATAAAAGGAACCTGTATGCTGGGCTGCACTGCCCCGCACCGCAGCATGAATGCTGCTATCTGAATCAGGTGTTTGGTCAGCAGCCCCAGGGTGCAAATGTCTGGGTCAAGGTTCAGATTTAGTTTAGATTGGCTCGATTAAAGTATCTCCTGGTTTGTCTGAGAACAGTGAAGTTACTGTGCTGGATATTCAAGATGAAATGGCATTTGGAGCTGCAGTTGAAGCGGTGTTTTCTCTTCTTTAATGTGGGAGGTGTGGCCGGGAGGTGAGCAGATGGCTGGTGCCAAGCAGCACACCTCTCGGTGCTAAGCACTGGGGCTGGGGATGAAACTCTTCTTTCTGCTCGTTTTATTTGTGTTTCTGCTCGTACGCCGGGGTTGCGTGCACCTGAAGGGTGGCTCTTGTCAGCGCACATCGGCCCTGCTGGTGGCTGTGGGGCTGGGGGCACAGATGCTCAGCATCTCATGTGGAACGTGTTGGCAGATCTCTGAGTAGCTGCTTGCTGCCTCTGAATTCAGATGCTACCTGTCCCTGCAAAACACTCGGCTTGTCCCCTGAAATGCCTCAAAAATGCTTAGTTTCAGTGGCGGCATTGGGAAGAGACCCTCAGCCTCTGCAGAGCAGAGGAGGGCACTCGAGATACCTTCCCTGAAGAAAAGAGCGTAATGCGTTTGTGCTGCCAGACACGTCTCTGCCGACACAGCAGCGTGCCTCTGGCTGTTGAAATAATCCTGCTGCGGGACTTAGGATCGTGATAAAGTTGTTTGCATAGCTGCAAAAATTGACCATGGGTTGCATTGGTCTCAGATAGGGGAATTCCGGGCAGGAATGCACTGGGCCTGTGTAAGGAGGTGCTGCCACTAACAATGGGCTGATGTCCCTTTTCCCATGAGTACCTATCCAGAGAGTCACAGCTTCTGTTCCTAACGGGGAGCCTGAACAAATCCCGCAGGGAATACAAACCTCGGGCCTGAGATGGATGTGCTGCTGCCCAGCCAGCACTTCTCTCGCCAGCAGCATTTTGCCCTCTGATGGAGAGCTCACCTGTTTGCTCTCCCGGGTTGCCATAAGGATTGGTGATGCCTTAGCAACTGCAGCTCTTCCATAGCTGTGCGCCGTGCCCTGCAGGCTGTGGCTGTCAAACACAATACGCCTTTGTGACTTGGTTTTGGAGGTTTAGGCAGGGATTGCACTTGTAGTCATGCCTGAGCCAGCCTTCCTTTTCACAAAAACTCGTGCTTCCCCTTACGCCTTCCCCGTATTCCTCAAGCATGTTTGGTTTGAGTGCTGGGAAATCTCGGATCACACTGCAGCAAATGATTTCAAAACTCCTTAAAAATTAAGAATTCCACTTAATTAAGAATGTGTCACTTTTTCGCTGTCATATTTCCTAATGTTGCAGTGATTGTTTCCCCCTGCTTACCTGTCTTTAATCTGTTCTTCATTTTCAGCTCTTCCTCCAAAGCCCCCCAAGCCAATGACTCCAGTCAATACAAATGGGATAAAGGACAATTCCAGTTTCTCTCTGCAGGAAGCAGAGTGGTACTGGGGGGACATCTCCAGGTAAGCAATATTTACGACTAAAAATAGAATGAACCTGTTAGGCTTCAGGAGAAAAAGAACGTGCCTATTTTAGACAGCGTTTTGCAGGATGAAAGTGCTTCGGGACTATGCTTGGCAGAGCACCTAAATGCTAGAGCATTCAACTGGACTCAAGACTTGCGTTTAAATTACTGTTCTGGTACGGATATTGTCAGTCCTGGTGACAGTTATTTTGGGTTTTTAACTTTCTCCAGATACACAAACTCTTTAAAAAGGAAAAAAAAAAAAGAAAAAAGTGCTTTAGAGTGTGCTGGCTAATAAGGTTTTCTAAGCCTGTGGTGCTGGGGTGCATGGAGTTCAGCAAACCTTCAGTAGGAGGCTTGTTCAGGATAACAGGACTAGCATTTTTATTTGGGGTTTCTTGAACATTTGGTTAAAATTACATCTGTATTAATTTCTATTACACAGTAGTATAAAAATAGCTCTTCAAAGTGCTAACTGTCACCAGCTAGCCATAGCAGATGGCACAGACACGTACCAAATAAATTAGGTTTTGCCCCTTAAGGAAACACCTTTCTGTGTGCTCGGGAAAATAGATGGCTTGGGTTAGGCTCAGAAAACGAAGTGCAGGTTTTTATGTAATTAATTGCATAAAAGAACTGCAGTATCCAACTCTGTCCCTCTGAAGATGCTTCTGAAAAGTTTAGGATTCGGAACAGTAAGGGAAGACACGAGCAAGCTGGGATTGTGATCAGAAATTGCTCCAACTTGTGCACATAATACTTTGAAACACTGTCGGATAAAGGCCAGAACAGCCTGTTTGCCGCAGTAGTTCAATGAGGTTCTGAGAAGGGAAATAAAGTTTTCATATCTTTATTGTACCACCCTTATCTCTATAAAGCCAACCTGCATAGATCTTGTTTTTGAAGGGCCTGAGCAATGATATTTTTCTGTTAAGATGAAATCAAAGCAGAGTGGCGAAATCTGATCACAAAGCCCACTCGGCAGGGTTTGTTTACAACACCTCAGTACTGGTAATTCATTGACTGTGGGTTTGGTCCTTGTTTACCAGTGCACGTGATGGCAGGAGCGAAGGCAGCACAAATCATTTGCAGTGGCTCTATTAGATTAAAATGTGACACACACGCATAAAGCTGGTATTGTTCGTGGCCTTAAATTGGCAGCCACCAGCTACAGATTGCATTGGGCTGTCAGGTCAGGAACCACGTTCTTTAGTCCAGCACTGCCTTGAAAACCATGCCCTGAGCTCCAGGATGCAAATTGCAGGCATGAGCCCCAAGCCCTTGGACTGTATTTATCTGTTCAAAGAGTCAGGCCTAATCTGCAAAACGTTCAGCAAGAAGGAAGCTGATCCACACACCGATCCTTAGGAGTCAGTCTGACTAACAGAGTAGTTTTCTTCAGGTAGCCAAGTCAAAACTGAGGCTATTTGGTAAGAATACTTTTGTTCCTTAGTATTTGAACAAAAAAGCCACTGTTGGCTTTTCTTTGTGAAATTCCAATAGGCTTCCTACCTCACTTAGATAATGCTGAGGCTACCTGATAAACTCTAGTTTCCAAATGATTGTATTAAAAAGCGCTTAGTGCTCTTAAGAACCTGTGAGGGAGCCGTTACAAAGCATGATATGTAATCTGGGTGAAATGTTCAAACCTGTCAAGACACTTAACTCTTCAGCTGAAAGCATTTTCTTAGTGCTTGTAGGCACTGGCTTTCACTAACAAGTTTCTGGATTTAGCGTAAAGCTCTGGGCTGAGTATTCCTTTTGCTTCAGTTGTAAATAAGTAAAAGTTGCACCGAAGCTAGCGAGGTTGTAGTGGTTTCAAACTGCTGTAAATAAGATCAAGGTTAAGCCAATAATGAGTCTCTTGAGACTGGAACTGTGCTAAACTCTGGGCACCTTTGAGAGATGGTGCTAGAGCCCATTTCTTAAGAGGTCAGGGCTGGCTTCTCAAAGGGCACCTGTTTCCAGTGTGGACTTTAAAACCTGAGCAGATTACAGTGAAAGGTTGTGAACTCTGAGACACAGCTGCTACTGTTGCTTAAAAACAGACTCCTTCCTAAGCTGCAGTTGACTGCAGCTGCTATTTTTTACTGTAACTACCCAAGTTCAAACTTCTTTTAGATGACCTAGAAGACTGGAGAGCCTGAGAGTGAAGAAAGACTGCATGACATTTTGAAGACTGAACTCCTTATGCATGCTGGTGTTACTGGCCCCAGTATTGATAACTGTGGTGAAGATGATCGCGTCCCTAAGGCTTTTTATTTTACTTTCCACTCCCCAGGGAAGAAGTAAATGACAAATTACGAGACATGCCAGACGGAACATTCCTGGTGCGCGATGCATCGACCAAGATGCAGGGAGACTACACTCTGACGTTACGGTAAGCACTGGTCAGTTGTCATCCAGGCAGTAAAACCCTGAGCAACTAACTAGTTACTAGACCAATGACAGCAGTGCCTATATAAAGCTGACATGGCTCAAGTTGAGAGATGTTTGCCTGGTGTTGTAAGCATAGAATGAGCCCATGAACAGCCAGTCTGATAGCCTGTTCTGCTCTGTGCACCGAATCCTGCCTCTCGCTGAGCAGTACTGTAAGGATCTCTCTGTAGATGAAGTAGGACTTGGGGAAGGGAGCCCCTCAGTAAACATTCACAGTTTCAGAACTGTTAAGGCATAAAGTATTTATAAACTGGGGCTTTAGTTTATGGGAGTGAGTTGAATATCTCATCAGCATGCAGCTCTAGAGATCTGAACACAGTGCCTTTGTTAAAAGAGTATCTCGTGCTTTCTGATCTAAAGTTTGGGAAATATTGAATTGGATCCATGCTCCTTTCTTCATTAAACTCGTCTACAGCAGTGAGGCAGCAGACCTCATGTGACCAGCTGCTGGGGCCTTGCCCAGCCGGTACAGCCACTTGCCTTTGCCAGGCTCTCAAGCCTGGCTGTTAGAGGCAAACAATCGAGACACACAAGCTGCTGCTGCTGCAGCACGCCTTGGGGAGTTGCTGTGATATGGCAGATATTTGTTCTTGCCTTGAAATTCAGTTGATTTACGGCAAGTGTGACCCCCTACCAAGGGTGTAGTTTAAATTCTGCTCTGACTTCTGTTTTGACATTCAAGACTTGTATGCTAGGATCTGGCATGAGTTGGTTATTTTGCTGAATGCAGGTGTCTTTGGGAACAAAAACTGAGAGTACAAGGACAGAATATTGTCCAAACAGTCTGTTGGGGAAAAAAAAATGAAGAAATGAGCAGTATTTGTGGGAACTGCTGGGATGTATAAGTCTGGATAATGTAAAGTCCTGAACTTACAACCATGTTGTAATCTTCAGGAGATTTTGTTTAGTTTCATGTATCCTGTACTAACATCCATAACTCAAAAGACTTGTTAATCACCGCATGACTGTGTGCTCAGATGTATACTGTTAGTGACCCCGAATTGCAGGAAATTTTGATTTGGTTTCAATATGGCTCCTTTACTCAACCTTCAGCATCCATCCTTTCCTTTTCAAAAAGTCTGGCTAAGGCATGTCGTAAATATTGCAAGCTGGCTCCAGAGTGAGCACAAAAAAAAAAAAAAAAAAAAAAAAAGAGAGAGAGAGAATTACTTTGGGCTTTGCTCCCGTTCAAATAATAGCTGTTGATAATTCTGTGTGCATTGACTCTTAAAGTGCCTAATACCTGCTAGCATATAGAGAACCATATAAAGGCAGGCATGTTAAACTGTCCAGCTTCAAAGACTTGCCCAGGAGCTTCCCTGGTGTCATTGTTAGCAGCCCCAGTGTTGGAGGGGATGGGACGTTTGCAGTAAAACCTCTAAATGACTGTGCTGCTTTACAGGAAGGGTGGCAACAATAAACTGATAAAGATCTATCATCGGGATGGAAAATACGGCTTTTCTGATCCACTGACGTTTAATTCAGTTGTGGAACTGATTAACCACTACCGCAATGAGTCTCTTGCTCAGTATAACCCGAAGCTTGATGTGAAGTTGATGTATCCAGTGTCCCGGTACCAACAGGTAAGGTCTTTACGGGACACAAGTAACTATTAGAGCAGACAAGAAAAAAAGTGCAACTAGTATGTTATTCTGTTTTCTCTACGTAAACATTTTTTTTTCATACAAGGTTCTTTTTTTGAAAACTTGCAAAAAGTGAGTTTTCATATTTGACCTCACTTTGCTCATACTCATGGTTCTTCCATTTAAGCTGCTGCTTCATTTTATCAAGCAGTCCAACAGTGAAGTGAAACCCAAGCATGCAGCAGACTTCAGTCTCTGAGAAGTTTTTTATTGGGCTTTTTTTGAGCCCTTGTGGACCCAAAGGGTACTGCTCTAGACAGTGTTGCTCTTGAAGCACGTATGAGCACATGCAGCTGCTTGTTCTATGTATGGCCATCTAGATTTTTCAAAAATATTTTCATATATTTTATTCCATAGCCTGAGACATTGTCCTGCTCTAAGGAAAAAGGACTGTGTTTTTAAAGAATTGTAATCCTTAACCTCAGATTCCAAGCAATTCCATTCCTTCTTTCTCTAACAGTGGACAGGAATGCTAGCCAAGCTGTTGTGTATTTTCAGAGGCTTAGTGTTTTGGTATAGTCCTTGGTTTCTCATAGTTCCAGTTGCATTGTCTGTAAACTGTGGAACTTAGTGTGTGGAGAAAGGGATTTACATGTGATGTTTGTGTGTTCTATAGAAACATGATGATAAAAATGCTGCAATAGCTGTAAAATGCAAATACACACAAGTGGACAAATGAAAATTCTTAAGGAAAAGCTGCTTGTTTGAAGACTTAATAGATTTTTGTATGTACAGGATCAGTTGGTGAAAGAAGATAACATAGACGCAGTAGGTAAAAAGCTTCAAGAATACCACGCTCAGTATCAGGAAAAGAGTAAAGAGTACGACAAATTGTATGAAGAATATACCAGAACATCACAGGTTAGTTCCACTTCAGCTATCTGTAGAGTCTGTTTCTTGCTACCTAAAAAGTAAAGAAAATGGCTTTAACCTGCTGTGGCTAGCAAAGTTAATCCAAGGGAAGAAACTTTGTAAATTGTGGAAATTTGAAAGGTGGTTTGAAGGTTGATAGAAGCACAGTGAATATTACTTGTTGCTAATAGCCAGAGAGCTGTGGTGTGGGACAAGGTAGGAATAGGAGCTGAGCTGCCTAAGGTAAGGTAGAGAATGGAGAAAGCCATCACCTACAAGCCTTACACTGCAGACTTCTTCCTTGGCTGCTGAATATTTCCAGCTGCTCCATGCTGCAGTGAGCATTTTAGAAGGGTTTGTCCAGGTTCTGGGAGAAGTCAAGTTTAAATAAGATTCCAGATATTGTGCATTAAGGAAGTGTGAATACAGTATTTGGACTGATTCTTGTAACATAAGATAGTTCATACATCAGGAGGTTTGCTGGCAGTCTTCCTGCATGCTAAGATGGAAAATATGACTAAAATATTTCTGAGGGGTTTGCAGCCTAACAGAGAGCATCATCTGGAGGGAAGGAGGCACTAGACATGCAAGGAGCAAGTCTTCCCTGTACTTCTGTGATGCTGCTCAGGCAATTGTCTAAATTTTAAACTGATTAATCACCTTTTGACTTGGGGCTGACTGGTTCATCCAACCAGTCAGTTTAGGGAACATAATGGAGTCTTGTGTTGTCTGTTTCATGAACAAATGATGAAGGACTTTTCCTCACATAGGAAATCCAGATGAAGAGGACCGCAATTGAGGCGTTTAATGAAACTATTAAGATATTTGAGGAACAGTGCCACTCCCAGGAGCGATACAGCAAAGAATACATTGAGCGATTTCGCAGAGAGGGGAACGACAAAGAAATTGAACGGTAGGCTCTCAAGTCATGTTTGCTTACCACGAAGAGTTAGTGTCCACACTGGCACTCCTATGAAGTTTATCTACATTGCATCATATAAAACTCTTTGTAAACTGAGTATTGTCACTGAGACATTTCCCCAAGGTTTCTGAACCTCCAGTAAAGGTTCCTTCCTCTTCTGCTGGAAATTTCAGGCAGGAGATGTGAGAGATCTCTGGATTATTCTGCCTCTAACTTCACATTAATCAAGATACTGTGATCAGGACCAGAAAATAAGTTCATTTGCTTATCCCAGTTTCATTTGGATATGCTCAGAATATAATTCAGAAAACTCTTTACTTGTAAACTGTGCAGCATTAAAATGAACATAGATCTGGTAAATCTGATAGTCCATAATCGGTTTTAGTCACTTTTGAAGGAGCTCCATATTTAATTGCCATTACTTGAGAGTAGATATTAATCACCTACAAGAAATTCAGTAAGGACCTTGTTTGAATTTGCCGTTCTCTGAAGTTACTAGCAAAAAAAGGTTGTACCTGGACTTTGAAGAAATGCCAAGTATAACACATAACTAGACACAGTGCTTTATGAATCATGGTAGGGTGGCCTTGGGGAGATTTTTAGGCTGAAAACAGTTACCTGTAACAATCGTATTGTGCCACGGTGCTGCTTCATTCTGACTAAGGATCAATTAGCAGGGGAAATATGTTATTTTCCTGAAGTGTAGAAACCTGCAAATTAACCCTGGATGAGGAGACATGCAGCTTTACTTCCTGGTAGCTATTAATCAGTAATTGGAGTCTGCATTTGTAAACTTGCTGGCAGTAATACCTGTGGAGGGATTGCATAACTGATAGACCAGAAAGTAAACCTGAGGGTGGAGAAGAAGGAATCTGTTCTAGCTTACACTTCTTGAGATAATTTGTTCCTGTGGCTCTGCCAAATAGTTGAAAGTAAACTGAAAGCTCAAACTTTGCAAAGGGGTGGTAGGCCTTCTGGCAAGTGGTCTCGCACTTTTCTGGCATTCTCCCAGTAATGTTCGTGCTAAGATGTGGCAGTCAAAGGGAGGAGGTGCTGTTACAGTACGGCTCATGATACTCTTACATGCAGTGTTACTGGTAAGGTTCAGTCCCTTGTAGGCTGGGTTGTCCTCACTGCTCGAATACTACGCTTATTTGCAGGATAATGATGAACTATGAAAAATTAAAATCACGCCTGGGCGAGATCCATGACAGTAAAATGCGTCTGGAACAGGATTTGAAGAAGCAAGCTCTGGACAACAGGGAGACTGATAAGAAAATGAACAGTATCAAGCCTGACCTAATTCAGCTCCGCAAAATCAGAGATCAGTATCTTGTGTAAGTAAGACTGACCTGTACCTCTAAATAGTGTCTCTGAGGAACCTGACTAATCACTGTTTCCATCAGGGTAGTGGGAATTCAATTTTCTTTTCATATCCAAAGTTCTGTCAGTGCTTAAGGTAATTTACTGTGCCAATAAAGGGGTCATCACAGAATAGTATGGAAGGAAGCAGAAGTTCTCTTATAGAATCTGTGGTCTTTCTGTGGCTCTTGCTACTGGAGAACAAACTAAGCTCCAGACTGTTTCTATGTGGGATCTTTTGTCTGAACTTTAACTTGCTCAATATGAAAACCCCCATGCGTACTCTGAAGTAACATGCTAGTGCTCTCTTCTTCTGGCAGATGGCTCAATCACAAAGGGGTGAGACAGAAGCGAATAAACGACTGGCTGGGGATCAAAAATGAAAACATTGATGAGTAAGTGTCATACATATGATTTCACTGAGCACTGTTCCATTAATAAATGGTATCTTTTGTGGAGGTTGGTAACGTGAAGCACCGATTTCTCAGTAAAGGACTGCAGACAAAGGAGGCATTCTGTAGGGGAACTGCATGTCATGTGAGGCAGCAGCTCTGCTGAAGTGTTTAGGATCACAACTAAGTTGGAACAATGAAGTACTGAGTTGAAGCCTGTAGTATGAAAGGCTGTCAGCAGATACCAAATGATTGTTAGGAGCCTGGACTCCCAGCTTGGGTGGCTTTATATTCCTTTGAATGATTTCCACAGAAATAAATCACTCAGTTTATTAACTCTTTACTATGCACTGGCTAAGTTAACTAATTTTCCCTCTCTCAGCACATACTTTGTGAATGAAGAAGATGAGAACCTGCCACATCATGACGAGAAAACTTGGTTTGTTGGGGATCTCAACCGCATCCAAGCAGAAGACTTGCTCTGTGGGAAACCTGATGGAGCATTTTTAATTCGAGAGAGTAGCAAGAAAGGATGTTATGCTTGTTCTGTGGTGTAAGTCTATTTTCCCTTTTGTTATAACTGTTCAATTCACGAATCTCTACCACAGCTCTTTATTCCAGAGAACAAAAGCAAGGCTTACTGTAGCCCTACCATTGAAATGTGTGGCTTGTTTGCAGGATGTCTAGCGTAGTAGAAATGTTGATGCAGAAATCTGCATTAAAAGTGCAGTACCTGTAGTCCAAGCAGTCTCTTTGGACACCACAATTACCAGTACAAAATTCTGAAGTATCCCCACTTGAAGCTCTACAGTCACAAGCAAATTAAGGCCAAATTCTCCCATGTTCTCTGCCAAAGGAGCACATGGGAAGAATTAAAAAGGGGCTGTAAGCTGTAACGTCTTCTGCTCTCATTTATAGACATGCCAAACTCCAGGTGTTTTCTGTGTTTAAGATAACAGTGATGCTTCAGAGGAGACATAATTCGTGAGCAGTAGTTTTTGACATTCACACAGCCTTGCATTGATTTCTTGCGTTTCGCTTTGTTTTATGCTGCTGTAATGGAGGTCAGAAATACTCTGATTCCATTATCTAAAAATCCTTCAAGCCTGTTCTTGAGTGCAAAATGGCTTTCACTGATGTATTTCACATGAGGTTAATTGCATCTGAAAGCAAGTCTGGGAAAGGAATATGTGAGGGTCTGTCACCTCAAGGTAACTGAAGACTGCAGGATCTGCTGGGGTCAGGATACCTGTTTGTCACAGTCACTGGAGTGACAGGTTCACCAGGCACATTCACCTGGTTGGTATCAGACTACAAGATAGCGAAGGGATGGCATAACGTAACCTGTTCCTACATGTGACTTGGATTGTAAAAGGCTCCAGCACAGGGATTACATAATACTTGATCTTTTTGGCAGATAAGTTATTCTAGCAGCTTTGGAAATACTGTGTTCCAGTAAAGGCTTTGCCAAGTTAGGGACTCAGTCGCTATGACTTCAGATAATGAACCAGCTTGAACCCATGCCATGCTCAACATTAGAAAATGAACACTGAAGGTTAGTGCTGGATTTCACGAAATACTGTGTAGAAGAACGTGTGGGTTTTGGCTTCTGCGCTAAGTGGAAAGGTTTCCAAAGAAGCTGAGCACAAGGTCTGCTGCTGACTTCAGGTGCTTATCTTCACGGTTAAGCTCTTGACTTTTTTTTTTCCAATAAACGTTTGGAGAACAATGCAGCAGGGAATTGTACTGCTGGGATAGAAGAGCCTCCTTATGTGGATTATTATGCAAGAGTGTTTAATCACACGCCCTGAAGCACTGTTTCTTCGCAGACTGTTAATCTCCTCCGCTCACATCTACTGGGTCCTCCATTATGTAATTTAGTGACTGGCAGGTTGCTGCTTTAGTTAATTGTTAATAGACTGTCACTTTGGGTTTGTTCTTTGATGTCAAACTCCCCTGTTTTCTTTCCTTGCAGAGCTGATGGAGAAGTGAAACACTGTGTGATCTACAGCACTCCAAGAGGTTACGGGTTTGCAGAACCATATAACCTGTACAGCACGCTTAAGGATTTGGTTCTTCATTACCAGCAGACGTCCCTCGTCCAACACAACGATTCCCTAAATGTCAGGCTTGCCTACCCTGTCTACGCACAGATGCCCCCCTCTCTTTGCAGATAAATTTTGGGGAGGAGGAAAGTGTTGGTTATCTTGGATTCTTTTCTACAATTTTTATTAGAACTTGGAGGGCATTCTTTCTCCTTAGACTGCTTGTTTTGCACAAGAAGTGATTCTGTGAATGTGAATCAAAAAGAGGCCTAGCAGCAACAAGACGACAACTTGGGTGTAGGTGTCCTGGTGCTACCTTAAAAGCTCAGCTGTGCTTTTACACTGATACTTGTGTTTCCTTATGAGGGGAATAAACTCAACAAAATGCATACAAAAATACTGGAAGCAAAACATTGTTTTCTGGAGATAATTTTTTGCCAGGCACCTTCAGTGGAACTTCTAATTGGATTTTGTTTTCTCTTGTTCTAGCAGAGGCGATTCGAAGCCTCTGCTAGAGGCATCAGTAACGTCTTTCAGTCTTAAACTCCCAAGAAACTAGGGGGGAAACTCTACCACAGCAATTCTTCTCTGTTAATTTTAGCAGCTTCTCTGCGATTCAGCCGAACTTCCAAAAGAGGGCTTGTCTTGAGGTAGCGTGGAATTTGGTGAGAGAAGACCAAAGGAATTACGGGAAAGCTTCAGGTTTTTATTTAAATGGAAAAATGCTTGTAAAGAAAAGTCGCTTTATTTTTTTGCCAACAGTGACAAAGTTTTGGTTTCAATGGCACTACAGGTCTTCACTTAAAGGAAACGTTTATAACCAAATTGAACACACCAAAACTTTGTTTGTTGCTAGATTGAGCACTTACGGGGAAGGTTGCGTTAGCATCCGCACATACTTTCTACACCAAAACTTGAAACAAATAAAAGGAAAAGCTAAAACATTGTGTGGCTTCAAAACACTAAATTTGTCTGATCTGATGTAACTGCTCACTCTCCTCTTTTCCTCCTCCCCTCCCTTCCTCCCGTTCCTCAGCTTGGGATTCTGTTTCCAGTTTTTAAAGATGCTTCAGAATGTAAACTAGAACGAAGCTTGCACTCGTGTTGCTGTTCTCTTGCTGAACAACGACAGACTCTCCTAATGCTTGATTTTGATGTAAAAGAGGTAGGTGCAATCTAATGCTTCTGGATGGCTTACTGTACCAAATTATTTTCTGAGGAGTCGCCACTTTGGCTGTATAGAAGTGTGTGAGCTAATTAGAGATCTCCTCCGATTTGTTCTTTGCAAGCTAGACCCTGAGCTTCCACACCACTGCCACCAAGCAAGATTTTACACCGGTGTAATCTGAATTCCCTTGTAGTTTTGGACGTAGTGCAAAAGGGGAAGGAAGGAGCGCCGTGCTCCTCAGTTACTGGGTGTCGGGTCCCATCCTTTGGCCAGGGCTGCTGTCAGGTACTGGAGCAGGTAGTCCCGGGCTTTGCCGAGCGTAACAATCATCCGAGAAATCCCCTCCCTGGAAAGTATACAGAGCAGCTTATTTCCATTCCTTAAGCTTCTGAAATGAAAAAGAGCTAAGTTTGGCAAACCGAGCCGCTTGGCATCAAAGCGTAACTGGCAAATTAATTGTTCAGTGTGCAACCTTGAAAGTTACTTTTGTTCCCATTACTGGAAGCGGTCCCCTTGAAATGCACCCATTGTACGGGACAGGAAGCAGACAGCCGCGCGGATCTGAGAATGTTCTAGACCTGTTTCTGACCCTGTGGCTCATTTCCTGTTTAAATGTGGCTTTTCTGTAATGCCTAGGGAGGAATGCCAGGCCTGTTGGTGTCGAATGTTTACACGAGAAGTATTATTTAGCCGAATGTCCTGAATTTGCAAGCAGGGAAATGACAAGCCTGGAGCACTGATGGCCATTGCCAGGAGGGGAGTCCAGGTGCCTGGCGTGCCCGTGATATGTTTTATTTTGCACTAATGACCCCGACGCTTCCCAGGCACTTTCTGATCAGCTGGAGTGCGGTCTGCTGGCAAGGAGCTCCGTAAATGCCACTTTCCGTGAAATGAAACACCACAAGATTGAACCAAAGCTTGGAGAGAGAGAGAAGGAAGCTCGTGCAAGCTGCCGTGTCAGAGTGACCTGCATCTGCTGGTGTCCCTTCTGTCCCACTTCCCTGAGGAAAGGAAAAAAAACAGAGGTAGCCTTTGCTCATAGTGAAAATCTGGAATGGATTCCTCTGTTGTGTGTAGACGTGGAAATTTTTCTTTTTAACGACCCTTGCCCTACCTCTTGGAGAATTTGCAGTTCTAATCTGGTCGCTGTAAAGCCGTCGCTTTCACACCCACGGGCACCTGGCGTGCCCCTGGTGCTGGGCTCAGCCAAACGCCCATGAGGGAAGGCAGTTCAGAGGCACAAGTGACAGCCAGGAGCCTAATTCCTGTGAAAAAATCTGTGCGAGAGGAGCGCCCTTTTTCTGTGCCTCTGGGATCTCCTCTTGAAGCTGGTGGGACACGAATTTCTGATCCCTGCTCTTGTGAGAGGGACACTGGCTGAAGCACTCCACATCTGCCACGTTTTTAGATAGCGCTCGGCCTCGGGTTTGGTTTAGACAAGCGCAGATCTGCTTCCAAGCTCGTAAATCCCGGCACACCCTCGCAGTACTGACAGCAGCGGGGTAGGGAAGCGGGGCTGGCTGAGGTTTCCCCGCAGAGGAATCCCACTGATCCTGTGAGGTCTCGGTGCAGGCTCCGGCCCCGGCCGTGCCAACGTAAACACCGAGTAATTCCGCTGGCGTCTGGCGGTGCCTCGGCCGTGCAGTGGTGTGAGCGAGCTCAGGCTCTGGCCCCTCTCCCCGAGATCTCTCCCTGATGGCAGGTGATGGATTCGCTGTGAACGACGTGCTCAGAGCCAAAAGCCATCCCGAAGGATTTCTTAGAGGCTGCTCTGCCCAGGCCTCTGAAGCAGGGCAGATGGAGCCCACTCTGCGTGCGCTCGGCTCCTTTGCCCTCCGCTGAGGGTTTGTTTTGCCTCTGCACCTTTCTGCATTTGCTTTTAGGCACCTGAAGTCGCAGCCGCCGGCACTGCTGCCCTCGACCCTCACGTGCCATTGCACAGATTCCTTTCACGTCCGCTTTGCACTCGTATGGCAAGTGAAATGGGCACAAAACCGCCCGGCACGGGCAGCTGCTGTCACCCGCAGGGTGAGGGCTGAGTCCTGCTGCTCCGGCAGCACCAGGATGGGGAGAAAACCCCTCGCGTCCCGCAGCGGGGTGCAGGATTACACCCTAGTGCAAAACCCAGCTGCTAAGCCTAGAACAAATACAGGAAATGTGAACGCAGAGGCAAAACAAAGGGACTCGAGTGCTTTTAGAGCAGGAAGGTGCAAGAACGCTTCGGTTTCAGGAGTCTCAGTGGCGGGAGGAAAGGGGGGGAGAGCCCCGCTGGCGTGGCAGCCGCTTGGTGTTGGGCTGCGGGTCGCCCCTCGTTGTGTTAAATGTATATGTAGACTTAAATAAGTAACTTTTGCACAGTGTTAAAGGGGGGCGGGGGGGTGGGAATGCTGAAACTCTTAATATGCACAGTTTCTTCTAATCTGTTTTGAAGTATATTTGCAGGGATCAGGGGTGAGTCAGTATTTTGTATTCGGATGGATGGGAAATCAGGTCGACTTCCACAGTTGCCATTGGCCCCGTTACATCAGCCAAGAGTGCCATGTTTCTGAAGTTAGTAAGTCACAAATCTTTTCCCACTCGTTTCTTTACTGCGTGAGCTTAGAACGGAAGGAAGCAGCCTGGAAGCAGAGGGGTGTCTCGACAGACACTCGGGCTGCTGCGCGGCGCTGTGCGACGCAGTGACTGCCCGACGCAGGGATGCTCCAGATCTGGGGCTTGTAGTTCTTTCTTTTCTTCTTCTTTTTTTTTTTTTTTTTTTTTTTTTTTTTTTAATAATTCTCAGCTGCTTTGCACCGCTGGTAGTTGCAGTTCAGACCCGGTGCAGCCCTCTGTCTTATGCCAAACCCAAGATGCTCTTCCCACCCATCTCTCGGTGTGGCAGAGCTGCGAGAAGTTTTCCATGTAACGCGCTGGGCCTGAGCCTTTTCTCGCTGACACTCATGCAAGCAAGAGTCTCACAGCAGAAAGCCACGGTCAGGAAAAGCGCTCCTATTTAATCCTACCCAGATTCATCGTAGCTGGGCAAAAAGCAGCCTCTGGCCATTTGCAACGCCAGGCAACTGTAATGGGGACTGTGGCAGGGCTTGGTGACACGGGGTTGCCCTGACACTGGCTCCGGAGCCTCGGGCAGCAGCATCGCTGCAGCAGTGTCACAGCTCAGTTTGGAAAAGCCCCTAATTTGGTACTTGAACAATCTCTTCTGGTTTTGAATGAATGTTTCTTTTTTTGTTTTGTTTTGTTTTTGTTACACTACCAGGGAATAAAGCTCTGAAACGTCAGTGAGTCTTGTACGTTCGCTGCACTATGCAGACACAAACAGGTACTGGTTGTGGGCGGGGAGGCTACGAGGCAGGTTTAAATGCAGCTTTACACAGCATTACGATGCGGCCGGCTTGTTTTGTTTCAAATCAGACTTTTTGTATGCATAGTTCCCTCCTGTTCCTTCACAATATCTGCTTTTGGACCAGCAAAGTGACAAAGCCTTCCCAAGGGCGAGCAGTGCAGGGGGGCAGCGGGTTAGGCTCACCCCCATGCAGCACTCCGAGCACGGGGAGGCTGCCTGAGGCTTCAGGATGCAGTGACATCCCGAATCGCAGAGGTTGAGGCTTCTGCCAAAAGAAAGCGGCGATGCCAGAGCAGATCCGTGTGCAGTGCAGGGCTGGGAGGCACTGGGCGAGCTGATTGTGCTCCTGCGTGTGCAGGAGAAGCAGGCAGGAAATTAATAGAAGGCCGTACGGCCTCGCTCCGGCCTGGAAGGAAACTCACCTCGCCGAGCCCCTGGTTTTCCTTGGCACACCTCGTGCTGCCAGCAGCAGGGCCCCGCGCTGCCTGCCCAGATAAACGCGAGCCTGTTCAGCCCAGCCGGCTCAGCACTGAGCGAAGAGCATGTTTGGATGGGGTGAGAGGAAGTTTGGCCAACATTTTTGTGAATCTTGCGTTCTGCGGGCAGAAATACTTTCCACCGAATGGGAAGGGAAAAAGAAGGAGAAAAAAAAAAAAAACCTCTTTTGAAATCTTTTCAATTCCTTCCTGTTTGTTCACAGGGCAGATAGCAAGCATTAGCCCTGTGCTGGTTTACTCCGTGGGTGACAGCAGTGCTGTGGGTGCTGGGCTTCAGGGCTGGCTCCATCCCATTAACGCGGAATTTGCAGGTTTTATCGCTGTGTTTTGTGACTTGAATCGCCATTTGTTCTAAAATCTGCCTTTACAAAAATGTAATGTGAGCATCAGAGGCAAAAAATAAATAAATAAAATAAAAATACTTCTTATTGATAGGGGAAAAAAACAACCAGTATTTGACAAAACAGCTTTAACTCGCCCCCTCCCCAACCTTCCTCTCGTATCGCTTCCTCAAGGCTGGCAGCCGCTTGCCTCCGGACCCAGCAGTGCTGTACCTGTGCCCGGATTCGGAGCAGTCAGAGCAGGGCCTTAGGGATCACTTGGAAAAAAGGCTGGTGTCCGGAGGCAAGGCTGCCCAGGGGACCTCACCCCAGTATCGCTCTGGTGGCTTCACAGGAGCCGGGCAGTGCTCGGGCCAGCAGCAGGGGCTCAGCTCAGTGGGCCGGGGGGGTTGGGTCCCCCCTTGTTTCCATGAGCCACTTCTGCACCGAGCAAGGAGACGTTGGACTAAACCTGTTAATTTTGTATATCTGGCTGTTTATTGCACCACGGGATTGTAATGGTCTGCATCATCTGTGTGTGTGCGTGTGCGTGCGTGTGTCTCTGTGCTGTGTGTGTAGGTAGGTGTAAGCTGTAGTCACAGGTTAGAGGCGTCAGCTGCAAGTGGCACTGCCCCGTGGGAAGGAACCAAAACTCACCGCTAGCACGGTCGGGCACGCGTTTGGGCAAAGTTGGGCTCCTTTCTGTCAAACGACGAGGGGTTGGTTGTGCTCACCTCGAATCTGTGCTTCTGAAATCCCCTCTGGGGGGCTGCTGGTAACCCGCTCTGCACCTGGGCGTGCCAGGGGTTGGCTCTGGGACAAAGCACTCACAGCCGTTCAAAGCGAAGGGTTAGGTCAGGAAACCTTGTTCCTCCGCGATGCGCTGAGTGCCTGCACGTTCCCCACGAATCGTCCCGGCTCCAGCCGATGTGCGCGGGGTGCTGGTGCTGCTGGTACTGGTGTTACTGGTGGTGGTGGTGCTGGTGCTGGTGGTGTGTGTCCCTTGTGAGCGGGCTGCCCGTACAGGTGCGGTTCGTTGTACAGCCTGAGTGGGCGTGCGGTCTTGTAGCGAGGGCTGGCGTAACAGCGCGCTCTTTGTACAACCTTTGCGTTCACGTTTCTTCTTCTTCTTTTTTTTTTTTTTAACCTTGAATTCTATTTTCTTTAAGGGAAACTGCATCTGTTAGGAACCTGCTTCTCAAGAAGCCGTTGAATTATTTTCTTTCTGTATGAATTCCAGCATGTAACTTTGGTACTCTTGTTTGTTATTTGTGTAAAACCTGTTCTTCTGTCGTTTATGGTGTAGTCAAAAAACAAAAAAAGAAAAAAAAAAAAAAGAATTCATGTAGTTTAACTTTTAAAAAAGAAACAAACTGCTTCATAAGGAAACCAATTGTATGTTAGTGTTTTCAGACAAGTCATACTGTAGTTTCTAGATCAGTAATGCAACACTGTACTTGTCACCAGATGTGTTACGATTTTGCTGTACTTTCCTTTCATAGATGGTTGGGCTTTTAAATCCCAGACACTAAGCATCCTGGGCCTACTTGCTCTAGATCAAACATGCAATAAAGAGTTGCAATAAAGCACATTGACATGTAATGTTTTAGAAGGATGTACTGACAGCTGTTTCTAATAAATTCAGAAATGCAGCGTGCTCGGGCTCTCGGCGTGTTCGCTGCCTTCGTGCCTGCCGGCCACGGTGCTGCGCCTCGCCCCCAGCAAAGGGAGGGCATGGGGCTGGGACTGCCTGGGCTGGGGACAGGGGCAGGGACCCCAGGGACAGCAGGGACCCGAGGGCTGGCAGGGGACCAACGGGGGTGGCCCCTCGGGGGGGACACGGGGAGCAGGGCCGCAGGGAGGGCTGCAAAGCACCGAGTCAGGTGTTTTCTGCCTGCTGCTGAGTCAGCGTTTTCACAGACTGAGCTGACGGCTCCCCAAAACACCACGTCAGCATTTCCTCAAACTGCTGAGTCAGCCTTCCCGAGCGCTGAGTCAGCGTTTCCCCGCACCCCAACCCCGCTGGCCCTCAGGGAGGGAATTGGGCACCGGAGGCAGTGGGAAGAGGCTGGGGGCGCTCCTGGGGCCTCGCGCTTTTGTTTGTTTCTCTTCTTAAATTTACTTTGTTGTCCTAAAGGCTAATGAGGTAGAGTTACAGGAAAGATGTAAGCCGCTAATTGGCGACTCATTTCGCTCAGGGCTTTGCCAGCCGGGTTGTTTCATTAGGAAAACATCGCAGCCGGGAGCCGGGGTAGGAAATTTCCAAGCGGCCGCGCTGACTGGATGGAAAGAAAAACAGCACCCGGCTTGGGCAGCTTCTCGCGGAAAGGGCAGATCCCGGGATTTTTCCATTCTCAGCTGCACCACGGAGCTTCCTGAAAGGCCCTGGGTTCGCCCCGAGTCCCCGGCAGGAGCTGGGACAGGGGCCTGGAGTCCCCGGGCAGGGCAGGGGTGCAGGATGGACAGACAGACAGACAGGGATGCTGTCATAAGATGTTCCCTTTAGGGCTGCAGCAAGAGATTCCCAGGGACGCGCTTCCCCATGGGGGGAGAAAGCCTGGAAACAAGGCCCTGGCTCGGCCTCGAGCTGCGATTCCTCCTGGCACCTCCCTGCCGAAGCAGCGGGGCCAGACGCTTTCAAGTAACCGGGTGGATCAGGGTTGGTGCAGACCCAGAATCCCCACTGCACAGGAGAGCTTCTTGTCTCGCTTGCCGGGTTCTGTCCAACTTGGAACAGAAAGTTAAATACAAAATTTGACGCCGGACACTATTTTGTGGGGAAAAAACACAACAATTTGGGTTCAGCTGGGAGGGACTCGCTCCAGCCCCAGCCCTTCCCTACCTCCCCAAGGACAGCACACAGGAAGGTTTGAAGCAAGGCTTCACCCTCACCAAGATAAACCACTTCGTCTGCTGGTATTTTCTCCCTGAATTTCCACCAAAGCCGCCCTTTGTGACCGCCAGGCTCCCTCTTGCTGCCCCCAGCCCCTTTTTCTCTGAGCCCCCCCAGCCTTCTCCCCCTCAGCTCTCCCCTCAGGGCGCTGCAAACCAGGAAAACGCAGGGGAGGGATCCCAGGCGAGGGGTCGGGCAGAAGAGCGCTAACTCCACGGACACCTCAAGGCTGGAGCATCTCCTGCAGAGCAGGACCGGCCCCAGAGAGCTTCCCCACCTTTTCCTTTCCTCCACTTTCAAGTGGATCAGGGACTGGGATGAGCACAGCCCGCCCGACCGCCCCGGGCAGGTGCTGCACACGCTCCTGCAGCCGCTGTGCCAAAGGAAACACAAACATCCTACCCAAAGAAAGCACTTTTCATCGGCAACACAGTTCCCATTTTTGCACAGGGCCGGCCTGTTCTCGGCAGCTTTCCCCGCTGGGCTGAGCCAAAGCCCAGCCGAGATTTCCGGGCTGGGGCTCGGCCAGAGCCACCCAAACCAGCCCCAAACCAGCCCCGTGACCGCCTCGGAGACCTGGGGAGGATTTAAAGCAGCCCGAAGGGAAATGAAGCTCAGCCTGAGAGCCCCTCCGGGAGCTGGGGGCATGGGGCCAAGGGATGTGGGACCAGGGGGATGCAGGACCCAGGAGATTTGGGAACTGGGGATGCAGCAGCTTGGGGCAGTGGCACCTGGGTACTTGGGACCTCGAGGATGCAGGACCCCAGTTTTCCTCACTTTTGGACAGGGGACTTTTGTCTAAACATGGTTGTCCCCAGCAGGTCCCCCAGAGGCCTCAGGCCCTTGTACCTAGAAGCAGCTGTCAGGGAAATTCCACTTCCACAGAGTGATGCATCTCGTGAAACCGGCCAAGTCAACAAAAATAGCTCTTAAAAAGAAAAAAAAAAAGAAGAAGAAGAAGAAGAAAAAAAAAGTAAAGCACGTAACTTTGGCCTTCAGTTTGGGAAGAGATGAGAAGACAGGAATCGGGGCGGAAGAGGGGGCGAGCAGGAACGTCAGGGCACTTGGCCGCACTTCACTCGCGCAGTAAATAGCGCCGGGCGTTTGTACCTGACCTCAGCGGGCGGCAAGGAGCAAAGCGCTGCCAGGGGGCCGGGACCCCCGCCCTGGCACCTGCACCCGATGGCGAAATCGGCCCCCGTGGGGACGGAGCCCGGGGAGGGGAAGGCGAGGACGAGCCCAGGAACAAAGCGGCCGTTCAGTGCCGCCGCTTGGGCAAATAGAGCCGGGCATGTTCCTGTCGGAGCGCTTCCAGACGGCGCGGGGCTTTGATCCCGGGCGCAGGGCACTGGGGTTGGGGTGTTTTTTTCTTCTTTCCCCGTGTCATGCTTGTTTTTTTTTTAGTTTTTTTTTTTTCTTCCTGTTTCAAGGTATAATTTTCCTTGGTGTTTGTAATTTCTAGAAGGAATTTCTTGCCGCTGGGACAGGAGCTGGAGCCGCTCTGGGGCTGTGGATGCTCAGAGCCTGGGGCGGAGAGGGGGGCACAGCTCCTTCACCCCAAAGGCTCGAGCCACCAGCACCGGGTCCCCCCTAAACCCACGCACGGGGTGTAGGGCGCATGTGGGAACCCCCCGGTGGGGTGAAGCTCGCTGCCCACAGCCCAAATATTTTCCGGCAGGAAGCGAGGCTGCGCCGCCGCCAGCAGGAATGGGAGGAGACGTGGAGAAAGGGAGTCAGCGCTGGAGCCGGCGGCCAAGGGAATAAACCCGCTGCTGCTGCCGCTCCTCCTCCTCCTCCTGGCCTGACGGATGTTGCCTTTGGCTGGGGCCCTCTTGCAGCGCAGCTGCTGAAAAAATGCTCCGGGCTCCGGCGAGCTCCGTGCACCCGCGTCGGCCCCGGCCAGCTGGAGCCCATCGCGGGGTCACAGCCAAGCCCCGGCCCTCCCAGGGGAGCACCTGAGGGGAAACGGGGCCTTTCCCTGAGGGATGGGGACACGCGGGGTGTGGAGGATGCTCCCTGCCTGCAGGTGCTCCCCGGGGAGCGCTGAGCTGCTTGCCCCAAGGTTGGAGGTGCCACAGGTGTGGGATGTGCCATGGAGCATCCAGGAGGAGCATCCCCAGCAGGGAAGTGGCGGGGCTGAGCCCCAAACCCTGCCAGCTCCAGGGGCTGGACAACGTTAAAAGGACTTTTTAATCTTCTCCTTCCCAAAGCCGTCAAAGCGGCTGCGTGTGGAGGAGAGGACGGGGACGGGGAGGAAATGGGCTTTTAATGCAGCCCTGTTTGCAGAAGGCACGCTCTGTTTTTCTTGGGGATGATGGAAGCCGCTCAAATGGCCTCCGAGGGGCCGGCAGCGCCAGCACGACCCACTCCTGCTGCAGGTGTCTGCCCATGGGGCCAAAACTCACAGACGGGACACCACAGCTGATCCTGCTCTGGCCAAGAGAGTCCCAGCACCAATCCTGCTCCCGGCACCAGCCCCGGGACACAGCACGGGCTCAGGGCTTAGAGGCTGGGGGCAGCCTCTGCTAACGGGGGCCGTAACCTCCTGCAGCCGGTGACCCCGGGCTCTCTTTCCCAGAACCCTTCCCCTGTAGGATTAACGAGGTTTGTCAAACCCAGACCTATTCCCAGCCTGGCCGGATGCGTGGCCTCCTCCTTTGAAGGACCCTTGAAGGAAATAAGCCCCCAGATGAGACCCCGGGGACGCGGCCATGGCCGAGCTCCACAGGGGGAGGTTTGGGGCAGCCTCAGCCACCGCGCACCCACGGGATTAGCGGGCAGACGGACGTGACTGCGAGGCCGTCGCCGGGGCTAATTGCAGAGCGGGTATATTTAGGCGCTGGTTATCCTCTGCCTTTTGCTTATTTTTAGCCCTGGGGGGGCAGAACAGCCCCAGCAAGGGGCAGCGGGGACCTGGCTGTAAGCATGGGGCCGGATCCAGCGCTGAAGCAAAGAAAACACCTGGAGACAGCAAGCATCTTCCCTCCTGCTGCACCTCGCCCAGCACCACGAGCTCAGCTGCAGCCTCAAACGATGCAGGCGAGGGGTCAGGCTGTTTCCAGAGGAAGCCAGGTGAAATACACCAAATTTTGTCTTTTTTTTTTTTTTTTCCACATCTCTGGCTCTACCGTGCCGGCAGCGGGCAGGGCCCTGGGGCCACGGCTCTGTCACCTCGGCCACCCCCGGTCCCTGCCACCCTGCAGCGTGAGGCAGCCCCTCCAAGCACTTGGTGACTATCACCCCGTAACTGGTTCGCTGACAGCGTGTCAGGCTGAGAAGACTGCCTGAGCCTTCGTTTGCTGAGCGCTAATTAGCTTAACATTCCTAATCCCTCATTAGCGACGATGAAGTAAGCTCTGAAATATGAGGTCAGCCCTAATCAGCGTTTAAAACCCAAAGCCCACTGGCACGGGATGGAGGCGGGGGTGGTTGGGGGCCAGCCCCAAGGGTTTCACCCCAAAACTTGGCTCCTCGGGCCCGCGTCCCCCTCTCCACACTGACACCCTTATGCCTGGCGTGGGTCCTGGCTCCACGCCACCGGTGGGCACAGGGGGTGGAACTCGGGGAGGTGGCACCTGAAGGGCACCCCAGGGCTCTCGGGGATCTCACCATCGGTATCATGGCCCCTCTCTGGGGTCTCTCCAGAGGACAGAAGTGAGATGGGTTTTAATGTGTCCTGGCAGGACGCTGTCAGTGCCACTTGTTGGGGCAGCAGCCGGCTGCTCGCACCCGTACATGCGCCACGTACCTCCTGCCTCTGTGCCACGGCCGATGGCTCCTCTTGCTCCCTGGGGAAGGAAAAAATGCAAAGCAAAATGTATTCACTTTTTTTTTTTCTTGTTGTTTTTAACGCACACAAGGGCAGAGCACTTCGCAGCCCCACTCCCTGCTGCAACCAGTGCCCGGGTTGGGGTGTGCCTTGGTGCACGTCGCTCCTCACAGCCCGGCCATGGGGAAATGAGCAGTATCGGGAGCAGGGAGCAAGGCTGAGCCCGATCCTCCCGGCACCAGCACAGCCCCAGCTCCTGATTTCTGAGGATAGGAACAAGCCTTCGAGGGCTTTTCACACAGAGCACACACGTGCTGCTGTCAGAAGCGAAGGGCTGCTTTTGGAAAGGTTTGGGGTGGTGCCTTATCAAGAGAGCCTCAACAGCTGGGGGCACGAGGGAGCTGCAGGGCGAATCCAGGCTAACGCCGGACCTGCCACCACTCCCCTGGGTGAGAAACCAAGAAAGCACCACGAGTTGGAACTTATGTAAAAAAAAATTTATTTTGGAGGAGGATTTGAACATCGACATGCAGGTACAACATGAATAAAAATTATTGCACCGCTATTATGTGGCAATTGTTCAAGTTTCTAAAAACACAGAAATTCCACACGTCCTCTTATCTAGCTAAGTGCTGAGTGACACGGCTTGGCAGAGCCCCGCTTCAGAGGTGCTCTCGCAGCCACCTGGATATGATATCGAACACAACGTAAACACACACTTCTGTCAAATCTTCTACTAGAAGTACAGAATTATCCTTCACATCCAGTAAGAGAAAACCAGAGAAAGACTTTATCCTCCCCTCTTCGGAAGAAAAAAAAATAAAAATAAAAAATACTCCAAATCACACCTTAATGCAAGTGTGGCAACCAAAACCACCGGTCACTCCCACCCTTCCCCAGCAAGCGCTCTGTAGTACATTAGCAGCCAAAGGCCTCTGACATTCGGACCCGGGAGCGGCCGTTACAATGCTAACGTCTAATATTTACAATAAATATCACCCATCTCTCTTAGTCCGCAACAGGAAGAGACAAAGGGAAAAGTAACACTGAAATGAGGCAGCGCGGTAAGGCGCTGGCCGGGGGCTGGAGCAGGGGAGAGCTGCGAGGGGAAATCAATCAGGAAAGCGATGTTTGTTGGCGGTTGTATGCATGGCTCATTCACCAGGGAATTCCTCCCACCTGTCTGACTCGGTGTCATGTATGGAGGCCACGTTCCCGGCTTGCTGCCTGCTCTGCTCGGGGCTGAGGGCCCCGTCCTGCACGGGGAAAGGCTGCACAGTGCAGCGCACCTGTGCGCACAGACAGCATTCCCAACATCTCCTTCCCCTCCCCAGCACACAAATTTTGCAATTTGAGCAGGTATCTGAGTAATTCTTGGCAGAGCAAGGAGTAAGTCCTGGTCTCCACCTGGTTTGTTATTGTAATTTCGCCAAAAAAAAATCTTTCTGCCCAAGCTTTTTGCTACGGTGCCCCAAAAGGAGTTGGACAGGTGGTGGATGGAGAAGGTGGTGCACCTGGCACATGGAGGGGAACTGCGGGGTTAACGAGGAGCAGGGGACCCAGGGTTTCACTAGGATGCTTTCCTGGTAATGCTGTCGGGCTTTGGCTTCCAAAAAAAGCAGGGTTTTGAAATTGCACTGATCGCTTTCTGTACCTTAGCTACAAAAGAGGCGACTGAGCACATACCTCACCTCTTCTTTGGCCAGTTCAGGCAAAAGCAGCAAAAGCTGTGACACGACAGTTTCCACTCGTCCTTCTATGCTCAAGAAAGGATAACTTCCTGATTCAGCACTGGAGGTACCGGCTGCAAAGAGAGGGAGTCAGCAGCTAATGGAGCTGGTACCTTCAGAAGGTCACCTCCCAGCCTGCGTGTCCCACAGGAGGCCCTGTGCCCCCAGCGTACCTGGCACAGACATAACTTAGGCTCCCTTACTAGACTCGGTCCGACAGGACCCTCAAGGACGCTGCTGGGAAGGGGTTCAGAAGTGCTACAGTACACCACAGATAGGGAAAGCCAGCAGCTGCCTGCTCTCGCCGCTCCCCCTTAAGGCCACTTCAGCTAACGGCCTGGGCTGGCTGCTTCAAATGACCCCGGCTGCAAAGACCCCTTTAGCTAGGGCAGTGGTTTGGTTTCCCTTCAGGTTTTTTAATGTGGACCCCTTCGTGGACGCCCCCGGGAGCACGTCCTCACATAGCCCTGCACTCACTGCTTGATTTATCCGGGGACGTCCATCTCGCCACGGTTAGGTGCTCCCTGGATGTAAACTTGAGCCTTCTCTTCGCAATCGCCATGGAATTATGATGCTGAATCCATTTCTCATCATTCCCAGGAACCTTGCTTTATGCTGCACTGCCAACTGAATGTTGTTGCTTCTCAGCAATTTCTTAGGAGGTTTCAGTAAGGAAAATATTAGCCAGATCAAGCACCGGATCCTGCCAAGCCTGTTCCTTATTTGCTACCGCTCCAAATCAGCACAATGATATCAACACAAGGGCTTTGCGAGGCTGGAGGCACCCAGGCCCCTGACAGGGCAGTGGAAATGGGATTTATAATCGCTGAGTGCACACAGGTAGCCTACGAATTCCAGGAGGAAAGAGCAAAGAGACAGTACAGCGAGGCCCTGCTCTCAATACCGTCACAGCAAGATTTATTCAGGTGTTATCTGGGAGCTTTGAGGCTTTGGCTAGTGTATTAACACCATACATGTTCACACAGACACACAGAGTAAACACTCGTTTAAACATGGTTAAAAAAAAAAAAAAAAAAAGCTCAAACCAAACCAAAATTGGTCCAGAACTGAAGAAATGAAATCCAAGCAGCCAAAAATCACATATATGATGGGGGAAAAATGGTTATGCAGAAAGAATCAGGGCAAGATTACAGAGACTTCTGTGACTTGTGGATTAAGCTGAAATCAGGTTGAAAGAGATGAAGAAAATACATTCCTATATAAAAACATATTTACATTTAGGGACAGTGACTCAAAACTTCAAGTTCAGAAAAGGCCAAGACAATGAAAAAGGCAGCAGTAGAATGGAACAGACCAACGGATGCAGGTTTTAGCTTGGAATACTGTTGCACGGTCATTCTGCTTCTAACAGAGAAAGCCGGTGAGCAGGACACTAGATAGCGCGGGTGATCCGCAGGAGGATATACTCAGACAAGACTAGAATAAGAGCTGAGCACAATCTGGGACAAATGACGGGAGTGTTCATTGACAGTAACCTTTAACTGGATGAAGAAATGGCTTACAGTGCTACAGGTATCACCAGTCACAGTTATTGGTGTATTGGTATCTAATCCTCAGCAATGAGCACTGGTACCCGGAGTCGGTCACACCTAAAGCAAAGCAATGTCTAAACCTAAGAGCTGAGAGTAATTTTTAAGGGAACAAGTGACCTCTGCAGTGGAAATGATCTAGCTATCACAGCTGAAACCTTAAAATATCACATGTGTTTTGAAGTCTGCTTGCAGCTTGTCCACAGAACTCAAGGAGTCAGAACTCTTCATAGTTTTCTGGTTGGTTGTTTTTAAAATGGGCAGATTTGGAAAACTCTGCGAGTTTCCCAAGCCCCAGTTCAGAAATGTTAAGGAACACCTTAAAATCCCTACCTATTTAGACTCACCAAGAGAAGGAAAAGTCTCCGAAGGTCATTTATCGTTGAGATATCTTTGCCCAAGACATACTAGAGAACACGTGACTACAAATTTCTCTACTTTAAAATCCACCTACAAGGCGCCCCTCTCCTGGGGTCATTTATTCTGAGGCAAGTTACAAATTGAAGCCAGACAAAGGAAGATAAAACATCATTAAAATTTTAAAAACAGAAGGAGAAGTTGCCACGTGTCCTATAAAGGAGAAATAAAAATAATCCCTCCCAAAAGAAAACAGCTTAGAGATTTCTCTGATTGGGAAAACAAACAAACTAACAAACAAAAAACACTTTTACTTGGTTTAAAGAGAAGACAGGGATCTCTCTCTGTCCAACCTCTCCCATCCAAGTCCCTTCTTCATATCCTCTATGGATGTGTGCAGAACTGTGAGTGCACACAGTGTCAAAGAGGCCTTACTTGCACTGAAGATTTGTTGTTCCCGAATTTGTGGACCAGAGAGTACTTTCTTCTCCTTGTCAAACAAAACTAGATTGTAAATTCAAAGACAATATTCAAGACCTGTGAATTTCAAAGACATTTGAAAGAAGTTTGAAAACCAGAGATTTTGAAGTAAGCTGCCTTTTTTGTGTTGCGAATTTTTGGGATCTTAAATAAATGCAGAATTGGAAGGAAGAGCACAACAAGCCCTAAACTCAGGTAAAACAAAAGGTCAGGAAGGGAAAAATCAGCAAACTGTTTCCTAAGCCCTGTTTTAAAGATACCCTGTTCTAAAGAGACCTCAAACAGCAAGCATTACTGTGTACAAAAATAGAATAGCAAGGATGAAAAAACACAAAAAACAGTATGAAAAAAACCCTCCCAAAAATAGATGTACACAAGTTCTATTTTATATTAGTGTATATTACAAAATTCAAACATGCAGTCTCTATTCCGAATGCAGAATGCTCCAGTCCGTGTGTACCAGGGATGCTGCTATGTTTTCTTTACCGTACCATCGTGTGACAGGGGAAAGTCTTGTATTTTTAACTGACTTCCAACCTCTTTGCTTTTTGCTTGTGTGAGAGTCCCTTCTTTACAGGGCCTCGTGCTGCCATCTGGCAGAGGAGAGGCTCTCAGAGGTGGCTGTCCAAGAGCATGCGACAGCTCCTTCGATGGAGTGATTCTGCAGCTACCTCCTAGTACTTCAGGTGCTTTAGCACTGTAAAAAGTTGCCTCTTTTTTTGCCACCACAGGACACGTTGCTTCCCAAGGTTTTGCTGAGTTTAATGACTCTGTGCAGGATCCACTCCTTGTGGTCAGACTGTCTGTGCTGGGTAGTTTGGCTTTCTCTTGACACGCTCCTGTTTGTGAAGCTTCCTGCCTTTTTTGCTTCAAATCTCTCTCTTCTTTACAGGAAGCACCCAAATGGGGGAAATCCTTTTTCTTTTCCACCTCTCCAGAACCAGGCATGCTGAGCTTCAAAGGGCCCAAGACACTCTGAGCTAGTGGCATTAACTGAGACATGGAGAGTGCCCTTTCGATAGCACTGGGGACGAGCAGTGTGGAGGACACAGTACCTGCTGGGCTGCCCTGGCTCGTTTTGCTTGCCGTTGAGGCACTCTCTGCCTGGGACGAGCTGGGTCGCTTTTCAGCGCTCGGACTTTTTTGGGATGTTTCACTCACACTGGCAGGACAAGGAGATAAGGTGCTGTGCTGTTCTGTGGGCTGAATTGTGCCCTTGTGATCCTTCTCACTGCGATCCACAGGACTCACCAAGCGAGGAGTGCTCACACTTGCTGTGCAACAAGAAGAAAGTGCTAGCAGAGGTTTCGACTCTTGTTTTTTCTGACTGATTTCTGTTAGAGGGGTGTCTTTCAGGTCAAGTTTACCACATGAGGCCCCTGAAGAGTCACTTTTTTCAAGTTCAGGGAGTTTGATAGATGGGCACGGTATACTTTCTGTGAAATCTGTTGGTTTTTGAGTAATAGTAGTTGCCCTATGATCTCTGATTGCTTCAGAAGGCTTGTCTTTTGGACCTAAACACTGAAAGGTTTTGTTTTCTGCCAATTTCTGTTCTTTTGCAGTTGTTCCTGATCTTAGGAATGGCTTTTCTGAATCAGCTAAATTTTCTGGAGAAGTTCTTGGGAGGACCTCTGATGAGGAAGGGTGCACACCAACTTGCAACGGCTCTGAAACAGTCTTGGCTTGTTGGACATTTCCCTTCTGCAAATCTTCTGTACCTTTTGGATCTTCAGGTAGAAAGGCATCATCTTCAATACTATCCTTGCTTTCCAACTTAGAGGAAAACTTACTATCTTCATTAAAAGAATCTGAGCCTTGGTCTCCACTGTCAGGCGGCTTGTCCATCCTCCTCCCATCCTGACTATCCTCTGAACCATCATCTGTCTCATCTTCAGAAGAATCTACCTCTCTGATGGCCTCCTGCTTTTGCAGAGACTCTCTCCTCTCCACCCTGTCTTGTCGAATAGCACCCAACTTCCTGGAACCTGGCTTCTGCAACATTCCTTTTTCCGCTAGCCCAAGTTTGCCACCTGTTGTTTCATTCACAGATTCTTGTAAACTCTGTAGACTTGGGTCCCTCTGGAGCATCTCCTTCTTAAATTCCGAGTGAGAGATATCCAAGCTATGCTTACGTGAGGAAGCCAGCTTCTTCTCAGAAGAGGACAGCGAGGCAGCTAGTTTCTCAGCCGACTGTACTCTCTTTAGCAAAGGAGACCTAGGGGGCTCAGCACTTTTGGGGCGAGAAATTTGTCTCACCAGTGGTGGAGAGGAGTGTAGTTTTACTGGGAAAGATTGAATAATACTGGAGCTGCCAACTGAGTGTCCTGGTAAAGGAGAGGGGGAGCGTTGCGGTGACGTGGACTGTGGGGTTGGTGATGGAGTGTGAGCTAGTGGTGACAGAGGAATATTTCCTGCAGACTTGCGCCTTGGAGATCTGTACTGTCTTTGAAGCTTTGGTGCTAGTCCATGCAGAGAGCTGGGTCGGATGTGTCCAGAGCTGGCTGGAGAATTGGGAACACTGGAACTGGGAGAGCTGCTCTGGGAAGAATTGCCACCAACTTAGAAGAGATGAAAAAAAAAAATACCATGAAGATTATTACACATGTCATCATTAAAACAAATTACTGAAAATAAGACATGCAAACACAAGACAAAATGCCATATTATCACAAAGCACTGCAGTAATATTATGAAATAATAGTCCATGGCTTCTGATTGAGAAATCACACCATTGTCACAACACCAGAATACAGCAAGAAACATTCTGCTATCAGAATGTGTTTGTTTTTTTTTTCAAAAACAACAAAAGCAGGTAAATAAGCCTTGTGTTCCAATGCTATTCTTGTGAGGTGAAGAAGCTGACATCTCTATTGTCAGCTAATTCAATTTTCAAATATGACTTTTCCACACTGTTTTGATTCCTTTTCTCTGACCTAATAGAGAAAATGTCTCAAATGGCTACAAAACTACTGCAACTCACAATGTAATTTTGCATCAAAGTAAAAGGATGCTACTGTTCAGTAACTGCATTTTTAAAAGGATGTATAGATCTTCATTTTTAAATGAATAAATGAATGAGAATACATCCGTCCTTAAGGTAATCAACAGCATAGCTGTCATTTTACTCCAAAAACAGATCTACTACATGCATTTATCAATGCAAAAATCTTTCCCAAGTTTTTCTGCTTGCTTGTTGTTTTGTTTTGTTTTTTTACCTGAGTGTACAGACTCTGGAGTGGATCTGTAACTCTGTGTAGGTGACCGAGGAGACAGGTTATGGGTTGGAGAGCCAGGCACACTTTCTCCAGAAGACAGAGAGCGGTTCAGCGAAGATAAACTACGGCTAGTGTGAAGCAGTGATGCCTGTTTAGTGATCTTCCTCAACAAAGAACTCTTCTTCTTACTGTGGAAAAGTATTAAAAGTTGTTCAGAAGCCCAAATGATTTATTTACCTTTATTGGCATATTTCAGTCAATATTATGACACAATTAAAGAAAAAGAGAAGAGAAGAGAAGAGAAGAGAAGAGAAGAGAGAGAAAACGAGAAGAAGAGAAGAGAGAGAAGAGAATAGAAGGAGAAGAGAAGAGAGGAAGAGAAGTAGAAGAGAAGTCAGAACTAGAAGGATCAGCTCCGAGTCCCTAGCTAAGATCAATTCCGCTCCTTCCTCCTCGCCTATCTCTATATCGAGAAGAGAAGAGAAGAGAAGAGAAGAGAGAAGAGAGAAAAAACTCAGTATGTGCCTGCTGATACATACATTATCTGCAAATTGCTTTGACAAGATCTCTTTCACATTATCCTGGCTACTACTTAATTTTCACAGAGAAACAACAAAACAAACCTTTCCTGACCATCCTTAGTTTTGCTCTTCTTGTTCCTACGAGCCATCTTGGATTTGTAGCTGGCCTTTCGAGCTGGTCCAACTTTTATGGATGTGTTCTCAAACGGCGTAGTGGAGATAGACACTTTATTTCCACTCTGTCAGAAACAAGACACAGACACTGCTGAAAACATGGCTTTTTGAAGCAAATCTGCAGGCTAAGCAGGTAGGCTGCTAGTTTATTACTGACTGCCATTTTGTAATCCTTTGTCAAACTCCATTTCCCTCTTTGCATTTCCACCTATCATTTATTAAGGAATTGCTGAGAGAGAGCTCTCTTTAGTCAGGCTTTCACAAGTGATTAGATCCCAGCTGGTAGGTAAAGCTTCCCAGAGCAGAGAGAACACAGCATCTGACCTCTCCCATTGAGATCCCAAATGCCTCAGTTTAATACTCATAATACTTGGAAGCTTGAACAAAGCGATATTCTGTCACCAATCCTATTCCCCTTGCTCTGAATGGTGGCAGGTGTGAGCATATCAGGCATCTATCATGATGAATCTGCAACACACAGCATGTCTCATCTCACTCATCTTAAAATATATATATAAATAAATCTAAAATAACCCTGATTTCTCCTTTGTTTGCAGTCCCAAAGATTTCTGTCTATTGGAACGGTCCAAAACTTTGGGTTTTATTTCCATAAATGGATTCAGCTCAGAAGGAGGTACCAAAACGCAAGTCATTTAACTGGATAATTTTAAGACCAACCATTACAAAGCTGCTTTTAAATACCACTGGGAATAATCCTTGAGAAAGCAGTATTAAGAGATAATAACATTAGCACAGCCTAAAGGCAAAAAATAAAAGTAATTTGGACTTTTTAAGGTATTTTTTTCCAAAAGTGTTATTTGAGGAAAGGTATACTTGAATCTTATTCTTGTACTTGAATCTTATACTTGAATCTTATACTTGAACTTTGTCTCTAATACTGATAAAAATGTATCTGACAAGCCCTTATTTCTCCAACAGAGTATCTGAGTTCAGCTTAAATTACATGCAGACAATTTTGGAGACTTAGGAGTCAAGCTACAGCAATGAGTTTTGGCAAAACAAAGGCCAGGTGCTGTGTACATACTTGTATTTCAGACAACGCCAATTAGATATCTGCAATGTTTTAAACAAGCTGTCTGCATATTACCTATTTTCCAATATCTAACAGTGCCAGGTCCCTACCTTCAGAATTAGCTCCACCACTTCGGTGTGCACCAGCCCGTTGACCGGCTCCCCGTTGACATGGGTTATCAGATCCCCTTCACGCAGACCTGCTTCGTTTGCTGGACCGCCTTCCTCCACGTGCTGCCAATGAGAAGGGGATGACTGATTTGAGAAGAGGAATGTACGAGATAGCTGGCCAGATCAGACACAAAGCCAGTCCAGCTCATCTCTCGCTGCAGCCAGCATTAGCTGCTTCAAAAGAGGGTGAAAGGAACCACTGACTGGCACGGCCAAGCACAAAAATCTGCACTCTTCCACTCCTCCCTCAGCTCCTAACAGTCTTCTCCTGATCCAAGGAAGACAGCCAGGACAGTTAAGCTGATTGAGAGACCAGCTCCTCCCAAAGCCAGGGACTTAATACTCTTCCAAAATTTTTCAGCACTTGGGTGTGTTAACTAGATGCTCTTGATTTCCAGGCAAGACTTTAATCTTTTTCAATTTCTTTGCCATCGCAACTGCAACATCCTACCATGTACATGCTGGTACCCAGAAAGGCCAACAGACTTTTAAATTAGACTGTGCCATGCCTTTAGGTTGCCAATGCTGCATCTAATCCCAAACAGTTTCTTTTTCTATTTTCCATCCTTTATTGACCTATCCAATGTCAGAAATTTTCCCATCACTGTTCAAAAAAGCAACCTCCTTTACAGTGAGGTGACATTCATGCTCAAGAACTCTTCAACTCTCCCTCTAACCAGAAAAAATTACCAAGCAGTATCTTGGTAAATTCAGCATTTCTCAAGGACAGCAGAGAAGTGCAAGGGAAAAATGCAGCTTCAGATTATTTTCCTAAGTAAGAATGAGAATTAAATTACAACCAAAACATATGAAGTCCAAATTGTCTAATGAACATGTAGATACAAGGAAAAGAATAAACCATCTTTACTTTCTGTTCTCTCTAACTACACAATTCAAATTACCCTGCTTCAGGGAATGAATCATTCCTAGAAGTCACACATGTTAAGAAAAAAAGGAACATGGAGATCAAGTACCAGCACTAAAGGGAAGGAATAGATACAGGCAAGGAAACCAGACCTTTTAGCACAGCTCACAACTAAGCCAACAGCTAAATCCCTAGGCAGACAGCATAGCAGCAGTGATGCTTTAAGGTTTGTAATCAATTCCAAGCAACTGCTTGGAAAATCCCAGCAGAATGAAGTGATCCAAAGCAGGCTACAATCACTAACACTGGTCCGAACAAATTAGCTATAACTCGCTCTCCTGCAACAACCCCAATATAGAGAAAGACGGTATGTACACAGAAACATGCTTTAAAGTATGTGATACAGGTGGGAGGAGTGGATTCATGTAAGCAGGGAAGAAAGAAAGAAAGAAGTTTGCTGTGGTTCTGTGATGGGTTTGAAAATTGCTATAGTTAAAACACAAAGTGCTGTTATTTATTTTAAAGGGTTTCCCCCACCCAAAATAAAAGATAGCTTTGGGTCCAAAGAAGGAGAGAGAAAACAGGGTGGCAAATTTATATATTTATATTACAATTTATATAAAGCTAAAATCCCACAATCCCAGCTAAATGCATTCCTGGACCCAAGGGGAACTCTGTTTAGAAAAGTGGAGACATACCCAGACCATGTGATGCACAGTGTAGATATCACTGTCACCCATATAGACGCGAATGGCACGGAGAGTGAAACCGTATTTCTTTCCAGCCCGATGGATGATGATTGGTGGTTTCAGGTTTGCGATAGCAGGAGAAAAGTCACGGCTGGGTGAGGAGTCCCTCGAAGATGGGTTTGAGGATAGAGAATGAGGTGACATTGGACTAGCCAATGGGGAACACGTGTGGTGATCTACAGTGATGACACAAAGGTGAGCAAAAATTAGGAAACCAGGCCTCAAAAGAGAGAAAAATTCTTGTTAGAGAACAGCTAGGAAACCACCCTGCCCAACGCTCTTAAAGCTGGTGGTCTTCACCAAAGCAGAGCTCGTCCTGCAGCTTCAAGAATGCAAAGACCAATGGAGTTTCCAGAAAGCACATTTGGTAACGTGCACATTGCTTGCCTAGAATTAGACATGGTTCACACTGTTTATTTCTCCTGTTTCAGGGATTTATAGCCCATCACAGGTATTTGTTCTAGGCACAAGCCAAGAATACTCCGTTTCAAGGTTATGATCTACTGCCACCCTTCAGATAGTTTCTAGATCTTGGTGCAAGTTACATAGTGGTGTTGTGAAAAATCAAAATAAGTAATTTTAAAAGAAAAATCAGTTAGCAGTCAGACAGCTACATGTAGATAATTTTAGTAGTGTTTTAAATTCAGAGGGGCAAAAATACTTTAAAAAGCAGCCACTGCAGAAACTTTGGTACTGGAGAACAACATCACAAGTGTATTTTAGAGTGTTTCCCAACCCAACAGCCGAAGAGCTAAATTCTCACGTATGTGGCTGTGACTCAGCTGGACTACTAGCTAAAATACCTGACTCTGCTCACAAGTGTAACAACATCTGCTTCTAAAAATACAAAGCAAATACAGAACTCTCATTTTAAAGTGAAGCTGGTTAACATCAGTAAAATAATCCCAAACAGTAGGAATATTAAATGCAGCTTTAAAAGGTAATCCCCGAAGAAACACCTGCTGAATTACCCAGCACATATTTACCTGGAAGATGAGAACAGCTCTGGAAGAACCTTTGCTGGGTGATTAAATACACATTTTAGAGATTTTCATGAGAGTCTTTGTGGTTCAATAAGCAACCAACAGGCAAGGCAGAAGAAATTAAATGTGCATCACCATGACGGTGCCAAGAAGCATTTCCATACGGGCCTCCAGCTCCCCTGCTGAGACGGGCAGACAGGTATGGCTCTGCCAGCAGGTTCTGCTGGGTCGGCAGAGGCCAGATACAATTCCCTGCTCCAGTCTAGGCAGGAATGGGAACAGCCCTGGAAATATAGCAAGGCCTTATCCTCTGGAAAGAGGGACAAAGTCCTCGCAGGGAGAGCCTCCTGCCAAACCGGTCTGTTGTAGCTCTGCCTGGCTGGGCTGTTCACTAGAAGTTAGCCACCTGGCACTAGGAATCATCAGGGTACACCTCTACACAGAGACAGAGCTGGGCCAGCAACGTAAGATGTACTGCAGTAACTTCTTTTGTTAGCTATTTACTCTACTGAATTCTTGAACTCTCAACCAAGTTATTTGAGTTACTGGAACTTTCTGGTGCACAAACGCACCAGACACAAACAGTTCCCAAACAACACAGTAGTCAGTATGTGTAAAAATAAATGAAATAAAACAAAATAAAATAAAAGCAGCATCTTGAGGGTTAAAAAATGTTCTGTGTCGATATACCTCCTTGCTACACCATTGTCTAGAGAACAGCTTATGCTCCAGGAACCAATTTAAACAGAACAACTCACGGAAAGCTGCCACTTACAGAAGCTGCAGTCTGACCACACACAATACTCCTGTCCGGGGCAAAGCAATACCATTATCCTGGTGAGCTGTAAACATTCACCAACTGTAAAAGCTACATCGGTCCCTTCCTGCCAGCTAAGGCATTATTCCAGGAGAGCAAAAGGGGGAGGATCTGCCTGCAAATCTTCTGTTTAGTGCTTGCAGATTCTCACAATGCCTAACACAAGGCATTTCTTACCTGAGGGAATCATGAGAGACAAGGCAGTAGCGGATGCTGATTTAATCACTTTATTGACAGGTCTTGAGGTACGTTTCTCCCCCGATTCCCCAGAGAGCAACCTGTGTCGTGCCCGCCGCACTGCCAAATCGCTGATGGCTTTTGGAGTGGTAAAGTCTGGGCCTTCATTGCTATTACTGCGAGCGCGTGGATCAGAGAAATCTGCAGTGCTCCCAGCTACAGTTTAAATTAAAACAGATTAGAACCACAGGGAATTCCTAACAGTCTATTCCCCTACAGGCAAAATACATTAAATCAAAGTCATGTTTACATGAAGTCCAAGAGTAAATTTTCCTAAGAAGAAACCCCAGGGCTTGAATTTTTATTTACAGAAATGGTGTTATTCTGAATACAGAAAATTAGCAGTTTCTATTCTGTTGGAAAAGCTTTCTAATGAAATCACATTGCTCAGTAGCAGAGTTGCACGAATCCTACATCTGTGCTGCAGTTCTGACAGCAAGCAAGCCTTTTCAATGGAATTGTTCATAGAAGTAAACATGTTTATGGAAAGTGCTCCACTTTTACAACCAGCAAGAATCGTCAATCTTTGAGTTAAAACCTGCCAGTAATAGAAGAGCCAGGTTTTATTGGAGTCACACATAAAAAAAGCCACTTTAAGAGAATATTAAGGTACTAAAGTCAGAGAAAGCAAAACTGCGGTTGGAAAGACAACCTTAATTTGCCCCCTTCTGTGCACTATTGCAATTTAGGCTTGAATTACTTAACCTTCTATAATTATATATAAAATGCAAAGTAATCTTGAAAATCAGCCTGGGCATAAAGCATTAGCAGCTGCTGGGGCGTAGGGGGTGTACACAAGCTCTGTGCCTCAGTTCCCCATCAATACCTTACAGGGGCACTGTGAAAATACATTAATTAGAATTTACAAGGTGCTCAGAAATTAAAGGGGTAAGCATCACAGCAAGTCCACATGGGAAATTAATCATTCTGTCTTCAAAAGCAAATTTTGAGCAGCATGCAATAAATAAAGCCTAAGGGCCACGTTTTGAACAATGAGGACAGAACAAAACATTGATCATTGTTATTTAAGTGGGCACCACAGCTCTGCATACTAAGTAAAGCAGGAAGCACCAGGAAAATAAAAATTCAGAGCACCGGTCTCAAAGACTTCATTACCAGATGCCAGTTCAACATTTAACAGCCACAGAGTCGCAAATAAAGCTCCCAGACAATAAGGAACCCAGAATCGGAGGCTGCACATGAAAAGGCTGTGATATGCATTAGAGGAGCACTCTGAGGCATTGAGATGAATGAAAACCTTTTCCTACAGCCCCCGGCCTCTAACTTAACTTCCCAGGTTGAGGACACTGAATCAATCATACCCCTGAATTCCACACACTGTATTAAATCTAATAGATAAAGCCCATTGAGCAGCCTGCTCACTGAAGCTTCATTTTTACATAGTTCAACTTGTAAATGCTCACATTTACAGTGAAAATGTTCTTGCAATTTCACTGGCACATGTCTAAGCTTTAAGTATGAATTCTAGAAGCTGAGATTTCTGTCCCATGGTTTCCCTATGGCACCAATGTCATCCAAGTCCAAATTACTTCCTTCACTCCCACACCTTTTAACACGGGTTAGTGGAGCAGTGATAGTTGTACTGGGCCTCTTTTGGGAGGATAACCCTTGGAGGGGAATGGGACAACTTTGGAGTAAATTTCACAGACTGGATTGCAGAAGAGGAATAATGAGACGTGGGAATCTTGGGCTTCACTTCAGTCTGGATGCAAATTTGCTCTAAGGCCTTTCTTTCCAACTGCAATAAATCCAATATCCCATCTACCCAGTGTCCTTCATCTCGTCCTTGTCCAGCGTCACTGCCACTCCGACTCCTTGCTCATTACCCCTTTCCTTTCCATCCACAACCTCGTTGCCTGCTTACTCTGTTTCCCCCGTCAATGGTTTCTTACTTTCTTACCCCACTAATCCTTATTCTTATTCTACGCTCTAGCTCTTCCACGGCTGTACCTCCCTTCTCAAACATTATTTTGCCAGCCTTCATTTCAACTTCCCTGCTCCCTTCATTGGCTCAAATTTACTTTCTCCCCCAATCCTTCCTCCTCACTACTTTCCACCAATTCCCTGCTCTGGCCAACTCTGTACCAAGAACAGGCAAGCCGGAGCCTCCCCAGCACTGCAGCAGCCCAGGGCTCCACTGCAGGAAAAATTCCACTCAGCCCAGTGTTGGAAAATGACCCCAGGAAAGACACAGCTTCTGAGATGTCAGACATTGATTTCTAACTCTACTACACCTATGCAAGCTGCATTTTTTAACACTGTAACTTGGCTAAATTTAGGTGTATTTGACTGCGATAGCAAGTAGCGTGTTCTTGAAGCAAACCACACACCCTAGTAAATTTCAAGTCTCTACTCAAAACTAGAGCTTTCAGATAAATAAAATCATAGGAAATGGGTATCTTTTAGTATGGCTGAACACACATATTCTTCAGCCTCACCTCAGCAGTGACCTGCTTTGAACTAATGCTTAAAACATACACACAATGGTTTTAAGTAGACATAGATCAAATGGGTTTTAAGCATGAGAGGACCTTTAGTTTGAAGTGACAGGACTGAAATAAAAGATGTAATTTTGAAGAGATTAAACCACTGATGCTATTTCAAAGGCAAGCACAGCCACAAAACTATACTAGAAAAGCTATTTAGCAAGAGGCATCCACTTCACTTGACATCTAAAACCCAGTTTTACGCAGTTTCTATCTGTAAGCTAACACAGCTTTCTTACAGAGCAAGATGTCATGAGGCTGAGCACATACCTGCCAGCGCTGAGGTGCTGCTGACAGCTGTGGAGGGGGTGGTGGGTCCAGCATCACCTTCCAGCTGCAGCTCCTGCTCCACGGGCTGTTCTGGAATGGGCACCGGCAGCCCCTCCCGGGACTGCACAGTGGATAGGAGCATTCCCTCCGACTGCGGCCTTTTAAGCAGAGTTCCCTCGTCCTCGGTGGAGATGGCAAAACGGGGCATGTCGAGAAGCCCTGAGCAGCGTCGGCGGACTGTCAAGGGTGGACTGGAGTCGCTCTCCGTGTGCGAGGATTCAGACATGGACAAGCGCTTACGCAGTCTGGAAGAGAAAACAAGACACAGCCCCTCAGTTAAGTTAGCAAAATGATGAAGGTTAAAGGACAAAAAGAGTGCACAGACCCAACTTGCACATCTGAAGCCAATTTAAGGTGAAGTTATGAAACCAAGCTACATCATTAGAACCTAAAACAGCAAAGCTTGGGGGTATCACCTGAGCTTAAAATTTCCAGTATATCCCTTGTAAGAAAGAAATATAACAAAGGAAAGTATAGTGCAATAAATACGATACTAAATATTATAAAAATCACAATTACAAAATGCAAATCACCATCCATGTTCCTTTTGGCATTAATTTTTCTTTCAAAGTGGCTGTAAATTTCAAGCCAGGAAGGCCTGATTCAAGATGAAGTTGAAAGCATAATCTATAAAATGTTTTTTGAATGGAGTCATACAGACTAGATCACAACCACATTTTATGATCTTTCCAATGCCAAATTTTAGTGTAAAAGCTTTACAGGAGTTGCACAAAATGAGAGAGAGTCCTTTTTGAAGACAAGTTTGACAATTATTTCAGTTATGCTGGAAACATGGTGGTTATCCAAATTCTGGGCATTTGTATATTTTCCTGATGTTTTTTATTAGAACAAAAGATTTTGGGGGAATATTCTAAACTTTGGAAACTTTGGACTGTCCTAATGGTTTCTCTAATTTGTGACAAATGGCAAAAAGACCAGACTTTGGATACTCTGATGTTGAAGAAAAAACTGTTCTTGGTACATCTCCAACAGAACTAGCTGTTCCACAAATGGAAAGCTTTACTGAAGGTTAAAATTCCTTTAAATTAGTTTAATGTATTTGCTACACATTTAGGAGAATTTAGTACTTAACTGGATACATTTAAGGACTATACAATTTCTACACATCTGTTTTCAGCTATCTCTTCCACTTGTCAGGTCTCACCTGTGGAAGTACCATATGAAGCATTCCTGACCTAAAAGTGGACGTGGAACGTTTTGGAACAGATCAACCTTTCTCATAAGCCTTGAGAAAACAAAAGATTTAGTTCTACTGAACTTACATTTCAGGAGACCCAATCACCCAGCTACGGTCTCGGCTTTTCAAGCCACCAAGGCTGTCCAGTCGGTCATCTTTTTCTTCACTCAGACTCCGTTTAGTTGGTGGTGGAGTTTTCCTCTCTTCGTGGATGGAAAGACGTTCCATGCTGCTGTATACCTGCATATAGCAAAAGATCCTTCCGTACACAGAAAACAAACCTACATGTCCTCTTCTGACCAAGGGGCACAATCTCTTCTCAGGATGGAAGATATTCCCTGTAAGTATGAACTTGGCAATGCTCTTTGACTAAATAATACAGTGCAGATGTGACATGCCCAAAGCGTACCAGGGAGAAAAGCAAATAGGTAAGCTTCAGAAATATTAAATATGCTTTTCTACAACAGCACCCAACACCTGTCCTCTGAAAACAGCCCAACACAACAGAAATACTAAGATTTTTCTGGAAACTAATTAGTATTTTATGATTATTATTATTATTTTAACAATTCTCATATCTAAGAAGAGATATTGCTAAAGCAGACTCCGCAAGTCTTGAAGGCTGGCATCTGAATCTTGAAATCTTACTATACAAATTCAATTCAGTGATAGGCATCATGCTCATGACCCCATTTCATTATCATCAGTCTATCAGCATTGCCCCAAGCTTATTTCAGAACAAAAAAGTCCTGCCCTCCTCAAGGAATCTACTATAATGCTGACAGCTTAATGAAAGTGCCTTTCTTGGTTTTACAGCCGTCTTTAAATAATTAAATGATTAAGCAAAAAAATCCATCCTTTTAAAACTACACTTGACTATGGACCTAATTTACATAAGAAGAGATTAATGAAAATAATGTTATTAAAAATTCAGAGCATCAACAAGATAACTATTAATAAATCATATGGCTGAATTGTCAGGCAAGAATTTCAAAATATAATGAGCCTTTTATGCCTCCCACATTACAAATGCTGTATAATTTTCCAGATCTTAAAATAAATTCATTAAAAGTGAACTTTTTGTGGCAAAAACATTGAACCCTAAAGAAAAGCTTCAGTCTAACACAAGAATAATACTCATGGTGAGAAAAGACAGAAGAAAAGAAACCCTTACATACTCATGAGAACTTTTTCAAAATCCCAACTAATTGTCAGGTCCAATTTTAAACATACTTTCAGTGATTCAAATCAGGAGCAAATCCATAAAATTCATAGGAACTGTTACTTAAGCTACTGTAGCCCATCTGAGGACAAAGAAGAATGAACTGGTGCTTCAAAACTGACTTCAGTAGTGGAAACCTAGAGGAACTGTCATGAAAAAATTAATCTTTCAGCAGCCCTATATAAAATGCATACTCCCTTCTCAGCAAGAAGTGAGAAATATGCTCTACTGTTCACAGAGAGGGCTGACCTCAAAAGAGCAATTCTTCTCCCTTCTGCCTTTCTTCTCCCTTCTGCGTCTCCCTCAAACATACTTCATTTAATCTAAACTAATAGTGGAGTTGTACAATTTTGAAATGTCTGAAATAGCAGCTTATTTCACCTAAATCAGAATTAGAGACCTGCACAGGCCTGAGTTAAGGCATACTGAATCCAGAAAGTCTGGCTAGAAGGAGCATCCTCAGGGCATCTTGGAATTTTTTTTTGCTTTCCTCTCTTTTACTGTTCCATGTTTACTTCCAAGAACATTGCCCAGAACAGGACAGAGTACTTCAGCTAAACCCTACCTACTGCTAAAACAGATGGACGGGATTTCTTCATTTACCTTGCAGAACATATCTTTGCTTGCTCTCTATGATAATTTCCTTTTTGCCTCAATAATCAGGCGTATTTACCTCATGATGCACGATGTGCCCAGATGTGCTATGACCCTTCTCTTTCAAACTGCCATGTCACCCTTTGTTAAAAGCAATGAATAGCAGAGGTGTAGAACTTTGCATTTGCTCTTTCTGCATGGGATCCCCTTGAGTTTAGACCATTTTTCCAAAATGTCAAAATCAATTTTCATCCTAATACCATCTTGTCACCTACTGGAATATCCTTTTCAGAATGACAGTGCTCAGATCAAACAATCTTTGGGCACTCCCTATGCCAGCATCCAAGTCATTAGTAAAAACATCAGGCTATCAGATGCAGGAGAGACCTTGGCAGTAACTTGTGTATTAGTGAAACACTGAGAAATACAAAACGCCATTCTCCTATTAACCTTGTACCCACCTTATAATAGGACATAAACTATCACAGAGCAAACATATGTCCATAGTTCTTTCTTTCCTTAGTCAATAGTAAACATCATGCAATTCCCACATCATCTGCATGAGTAAAATCTACCTCATATGAAGCACTGAAGGCCTCTTAAATGGTATTCCTCTTGACTTTTTTCTTCCAACAAAACTAGCATGCTCCTACCTTGCTGAACCTCGGTGAGCATGAGGAGAACTGACGAATTTCCACATGATCATCATCATTAGTGTCCTCCTCCTCTTCTGAATCCAGGTGTTGGTACCGTTCTGAGCGGGCTGTAAACAACACATAGCAGATTTCACCAGTGCACTGACCATTGATAGCTCTTACACCTCAAGCAGTGCATGCTCACCCCAGAACAGCCTTTATATACCAATTCCTACTTGTCTACCTACAAAGAACTTGGAGCATTCATACATCATAAGATGTATTTTCTTTAATATTGAAACACATACATCTAGTTTTGTCTGTCCTGTACAATTAGCAGTGAAGAATACCTCCTTCCAACTGAACTTATCTTATATCATCAGCCATACTCTAAATGCTGATACTCAGCACAAATTTTATGTGTGTCTAATCCTGCAGACCCTTTGTAGTAAGAATATTTCTTCCCTACGGCATACCAAGCCAATGGAAGGAAATGAGGAAACAATTCACTGCCCCAATTTCCAATCAACAGCTTTATGATTGTACAAAGTCTGTCCTGCATACATAGATACAAGCCCTCTTTAAAAAATAAAAATATTTACCCCAAAAAATATTTCCTCTTTTCCCTCCCACAACTAGAAAAGGATTAGGTTTTGTGAAAGAAAATGGGCAAGCAGCCAATATGCAAAGCTATTTTTAATGCAAAAAATCTAAACTGCCTCCAAAGAGATTTTGTGCTATGAGATTTGCAGCACTGTAATTCTAAGCCAGCCACATTAGATTTTGCAGAAGGGGATGTTAATAAATTTGGCTATAGAAAGCTGATTGCTACGCTGAGCCAAATTTGCTGCACTGTATCAGCCAGAAAGATACTTTTATAAATTCTAAAATTTTCAGCATTATGTTTATAACAGCAACGCCAACCCTTATCAACGTCTATGTGAGATACTTCTGGATGTGAGAATTCCAGTCCTCACATAGGGTTTGCATTAAAGTCATCCCGATAACATGCTGAGCATGCCTGGACAACTGGGGAGTTTGTTGACCCCACATGACAGACCCACTGACTGTCAAGACACCCAACAGGATGCACTCAGAGCTGCTGTACTGGGTCTCTCTTATCTGGAAATGCCATGAATCTTGCATAGCACTCATACCATGGCAATTCACGTTTGTCTTCAAGGTTTGGGGGGTGGGATTTATTTTTTTTTTGGGAGGGGGGGTTGGTTTTGTTTTTTTAGAAAAGAAACATTTACTGGCTGAAAACAGTCACTAGGGAAACATTCCTCCATTCCTCAGAAACTCAAGGAAGTTGGATACACCAAATGCTTTGGAAGACCTGTAATAAACCCAGCATAAAAAATACAGAATCTCTCACTGCAGGGTCGAGGCTGGCAAGTCCACAGGCACCAGTGAAAGGCCAATTGACTTTAACAGACACATTTTTTTCATTTAAAATTCATTTGCTTTCAAAGAAACCTTATTTGGCATTCAACAGAAACTTTTAAAAGGAATTTCCATCAAGCGTTCTATTCAATTTCTAACAATGACTTATCTTTGACAACTTCAGAAATGAAGTACACACAAAAAACACAATGCAGTTTATGCCTAATCTTCAGTCTTACTGTCAAAATAGCTTGTGTCATCCTCAGATTCCAACTGTGGGATGAATTCAGCTTTCTGCCGAAGTAATCCATTCCAGTCCAAATCTTTAAAGAACCGATGCTGTTTCACTTCAAAGGCACTACCTGAAATAAGCATCATTTATTGCAGAGTATTTATTTCAGTGTTTGCATTAACAAGAAAAACAAACCCTAAAAATATCAAGAGTTTATATGAATGTACCCAAGTACATTTAAATCATGCTTTTTCCAGGAATTTTGAAAAACAACTCATCCTTTTACCAAAGTGGTGATATAGGACAAAATCTGAACAAGATTTACTCCTTCCTACCTCTTTTTCATCTTTAATGACAACACGTGACTAAACTGGCTAGAAGACAGCATCTGCTATTATATTCCACAGCAAATTGCAAGATTAAGAACTAATTAACATCTTAATTTAAAATTTCCAAATTCTAAATTCCAATTCTAAATTTAGTTCATAGCTAAATAAAGAGAGCAAACTAAAAAAGGTACTCAGCACGCGAGTGGCTCCACTTTCATGAATAAACTCATCCATTTGTTTAAATCAAGGTAGAGGCTTACATACCTTCCTGAATTAGGATCTTTTAACTAATATCTTATGAGTTAACAACCTCCTGGGTACCCAGAAGGAAAAACTAAGGATTATCTGTCTACTAGCAAGTGGGATTTTTTTTTCAGATTAAATTAATATTCATAAAAGATGTTACTGTCATTATAATAATAATAAAAAGAGCGTAGCAGAGGAAAAGAGATAAAAGGTTTGCTGAGTGCCCGTGGCAGTAAGAGACGCCAAGTGGAACAGCAGTCTCAGCATTACAGGTACATAAGGAATCAAAAAATCAGTCCATCAATTCATTTGATAAGGCAAGAAACTCTACCTCTTTTCCATGACAGCAACACCTTTCAAGTACATGGATTTGAGACAGAAAAGAAACGTGAAAATCTGATTATATTATTAATTTATGTTCCATTGATCACCCTCATATGTACATATGCCGTTTGCTAAATACATGTTTTTGGAGATTGTTATAGATTTAGTTTTACTTTTTTCCTTTTTTTTTAATTTTGTCCTTTTTATCCTTTTTTTAAAAATTATTTTTATTTTTATCCTTATCAATTTAAAATCCAAATTTAAATCAGACAAATGATATCTATGAAACAGACAACCAGTACTGTGAAGCCACACTGTTGGAAAAATTACTTTAAAACAGGAAGGCAGCTAAAGATTATTTCATTGTGTTATTTATTTATTTATTTATTTATTACTATCAGGAAATAAGAAGTGTTGGCTTGTAAAACTCTAAAACTGACATTGTAATACAATAAAAAATGGCATACATATCTGACTTTGCCAAAGAGACTGTATCAAGACTTTGTTGTATGTTTGGAGAATTCTACAGTACAGGTCTCTATGAATGGGAAAGTTTTCATTTATTTTATTATACTAATGAGTTCACTTCATTGTAGGGGACTAAGACCATAGTTGAAGGGAATTGAAAAGAAATCTGATTATACACTTCTCAAATCAAGGCACAACCCTCAAGCCTTAAATAGAATAGCACAAATTTGAGAAGTTGTTGCATACCTGATTGTGTCTCTTTTTTGTTTTCCAAACAAAACAGCAATATCTGTCTGACCCACGTGCAGTCTATACTAATTTTCAGAGCTTCATCAAACCCAGCATAAACATTTTCTCAGCTCTAGACCAACATTTTTCAACATGGATTGGTGTGCCTTACAGTAAAGTAGCTTCTTTTACTGCTTCTGGCTAGTAGTTTCCTATCCACAAAGGTCCTACCTGTTCCCATTCTTTCCAGAGGATTTTGGCGAAGAAGCTTAGAAATGAGATCCTGGGCATCTGGTGGCAGTGCATCATCACCTTCTGGCCAGGCAATTTCATCTGGGGACAAAAAAAAGACTTGACATTTTCTACCTGCTTCACAACCAATTTGAATAACCATTCACATTCCTACACTGTAAAATGCAGTGCTCAGTTCTTCCCCAGAATTGCAAATACCTTAAATTCAGCAGCTTGCATACTTAATATAATTCAAGCATTGACATTTTCCAAAATGCATAAAATTCAGCCTCAGCTAGAGCTGCTGTCAATCCAAGCACTGCTTGCGGAGGAAAAAAAAAAGCATTAAGAACTCTATTAATAAAGTCTGAAATTGGACTTCCATGAGAATCCATAAACAATGACACTGACAATACTGTGGCTGTATCTTGCGCCCGCACATTCCACGTTATTTATACTTGGAACAACTCACAGGTAAGCATTTCATGCATCAAATTTTGTTCTTCACTGAAATCTGCTTTTTGCTAGGGATATTTGCCAAATGTGTTAAAAATTTACTGTTTCAGAAAGCATTCCCAACAGGAAATGTTTTCACTAGCATATTCATTGAGAGAACACAAAGCAATTGTTCGTCCAGCTCCAAGCAGGAGTTTTAAAAATCCACAAGACATAAAGGTACTGAGTACAATGGCATCAATTTGTTTTGCTCAGAATTTCCTTTTTACTTCATTTCTACAGCAATTACTAATTGGCTGACATTTACACCTACAGAAGAAACAACCAAAATCAGAGTGAATTAGACTAGTTGGCAGCTGCTCCATTCATATTCTCCATCATTTAAGTTAAAAGAGAACAGAAAAAAAATCCTCAAATATTCTTCCCCAGTCCTACAGGGACTTGCATAACTCTCATGCCATGCGTACTGGCAGAACTATCTAGCAAGATAGTACTCAACAACTTTCAATAGCCTGAATCAGATGAATGCTACTTAAATATCTAAAAATTTAGAAAGAAAGAAACATTGCCTTATATCTAGCCTATCTTGAGTAAACTACAGATCCTCAATACTTTTAAAGTTTTACTTCGCTGCACACTTTGAAACCCCTTGAGGACCAGAACAGAAACATACCACTGATCACTTGTCCAAACAGCTCTTCAGGTGTGTCACCAAAGAAAGGCACACAGCCAACTAGAAACTCATACAGGATAACGCCCATGGCCCACCAATCCACGGGCTTCCCATAACCCTGGCGCAGGATCACTTCTGGCGCAATGTATTCTGGAGTCCCACAGACCTGGAGAGAAACACACAAGAAAGCGGTCAGCCTACAGAGTGCCAAATTCACATCAAAGTTGATTTCAGTGCATGTGTTAGGTTGTGGGTTGTTTTTTTTTTTCTTATTCTTTTTCTTTTTTTTTTTTCATTTGTTTTGTTTTAACCTCAGAGTTTTGAAAGAAATTTAATGTTTTGTCACTAATCACTCTAGACTGTAAACTATTTCCATGTAGCAAGAGTCTGTTGAGGGAACACACTACCTGCACAGAAATTATATCATATACTGTGAAATGTTCCTAGTGTGGACATGCCAGCTAAGTCGTTCTCTGGTGCACTAAGGCATATGGGAAAAATGCAGATTCTGTCTGAATATGTCTGTCTGCCTGATGGATTTCTACTGGCACAGCTACAGCTATCAGGGACTGAATCCTGACAAAACTCTTACATCTCTGCACTAGCAGAATTAGCAACCTAGTATGATGACACACTTCAGCATTTAAACTTGAGATGTACAGCAGGCACAGACAACAGCTGAGGACGACATGTTGGAAGAATTAAGTTCTCTTGGTCTTGGAAGCAACAACAATAACAAAGTAGCTGTAAAAAATATAATGCTGCAAAATGCAAGACCATGATCTAGTGACCAAGGAGAGCTCCTGCTACAAAAAAATGTTATGACTCAGAAGCAAAGGAAGATACAATCCCTTGTGTGTTCTTAGTTTACCATAGGATGATTACAAATTAACACTTGGCACAGCTAAAAAAGAAAATTCAGCTGCAATCCTAAGTATTTTCAGAAGAGATAAGGATTTTATAATCCCATTATACATGGCACTTGTAAGCCTGTATCCAGAATACAGCATATAGTTCCTGTCAACTATGCCCAGGAAAAATCATCTCAAGCTGATACAGGTGCATGAAAGACCTATTAATTCATCAAAGGAAAATTTATCTCATTACCTAAAAGAACATAACTGGTCAAGCCTAGCAAAATGAAGACTAGAGAGGAAAATAACCTTTAGGAAATACCATGGTGAGGAAAATCAATGTTTAAGCCATCATACGAAATTATAAGAAAAATATTGGAACTTGCCATGAACTTTCTAAACACCAGAAGGGGGAGACTGTGGAACAACCTTCCAGAAAAAGCAGTGTTACATCCCTAAAAAAAACTGTTCCTGCCTGCACTGCGGCCCATGACACCTTTGATATCCTGAACTAAGAGCTCAAGTGCATCACTTTAAAATGAGAAACTGAAAAATAGAAAACAAAACAAAACAAACAAAAACCAACCAAACAAACAAAACAGCAGAAATTTGTGTGCTAGTATGAGAATGGACTCCTATCTTTTCCTCCGATTATAAAGCACACAGCACAGCATCAAGGTAGACAGGGAGTGCTACAAACTGATTCAAACCCAAGACAGAATCCTGCACTGGATCCCACACCAACAGACAAAATTATCCAAGCTTACCTGCTTGTCCAGAAATTCCCTGGTATCCTTCTCAATATGTCCCTCATAAAGATTAGTTGTAAGACTCATTAACCCAATTTTAGACAGTCCAAAGTCTGTAAGTTTAATGTGACCCATGGAAGTTATCAGGAGACTAGAAGAAAGAGGAGAAGCAAAATAATGCAACACTCAATTGTTTCCCAAAAGGAATTTAAAAAGAAAAAAAAAAAAGGAAGAATACAAGATAATGCTAAGCACATTCTCAGCATTACAGCTCCATCAAACACCTGGAAGGAACCTCCCATGCAACTGAACCTCACAGAGCTGCTAAGACTGCCAGAAACCAGGCTGCCTTCTGCCATATTTCACCAATACAGCAATAGCTTCAAGATAATATTTGAAAATGTTCTTCCTACTCTTTCTCAGTGCCTGTCTGGTTCTGTAAATCAGTAGTAAATCCCTAAAACTTCCTGTATGTTAGATGCCATAAAAATCTCTACCATCTCTAACTCATCTACCATCTCCTACCCATGTAGAGAGCCTCCAAAGAACTGTCTCTCTTCCTCTAGCTTCTCAAGAGCTGAAGACTTACTTATCAGGTTTTAGGTCACGGTGAACGATCCCGTAATTGTGTAGGTACTCCAATGCTAGAACAGTCTCAGCAAAATACATCCTTGCCATGTCAACAGGTAGGGCACCAATGTTCTTGAGAAGTGTAGCACAATCACCTCCTAGAAAAAAGTTGCAAATATGGCACAGTGAAATAGCAAATTCCAGTAACAAAGGAGAACAGCTACAGGACTACAATAATAGATGATTAGAGCAAATTTCCTAAAGGCTTTGTATCTCAACCGTGTTACCCCAAATTCTAAAACTGTCTCTCAACTCTGTCTTGAGCTTCAAATAAATATTAAAATCTTAGGAAAACTGAGATGCAGGTATGCTTGGTATGCTTTTTCTCTTCCAAAATGGCACAACACAACAAACACCACCAAGTGCTGAACAGCTGAAAAAATAAACAGATTGAAGAGTAGAACTGAGATTCCTCTGGCCTCATCTTTATTATCAGTAAAACTCATCAGGATAAACCTTCTCTCCAGTGCATTTCTGTTAATTTCTGTATGGCTCAGGAAAGCAAGAAATATTTAGCTCAACAATTGTGCAGATGCCATTTCCAAACTGTAAACAAGCCTTGAGGGAAGGACTGTTCATGACCATTTTGCCTCTGTATAAATTTCTTCGCTTTCCACCACTGTGACAGTTACTACTTCTGATATACGAGCTTCTTAAAGTAGTAAGCAAATACTAAGAGTACTACCTGGCTCTTCCCACACATGGAGAAGCAGCCACATCATTGGACATAATGGTACCCACAAAAATAAGTTTGTGGGTCCTCAATTCAAGTTTCTGAAGGAATACTGCCCACACATGTCATTCAACCTTCATCTCTACTTGCAAACAGGAATTAACTTTTTTTTAATGTCAACATATCTGTTGTCATTACATTAATTTATTTGAAAGAGCACTAATACGGTAACTATAAGTTTGCTTCCCACAAACATTCAGTCAAGCAAGCCAGGCATAAGAAATTAGTTCTATTCACCAGAGGAAATATATCACTTGCAATAAAAATTAAAAATTAAAATTAAAATTAAAAATAATAAAATAAATCAAAATAAGTCAAATCAGATCAAATAAAATCCAGTGAGTAAGGAAAAAAAGCAAACAACAAAACAGCACAGTATTTTTAAGAGGCTGGTAAGGAACAAAGACTGTGTAGCTTTGTGATGTTTCTTATCTACCTTTCTCTAATGCCAAGCAAGCGTGCAATGAATCTTGCCATGCCATGCCATAGGAGAGCAGGAGGATGTCTTTCCAATGAGGACTGGAAGGTTCATGATGATTTCTGACCCCTCCAACTTTTCTACATGTGGCTTTATGTTTCCTCATCTCCACTGCAATCATGCTGTGTTAGTCACAGGGATTCACAAGAGGAGTATCTCCTTATACAAAGCCATACTAGGGGCAGAATGACTCACATTTCTCCAGCTCAGCCCAAGCAGTCCATATATTCCTCCCTAAAAGGGCATCATGATCTCCCCTGCTGCTGTAGGGCTGACTGACCTCATTTGACACGAAGAAAGAAATAGTGCACACAATATGTTCTTCCTCTCTATTGCATTCACAGCAGCGTGCTGATCAATGTACACATCTTATAAGCCACTTAGAAGCTGCATCCTTTATAATGAGACTCATTACGTGTACGTGCTTTGCAGGTGTAGATGATGACAAACATACCTTCCACGTACTCCATAACCATGCACAGATGGCGCTTGGTCTCAAAGGAGCAGAACATGCTGACTACAAAGGGGTTCTCAGCAAATGTTAAGATATCTCTCTCGACAAAAGCCTGCTGGATCTGGTTTCTCAAAATTAGGTTCTGTTTGTTGATCTTCTTCATGGCAAAACGTTGACGGGTGGTCTTGTGTCGCACCAAATACACCGCTCTAGAAAACCACATACCAAGAGCAAAAGTTCCATTTTCAGTTTGAACTATTTAAAAAGCAAAAAACAAACAGTGGATGGTAACTCCTTTGAATGGATCCTGATAGACATATCGGTGACTATAAAATCCCATCTCATTGCCAAACTCCTCAAAAAGAAGGAGACCTATCATGCTTCCTTCCAAAGCTACTCCGCCTTTTTGAATTCAGGAGCATTTTTGTTGATGTGACTAACAAGGAGATAATTCAGGCACAAATATCACAAACTTCTTTTGCAAGGCTTGTATTTTTCAATACTACAGTCACTATTTCACTAAAAAACATCCAAAATATATGAAATCAGCATGATTTCTTTCCAAGCTCCATAAAGTTAATTTGATGCAGCACTGTCACGAGGGATTTCCTTCAGTATCTCTTACATTTCTATCATTTGCAGATCATTAGATTCCTGCACATTAGTAACACAGTTTGCAAATGAAATTTTCATCCGGTTTGCCTGCCTTTCTGAATCAATGCTTGCTTCCTTCTCTCTGGAGTATATTGCATTTAACATGGTATTGTGTCTCACAAGCAGCTGACTGTAAAATACACCCAAATATAAAGACAGGAATGAGTAACAGCAGAACTACAATCTCTCCCCACATTTTACAAAGTTATTTTTAAATCATGGGGGCTGTGCAGAAATGTGACTAAAATATAAAAAGCTTCTTGCCTAACAATACAGTGCTTCAACCTGCTCCATTGTGTCTTCACAGACTAAAAAAATACACCTACACTTTTTCCGCAATTTAAAATAAAAAACAAGTTGCTGTTAACTAAGCACTCACTTCTACAAAACACTCAAGCACACGCTTGCTTAGGTTTTAATGTTATGACCTACTGAATCACTATTCATAGTTATGGACTAATCAAAATCACTCGTAATGATTTATGAACTGCAAAGAGTTCAGGAATTGTCTTTAAAATTCAGGATAGGTTTGGATGATCAGTTACAATTTTAACTGACCAGCTTCATTCTGTATTCTCAAATGAATAAAATCTAATAGTACTCTTACTTTATTACTTCTCACATTTGCCCCTATATAATTTTAGCATTTATCTTGGTATTTCAAGTGCTCACAAACAGCCAAGTAACATATATAATCTGAACACATGGAAGAATGCAAAATTATAAACAACTTTTTCTCTCAACATTCCTGCTGCGTGAATGAGTCAACAAAAACATTTGCAACTACAGAATTTTACCCTCACTCAGTTAGGTAGCCTTTATGCAAACAGAAATCACAGGACTTAAAACACTCCACATGAAAGGAAATGCAGGTAGGGTGCCTTGATATACAATAAAGAAAAGGGTACAAAATAATTTCGTCAGACTCAAAGCAAACTATTGTTTAGGAAATTCCACAATCAACTAAGTGACGATATTTCTCCTAGAAACAATGTTTTGGGAAATCATTTTTGTCATCTCAAGCCAAGGTACTGAAATGTCTATATTTTACCTACCTACCACAAAAAATGCTGCAGAAATAATTACTGCAAGAACAGATTTGAGGCCACATCTTGGAAGGGCTTCAGCAAATCTGTGCCACAAAGGGATTAGGAATATAATATTCTGAAAGCTTTAACATGGGGCAATTTATTTTTACAAGCAACCAATAATCTGGAAGCTGGGTGCCAGTTCAGCACAATGTTAAGACCTTCATGGTCAGGAAATACTTCCAGGTACAAGGGGTACTGCCTAAGAAATCCTGAGAACATAGAAGAATTGGCATCTGTCACAAGAATGCAGAAGACATCAAAAGTATGGAACCAAGATCTAGGCAAAATTCTTTATACTTTGGACCCAAAAGAAAAGAGTCATTTGTCTAAACTTTGTAATAAACCTTTACTGGGTAGAATGATAATAGTATTTTGTTTTAAAGCAAAGCCTAAAAAGCCTTACCCATAAGCACCATTACTGATCAGTTTAATAGTTTCAAATTCTTCTTCAGATGGAGTTTTCTTTGACTGGACAGAGGCTCCACGGCTCTGGGGAAAGAAGATCCCAAAAAAAGGAAATTGAGAACAGAAGCAACCTCGTTCTATACTTCAACTCTTTTGTCCTTTTCTTCTTTAAGCAGCATTTACCCAAACACAAATGATTTCTAAAGCTCTGGAGTTCCTCAGTTTCAGGATAATCATCATGTATCCCTAGCAGCCTTGCAGATTTCCTCTGCAAGCACAGAAAATCATTGGAACTATAAGATTCAGACCTTTCCGTAACATTACATATTTAAAATACCAATAAACTAAAAAACTAGGGATCTTTGAAACCTACTGAGTTATATAGCTACATTTTTCCAACAGTTGTAACTAAATTCATTTCTTTTCAATTCCCATCATGTTTTACATATGCAAATATGAAGAGTTTCTCCAAACAGTTTTTGTTTGCAACTCCAAAGAAACACCAACAAAATTTGATGATAAACGTCTGTTTGCATCTTTTATGCATTTCACCTCCACAGGAGAGATTTGCACATTGTTATGAGTGCATACTTTAGTGCTTTTGAATGTCAGCTGCTTTTTTTTTTTTAAATTAAAATTCCACTGCGTTATAATTAATTCTTTATTGTAGACTACTTCTTTCCAGAGGAAAAAAAAATGTGCTAGACAGTATGAGTGTATTACTGCTTTACCTCGACTGAATCATCTGTCTCAGGAGTGTCTGGGCTGTCATAGCTATTCAGCTGGGCCATTTCTGAAAAGAAAGGGGAGAGATTACTCCTAATGATCTCAATCAAACACTATTCTCTTTGTTTGTACAAGACAAACAGGATTTTAAGAGGTGCTTGTAGATTATGAAGGGCATAGTTCCCCCCTGTAAAAAGTCACCCCAATTATACAGTGCTAACCTTTAACATCTTGTAAATTGTAAGCAGTATTTTATATAAAGATGAATATAATTAATTGTCCTAATCTCGGCATCACTTATTCTAGATGGTTTCTACAATACATAAAAGCAACAAATGTAAGTTTAAGGAAACTGCCAGCTAGTTAATGTTAAAACCTACTCCATGCATAAAGATGGTGGCACCTCTACTCCAGAAAAGAAAAAGAATTGCATTTCAAACAACCTCTCCCCATGAAATGTGTACGATTCTGCAAAATGCTGAGCAGCAGCAAACTGTGAGAAATTCAGTTAGTTTAGGCTACTCAGCTGTCTTAGGAGATGCTATAAACTTTGCAGAACCAAATCCTACATTAACTACTAGTCTCTGAACAGACATCATTGACATTTCTGGGTGCCCTCCTTACAGAAAGGAAATAAGGCACCTTGACATCTCCACACATTTCTAAAGAAAATTTGACTTTAGTAAGGGGAATTAGTGATGGAAAGGTTCTCTCCCATGACAGGGATCAAAGGAAAATTTCCCTTTAATGTCAGATTTCAACAAATGCTATTAAATTGCATTTAGCAATCTTTGGTAGAAATTTTCCCGAAGAGCTCTTCACTTGAAGTCAACCTGTCACTGTCATTCGAGTAAACACCGTAGAAGCTAAACTAGTCCTATCCAGACTACTAATTTATGGTAAAATTATGCTCTCTAGGGAAAACAAAAAGTACAGTTCAATCACTGAAATATTCTGCAGCAATCTCCAATCTCTGTCACACTTTCTATTGTTGCTGAGCAAGCCATGCATGCTTGTAAAACTTGTCATAGGGGAAGAGAGTAAGCTAGCAAAGTGCCAGACAAAAATATTAACTCACAAATTCCAAAGTCAGGATCTTCTGGGGCTCTGTACACTTATAGCATATTCATTTTACTATATATAATTCTGGGACCTAGCAGAAAAGCTGCTACTTTCTTCGAAACATTACTCATAGAGTGTCTAAAAAGCAATGTAATTACATAGACCTTATCAAACTTTCTAACAGGTAGAAAGCAAATGTTTATGACCCCTTAAAAATGTATCAAATGTTTAAGTGCAATATTCAACATTCCTAAAAACCATAAAGTGTAAAATAAATCCTCTTCATCACAAACTAGATTTTCTCTGAGTATAAACTTGTGTTAATTATCATAAACTGTCTGGAAAAATATCTTTTGGGAGCAGAAATAAAAACTTTTATATCCAAGTGAACTACTCATTAACTGACATTATGTTTATAGTGCATCTACTTTAGAAAATTGAAAATATATGCACTCTTCACTGAATCATGCATCAATATTGCTGCTATTTTCACATGAAGTGCTCAGTTATCAGGCAGTACAAGGCACTCCTCCTCCTACTCTGATGACATACTGTGCTGGTTATAATTCACTCTTTTTTGGTTTCACTGCTATGCAAGATGTAAAAATACAAGTATCTCCACTTAAAAGAAAAAATTATACTAGTCCTGGTTTCATGGTCCCGACAATGGAAAGTCACAACTTTTCCCAGTGAGGCCAACAAATGGGATGACCAAATCCTTTCCAACCAACCCACCAGTAGTCGGTCAGGCGGTGGCTGGACAGAAATAACAAGTGAACTTACTTTTACTGCCCAGCAGCACAGAGAAAGCGGTTAAACCATAAAGCCATTTTCTAACATTTTTTCAGCTATAATACAGGGAGACATTATTAACACCATAAGTAAAGAACTGTCACTGTTGATGTGTGATCCTTACCCCAGCAATGCTCCTTTGAGACAAGGGGCTGGAAAAGACAATCTAGAATTTGACAACAAAAAGGAAGATAAGGACAAATGGCTTAAAAATTAAACCAATAAAATAAAAGCTTCCTTTAGCTATGTAGTGGCCAGGAGTTAGTATCTGGAGATTTGGTTATCCTTTCAGTAGTTTGGAGAGTACAAAACACGAGTTCTCACCCTCCAGGGGATCCCTGGTAAGTCCCAGCTGGCTGATAATGTAACGAGGAATGTCGCATTTAATTCCTTGCCCTTCCTTGGCATGGCCTTCTGCAGCTTCTAACAAATGGTAGAACTCCTCAGGATCAAACTCCTGCAGAAAGGTAGAGAGAAAGGGGAGGGGGTGGAGGGTAGGGTGTAAATGATTCAGCTTTACAGATATGAAAGGTTTCTCTGACATATTGGAGAGCAAGAGCATGGGTTGAATCATCTGGATTCCTCAGAAACATCCAAAACTAATTCTGGGTTGAGCAGCAATGCTAAACATTTATAGTACAACAAGCAAGTCAATGCATTCCAACCTGATCTGCAAAAATGCTATGCCTTTACAGCTTGGTGGACATCCACTGGCTTAGATTTGCTATTCAAAACATGACAAGGATTGTAGGAATTTTATGAACCAAAACCAGACTATCATATAATGAGGTCATAAAAATGCAAACATTAACCTGGACCCACCTCCTAATTTTGTCTCCAAGCTGTGCTATGAAAGGTGATGAGGACTGAGGTGCCTTCTGCTGCTGCCTCTGTCTGACAGAGGAGTTAAGCCAATACGAACCTCTCCTGCTTTCAAATATCACTTCTGATCAAACCATTCACCTGTCTACATCACTTTTAACTGTCCCAACCTTAGAAATAACTAATAGAATTGTTAATAAAATACTAATTATTAGTCTACCAGCAGAGAAGATTTCGCTTTCTACTTAAGAAATAATATTAAAGGGTAAAGGGTGGATTAGAACAGCTCAGGTTTGGTGTACTGGATCACTAAGGAAAGCAAAGGTTATAAGCAGGTATAGGTTTTTTTACTACATCAATATATACAGTTGGAAATAAAAGACAATATCAAGGTGCAAGAGCACTGCTGCTTAGAAGCAAGATCACTAAATAACCTTAATTCTGCCCTACAAACTTTATTATTTGCCAGTAATGAGCAAGACTCTTCAAAAATTTTCTAGTGACATGTGAGGGAAAAAAGGGAAGCAGCGAAGGTTATCAGAAAAGAATGGATGTGAGTATGGTCAGTGGTATGAGAGAAAACAGTACAGAACTGTGAACAAGAAAAAAAGTTAGGGAAAATGATGATGTAAAGATATGCAAATGGCTAGAGAAACAGAGAAGATGCTTTTTCTTGATTAGTCTAAGCAATGCTGCTTTGATACATCCATCAACCAGAGACAGTAACAATGCAAGAAACAAAGTTCTCTTCTAACTTGTCTGGAAAAGAATTCGTCAACTATCTGAGAGCTAGCAGACAGCAGGGATCACAGAGGACCATGGGAGAGATGTGATCAACAGGACTGCAATATAATTTAGAGAGCAAGGCGAGAGGGAAGGTGGAGTCAGGGAAGGATTTTTCAAGATACAGCTGTAGGGCATTCATTGGTGAGTAAAGGACAGAAGAAAATAAATGTCTGGTGACAAAAAAAAAATGAAGCGTACAAAAATAAATTCTACTTCTGCCTTCTTTGTGGTAGATTTATTTTATTATCTGTGTACCGTTTTACTTAAAAGGAGAAGAATGGTCCCTACTAAGGGGGGAGAAGTGCTATCAAAAATAATATTGAAAAAAAAAACAACAAATTACATACTTTCCCCAAAAGATGGTTTCAATGATGTAAAAAACACGCAATTTTGTTTAAGCCCCAGAGACTCATTCCATAAACAAACATTTCACTGTCCAACATGTAACACAAAGACTGAAGCCAAGTAACTGAAGTTTTAAATAATTACATGCCTTCAATCCCATCACGACTATCACATCCATCCCAACCACTGCCTATATGAGTCATTTCATTTAAAAGGCTTCTGCCTTCTTCGTAAGAACGAACTGTGTTACTGAAGTTAATGTTAAGAGTAAATCTTAGAACATTTGTCTATAAATTCATAAACAATGAAGTTAAATGTTAGATTATCAAAAGTTATGCTACAAAATAAAAATAAAATGTAGCTCACAAGCTATTTAAATGGTAGACTATCCATTGCTATAGTTGTTGCTCTTTTATAGGATGAAAGGAACACTCATGCTTAAGTCTTCACATCAGCAGAATTACATATATGGAAAAAATTGCTAGAAAGCCAATAAAGCTTAAAAAAATGGAAAAACTAATATATAAAGCCAAACATGATTTTTACACTTTAAAGACCAGCCACTGCATTTTCAAGGTTGTCACTACATGCTTTGGAGTTTATTACTCAAATCTCAATGACTTTACTGCTCTCCTGCACTTTGCAGAACATGAGGTGCAGAAGATAGCGGATGACCCTGGAGACCTATTGATCTGCAGCTAAAAACTGACTTGATTTTGGAAGTGCTTCCAGGTATAGAGATGAGTTCACAAAACTTACCAAGGTTTCCTGCCTTCCTTGCACTACAGGGTTCCCAGCAAAGCAATCCATCTGATGGCCATGGGTCAGGGCAGAGGAATTCGGGAACTCTCTGAAGTCTACTGGTTCACAGAACCTCAGCAGGTGTTTACAACGACTGGCATCATTGGAAAGGTTGGACCACTCCAGTCCACCTTGCCAAAGAAAGCTCTGCAAAACTCATTTATCTTCTAGTGACTCCAGTGATAAATGGCATCCCCAGCCATGCTGCTGCCCTCAACCTGTTAACTACACATCTATGCCAGCCATAGATTCCTAATTCAGCCACCCTGTGTAATTTCTCAATCAGACGTAGCTTCCCTGTCATTTTTATGTCCAGAAAGAACAACTAGGTTGTGTGCTTGTACCTCTCACATAATGCAGGCCAGGGAATTTCATCCTGATAGTTCACAAATTTCAGCTGGTTTGTGATACCTCCTCCAGCCCTCAAAAAAAAAATTTGTGACTCTTTCCTATACTCTCACCGACTTTTCAACATCACTTTGAAATACAGACACAGAACTGAGCTCTATAATCAATAGCCACCACAATGTTGTATACACAAAACCATGCACTTACACACTCTTCACTGTTCCTACTAACACCCGGAGGAAAATCAGGCGGTGTGATGCTGCATGAAGTGATGCCAAAAGCTGTATCTGTCCCCTCAGACACAACCTTTACACTAAAACCTACCTAGCCACTGTTGCACCTGTCACTCCAACGGGAAGATAATTCCATATTAATGCAAAAGACAGAACTTTTTTTTTAAAAAAAAATACTGATTTATTTTTCATCAATGTTTTCATCGCAATTTAAAGTTTTCTCTTGAAGACCTTGGGTCCCTCATCTCCCCAAAGACACTCCAGACTTCAGATCACACAGGTGCTCTCCTGAGAACCACACTTACCAGGCACTCCAGCAGCCGAGCGGGTCGTGCAATAATAATCATCAGCTTCTTCACAAGTTGGGTAACAAAGGCAACCTCTGAGCTCTCTGATCGCTCGTGGGCCTGTGGAGAGCAAAGGATCCCATTATGGTCCTAGCAGTGAACTCTTCATGTTTATATGTCAAATGCTGATCACAGAGGAATCACCCTCAGTAACTGCAATTCAGCAGTGAAGGCATGGCCGAGTCAGGTCAGGTTGCAATCTTGGCTCATTCAAGAACCCCAAGTTACACATAGCTTTGCCATTACAACTGACTTTTTATCATGCAAGAGAAATTTCAAAGGCTCAATTTGCGTTATATCACCTATCAGTTACATTAGATATAATGTGGTCTTTGTTTTGTTTTTTAAAAATGAAAACAGGAATACTAATTCTTCCAATTTTACCATCCATATGATACCAAAATCTAGAAATGACCAACAGCTACACATTTTTTAGGTTGTGCTTTCAGGCGGAATTTGTATTACTTTCATTCATAATCATGAAAATCCTAAACTTTATTTTCTTTTGATTTAATTTCATAAATTCTGCTAAACAACTACAGCATTGTATTGAATGCTCTGTTGTACCAAGCACACAAGCAAAGCAAAGAACATACAGAAAGCTAGTTCAAAGAATTTATTCTCTCCCACTCTTTAATTTACCAGACTTCAGTACAAATTCAATGCTTAATTTCAAGGTTTGTGTGTGTGCGCATGCACAAAGAAGGGATGTCTTTTTATAGCAATAAATGCATTAAAATGGGTAATGTAAGAAAAACAGGCAAATTTGACCAACAATACCCACCCACCAAACTACTCTTGTTTGCTCAAAAACAATATTGTTACAAGTCCTGAAAAACAAGTAGAATAGTATTTCATTATAGGGTGATAAAAGATGGTTCCAATGAAAAAAACCCTGAAATGAAGTCTAGCTGTTGCTTTCCAATGTAAAAAAAATTAGGCTTTAGCACAGACACAAATGTAAAGTCCAGAACTTCACCAATGTGTTTATACTGGCAACAAGCCAGTAGCTGCTGATAGGAATGATATTTTATCAAAACGAATGCAAGCAGCAAGAAACTTAAAGGTTCATTTATCATTGTTCATTAACACCATCTAAGAAAAAGAAATATACTGTTGAGAAACCAAAACACACTGTCAGTCACCTAAAAGAACAATAAAAACACAGAAGCCAGAAAAAGGAAGCATTTATAACTATATGCCAATTTTGTTACCAAACCAACAACATTATTATTTCTCATTTTGACAAAGGTCAGAATAAGAAACATTAATTCAGCGGTGATAAGGCAGTGCCAGAATTTTAACCTTGAAGAAAACTACATAACTGCTAGTTCATCATCTACAAACATTACCAGAGATGCTTCCTGGTTATAAAAGCCTTATAAAGAATATTTTGAAAACACTGAAATAAGTTGTGATTTTTTCCTAAACAGTATTTTCTCATTATAAAGTAGAAAATGATGAAAATGAAGGTGATTAGTATTCTCTCTGTGCCCCTTAATGCATTACCCAAACTTATGAGCTAAAATACGAATTCTATGAAGAAATTAATGCTTTCATAGCTGAAAAGCCATTCCAGATCACCAGGGGTTAGCTGCTTTGCCATGAATAAATAAAACATCAACAACTTTGTATTATTTGAAATATGAGCCATGCAATTGGAAAGTCCTTTTTCTCCCCCACACAGTATGCAAAAAATAATATTTTTATTTATTGCCTCTGTTTATACTGTTGAAGCAAACTTATTCCTTTAAATCAAGTCCTTTTGTTTTCTCTCTTTCTCATCTTCTGCAATTTAGGCAAATAATTTAAGAATTTAACTAACTTAATCAGGTGTCTGTTTTGAAAATGAAAAGCTAGACCATGACTGCCAAATGAGAAAGAAAAGCAAATGGAAAAAAAAAAAAAAGAACAGAGTAGAGGATTACAAAAATCAAACACAACTTGTAACAGCCACTCAGCCATCATCTCTGCACAGCGCTGCTCTTCCAAGATCCTCAGCAACACTGCCTCTTCTTGTTTCCTCCCCTCACAGGATAGTCCGGACATCTCTGCAGACGTCTTGTTTACCATCTGTCCCGCTGACAGTATCTCGAAAGTGGACGGGGTTATATAGCACAGCTCTGCCCACCGCTTCCATGTGCCTTGGGATGATGTGTGCCACCTAATTAGCAGTTCCCAATGACGACATGCTTGTCTGAAGGTTGCTGGTGTCATTTCAGGGTTGTCCCCCCCCTCCTGCCTCCAGAGGGGAGGAGGGAGAAGCGATGGGGTTGTGGGTAGAGGCTGATGCCATTCCTCCACACATTGCCAGTGACACATGTACAGGAGGTAGCAACGGGTAATTTACAAACCGATTCCCATATCTGAAAGATCCATCCGTCACTAACTGGAGCTACTGGGGCATGAAATTAAAATCACTGTCCTCCCCTGGGGTTCAGCAGGACCAATAACTGGGATATGCAAGTCACAACACTGTAATTGAGCTAATATACTGATGGAAACCAAAACAATAGACCTGCAATGCCAAGAACCAATAAATTTACGCTCAGGCTCATATTAAGAAAGCAATTCCAATCAGAATATCAATTTTCCAATGTGCTGTATCAGTCACCATAGTACAATACTAATTCCCTCCTCTTTCCTTTTGTTCCATGCACAGAAACACACCTGTAATTCTTCATTTCCTTACCTCCAACTGGCTAAACCTATGCAAAAGCCATTCAACTTTTGGCTAGTTTTACTTCATCTTTGTCTTTTAGTCAATGGAGCCAAGTAAACAACTGAGTATAACCTTTTACTTCAAAGGAACCTGAGCTCCTGTTCCATCCTCTAACCCAACCCCAAAGGTAACAGATAAAGAACCAAATGCCCTATTCTTTTTCATAAGTATTTTCTGTTATTTTTTAATATCTTTTCTTTAAATGTGAAGTGTAGTATCCAAGTCCACGCTTTCCAAAGTAAAGAAAATCTATTAAATTCATTTTTACTTGAGGATCATTTCAGTGATGCAATAAGCAATAGATTTCTCTAGCTAGAAGACAATATTTCACGCTCCAAACGAGAAAATATCTCATTTGCCAGAATTAATGAGATTTGTTGGCATTTTATTACAAAAGCCAGGATCTAAAAACTTTAAAAGCTCTCTGGTTTGGTATATTTAAACAGCTCATTATTTACATACCCAATTACTCTATTTTATGAATACATTTTTACAACATAAAGTAGCCTCAAACTGCAACATATTAAATAGTTTTTTCTTTCTGTGGTTTGAAATTCCTGTGTGAATTTCACAGTAAAACTGTATGAAAATTCATGGGTATTCCTGCTAGTTCCTGACCCAGTGCTGCTCGTTTCCTTATTGACCAATAATCCATTTTCCCAGTCTCTCTGTATCTTGTAAAAATACAGCATGAAACTGTATATCCTACTGCACAGACCATACTACTGCCCAAGTGAAAGAGGTTTATTTTTGGGGAGGGATTCCAATTGGTCTTATTTATATAAAGTGCTACTCTGCATGATGCCTTAAGAAGGTAATCAGAGCTAAAGATCCTGCCCTAACCTTGGGATGCTCTAATTTCAACTCCAAGAATCTGGTGTTTCATGTGAGTCCTCAAAAAAAATATTAGAAGGTGTATATCGAGGACTTGTTCTGAGGGAGGGGAGAGGAAAAGAAAAAGCATGCTTACCTGACCCACACCTTCTCTGAGATCCTGATCAACCTCTTCAGGCCATAAGACAGGCCTGAGAGGGATGAGTGGAGTGGCCAGACCTAACCTATTGCTCTCTCAATTTCTTAGAGTATAATAAATCACAGTCCACATACAAAGGAGGGAGAAAAGTCTGGAAGCTGGAGAATTTCAAGCTTAAACTATCTGTTACCAGAAGACACTTTAAAAGACACTGTAAAATACTCTGTAGACCCTTTGCACCCCTTGAAGTGTAAGCTGTTTTGTAAAACATACACATCCACTTCTAGTGAAAGCTTTTCAGCTTCCAAATCACCGACCAAAGGTGCCTGCATTCCTTATTTCATAGCTGGTGTGCACACATACCCTGCTTCTAGATGCTGGAGATACAACATGGACCTACTGACACACTCATCTGGCTGCAGGAAACCTCTGCACACTGCTTCCAGCTCCCCCACAGCAGCTCCAAGCCTTCTCAGCAAAATGCAGCAGTGCTCATGTGCCTCTGTGAGTCCCTGCACCAGCCAGCCCTGGATCCAGCAGCAGTGCCTGCGTGCTGCTTATGCTGTCCAAAAAGGCTCTGCTGCCATGCTTTCAGACACTAGAAAGATTTTCCTCCTTTAAAAACCATGAATCCTGAACAATTTCTTTGACTAGATGCAATTTCTCCAGCCCTGTATGCTGGAAGCTATGGTCAAACTCCCGCACCGCATCCAAAGAACTCTACTTTTACCAGGAAACACATTTTTTACTATAGAAATGCATCCGCAGTGGTTACTGATATGCCACAGGCAGACAACCATGCAGGTCCTTGACAAATATTCTCTTCCTCTCTTGATCTGTCAAAATCATTCCTCATTCAGGCTTAGCACCACAGGAACAAACATGAGCAATTTCTTTTTCCCATGCATAACAAATATCGGGGAAGTTGCAGCCACACTCATATAAATGTGGTAGCTAAAAACTTTAGTTAAAACAAAGGAAGATTCTGCAGTTTTCACAAAGCTTTTAAATACAGTAGTAGTATATTAACATAGTATTTTAATCTACCTACCACTTTCTAAAGCCTAGAAAGAGTGGCAGAGGTGCACGAACTAGTGCAATTCATACTGGAAAGCTGATCAATGACATGTAAATACATCTTCATTAAAAAGATTAAAAATCATCACAGAAAAATTATTTTAGGGTCTCTGTTTCTTAGTATCTCAGTGATATTTGTTATCTGAGCCTGTGATCTTTATAAATCCTGTACTTTCAACTTGCTATCTCCTTAAATCAAAGCAGAGGATTAGGAAGATGTTCCCAAACAGAGGTCTGGACCCAGCAATAAGTAATAGCACCGACTCTTCGCAACAGCTATAGCATAAATTCTAAGAGATTTTTTGAAGTTAATATTATTTTAAAGGAAAAGAGTGATTTTAATGAGTAGCTGAAGCATACTGAGCATGCATTAAAATTGTGCCCCCTTGTGTATTTTCAAATGCTTTGAACACCACAAAACACATCGAAGTAGCAAAAAAAAAACAACCCCACAACTGGATTAGTTCAGCTCAAGAAAATCTTTTATGAAAAATTTATAGCAACACTACAAACTATGGTGTTTTCACTCCTTGAAGGCACTATTGTAATTAATAAGTCATTCAGAGTCTTGAAGTACATGAAAGAAAAGTTCAGTAATTTCCTTCATCTGTATGAACCCAATTTTCATAAATGGCAAAGACTGCCTTTGACTTCCTCATATGCATATTTAACTTTCATACAAATGAAGTACACAGGTGAAGTGACTTGCTCAAATCCGCCCATGGTAGATCAACGACTCAGGTCTCCTGATACCCCCACCTGCTGCCCTTCCTCTGGAATTCATCCTGCCTCTCCTGAAATCAAAGCTCTGCCTTATTGTTTCAAGTTTCAATCAAAGTAATATATTCTACTTCTAGAGTGCACTTACATCCTGGAGAAGTTTCTCCAAGTTTTCCTGCAGCTCATAAAAGTACCGAGAAGTAATGAGACCTTCACGTGATTTATCTAGGCAATCTCTGGCCAGTTCAATAACTTGATGATGGATGAAACTTAGGACCCCATCTGCTAATTGCAGCACGTTCTCTGGAGCATTAGAGGCAATAAACTCAGCCAGCCGTTCTTCCATCTGCGCTGTGGCCTAAGAGTACAGAATAAACAAATTATTCTTAAAATTTTACTATCCCAAAATCTAAACATAAACAAGTAGGGTACTAAAGTAACATATTCTCAATCCCAAAATGCACTGGGCTTAGAAAATAGTCCAAAATGCAATAATGGTGTTTTGCTTAGAATAAAATTATTATACCATAGGCAAGAATTATGTTCACAAGAACAAACAGCAACATTTAATCAGGACACACTTTTTGCAAATGGAAATGACTATAAAAATATCTTGGTTCTGAGGCTGCATTCTTCCCTGGGTCTCCAGAATAAGGATGTAAGATCCAAGGCAGCTCTCAGAACTTGTAGGCAAGACCATGAAATCTGAAAATCATTGCCCCGAGCAATAGACAGACGTCATTTCTTTCAGTATAAGCCCCAATATCCTGCCACCAGAGAAACATCTATTTTTACTAGTGGTAAAGCAGAAAGGAATGACTGTATCGACAGCTCTGGGATAAACAAACATCTATGTTCATTGCGGTGAAATGTTAATTCTCAAAACTTGATTCCAAAGATCTTAATATTCAGCTTTAAAACAATAAACAAACAATTGGAAATCAGAGGTAAGACATGAGATCCTTCCCAGTAAGTACCACAAATAAATTCTGAGCTTTCTCACACGTTCATTGAATGCATTATTCGAAAAGTGATTCCTTACCTTTGGAAACCTTTCTTTGTACACATGATTCATCATTATTATTTCACTGTCAAAGGAAATTGGGGAGCGACCCGGGCTAGAGGAGAAAAGAAAGTACATCATCATTTACAAATATCACATCAAAACCCTCAAAAATCCAGTGCTGGTCACTGCCACACTGACTGTGGCCCTTTGACTTCCCTTCAGTAACGGCTATATGTAGAACTTCAGAGGAAATCTTACCAAGCAATGGCAGTTCATAGCCCTCCAGAAGTGACAGCTAACTCATCTGAAAACTGCTCACCCTCCCGTCTGCACAAGAACTCAGGCAGACAACCCACCTATTCCCACTGAATGCAAGCCCTAACACACAAGCATGTAAAAAAAAAAGTGAATTAGTTAAAGGTACTGTCACTGCCTGTGTTCTCTTACTGCCCTCCATGGTAATGGCAGCAGACCTGCACAGGAAGAAATCCCTATTACCTCCAGAGTCTCTAGTGCTGGAACGGAGCAGAGTAAAATGCAACAAGGACCTTGAGAAGACTCGCTTTCCTTTGTCTGAAGAACACCATGCTACTGTAGGGATGCACGAACAGTGTTATTCTGCTAAATCTTCTATATAAATACCACAAGCAGTAGGAACAGAATACTTGCATGAGAACTGCACTCCCTTGGGCATGTTACACCATGGATGCATATGCATGGATGCATAGGTTAGCAAGCAACTTCAAGGCACACACACGCACGCACAAAAAGGACAGTAAATCTTGACAAACTGCATTTATATCACTGTTTGGGTTGTTTTTAAAGAAGAGTTGCATCTCATTTCATCACATCTGATGGTATGCAATGCTCTGACTCATTCCACCACTGAGGACTGCCGGAGTGAGGTAATGCAGATAATCCCCAGCTACAGGATCGCCTACAGCATCTCATTTTTCTGGTTACATTGTTTTAACATTCAAGACGAGCAAGAGCTTAAATTATTTGGAGTATTATATGATTATTGTCTTCATGATTTTAAGAGTACCACATATTGTGAAAAATATTTTCTATATATAAAAAATGCAATTTTATTTTGAATCAGTTCAAACATTTTAAACTTTCTTGTGAAAGATGAAATGGATCTCTCTAAATGGAATAAATGCATTTTAAACTCTGAATGCATTACAGTTACTACCTTGCCGCTAACCTATTTAAAGGAAAAGCATTCTTTTGGGAATATATATTTACAATTCAGAGAAAATTTAACTCACTGGCTCACAGAGTATAGCAACACCAATCTCTTTTTCATGCCTGGTGCTGGAATTCCATGAATTAGATTGTGTCTTGTTTTTATTAAGGTTTATCCCTCAGCTTGAGAAAATACACTTCAGCCTAAATGTCTCACTGAACTCACATTACAAGAGAAAAACTGATTTGGATGTTCAGTGGCTACTCATAACAAGTAAAAACACATTTTCATGGCTATTTTTCTCAACAATAATATATCCTCTTTGATCAAGAAAACATTTCTGTACAAAGAAACTTACATTTATATTTGCACAGAATGCATGACATAATGAAAACAAGGGTAGGAGCTTAGAGAGTGATATAAAAAAGTCATGCTTTGAAGCACATTTCCCTACATATCTAGCTAACTATGCTTCTTTTTTCTCTAAGACCAAAACCACCAGTACAAGCATGTGATACCTTTTTACTGGCAGTTCATTGGGAATTAAGGATTTGGTGAACATATTTCTTGAAGAATTTATTTTCTATAATGAAATGATTCTCTGTGTGATACTGACTACAAAACTATGAAGGCACATACATACTTCATTTTCACTCTAAAGTAGTCCTACTAAATTTTGTGCATGTTTAAGTTTTTTACTGTCTTAGTGCTACAACAAAACATTGTTGTTTTTTTTCCTTTTACTTTCAAAACACTTTATTTGTATGAATATAGGAAGTTAATAGCTGTACAGAAGACATACTTCTTGAGCTGTCCTGCCAGGAGCTGGAGCATTTCCTTAAGAACAGCCGAAATGATTTGAGGCTGATGGTGGTTTTTTTGTTTGTTTTTTACATTTCTGAAACAAAACAATTCTTATTTTCTTTGTAGAAGAGTCTACTGACTGGCAAGTAAACTCTTTTAATTCCTTAGCCTGCTTAGGCACTGGCAGTTCTTACTCATTTTATTTTTAATTTTTTACCACCTAGAATGAAAGAGCATTCAAGCAACTGAGAATAAAACCCAGGACGAAGGTTCAAATTGTCATTCTAAATAAAATTCACCCATAGAACATGTCAAATTAAATGACTACAGCAAGGAGTGCACCATAATATAATGCACCATAATTTTTTAAATGTTGAGCTTTAACCTAGGAAACTACAGAAAAATTATGTGGGAAGGTGACTAAGTAACCAAAGGCTGGCTGCCAGGAACTTCTGATTATTGATTGAGTAGCATGTTGGAGACATAACCAGATGAAAAACAAACAAACAAACAAACAAAAAACAGGACTGGGCAGATAACTGCATGCTACCAATGGAGAATGTAAGAGAACTTTTATGGAAGAAAAAAAAAAAAGAGAGATCGAATACATTTTCTTGGCATGACAGCTTTTCAAATGCAAAAGCTTTGCACGTGTACACAGCACAAAAAAAATCATATGTGGTACAAAACCAGTCTAACATTTCAAGCCTCACAAAGGAACAGATTCTTTTCTGTACAACAGGACACACACTGTGAACGTGCATAACATTTCAAGACAAAAAGCAGGCTTCTTCTCTCTTCCTGGTAGATGGGTAGGTCAAAGAAATTATTATTGTCAGTGAGTTTTTCATTTCAGCAGAGCAGACATTAGAAGAATAATATCTGTCCCCTTAAGCTTAACAGCAAAATGAAAAACTACTCTGTTCTTCCCCTTCCCTCCACTTCATGAAATGATGTGGTAGCAGACTTCCAGTGACATCTTTCTCCCACAAAGGCTTCCAGACTTCAGCTTGTCAAAACTCAGGTGTCTTTATCTGATACTAGAAAGTGAAAAGAGCTAATAGCTATCTCAAGAAGTAGTGTATTAATAAATTAAATCTCACAAAAAGCCAGCTTAGCAGTGACTAAATAAAATTGAGCTGTTTATAAATAGGTATTTTTTCCTTCACTGTGGCAGCTGTATTTACTAGAAAAACACCGAGAAGTTAAAAGCTCTGTTCTCTTCTCAGCTTTAACCCCACATGGAGGTTTAATTATGATGAATGTATACCATATTATAGAAGCCAATGTCCACAGGAAAATTAAAATCATAGGCCTTACACTTTTGTCATTTCCAGTGACAAAAAAAAATAGTAATTGTAAAACTAGAGAGCTGAAGTTGCATAAAGTAGAAACTATAAGTGTTTTCCTGAAGCTGAGCAGTGCCAGCCTCCCTCTTCCCCAAAAAATCAAACATATAAATATTTGCCCTCAAAGAAATTACATTAATATTAGATGCCAGAAAAGTCCCCCGGAAAAAAAAAAAAAAAAAAAAAAAAGAGAGAGAGAGAGAGAGAGAGAGAAGGTAAAGCAGAATCAAATGTGGCCAATCCCCATCTGTTGGTCAGACTTCAGAGCAGAAATATCTGATTCAGCACCTGACACAGACCACAGCAATTAGGCCTTGGGGCTTAGTCCTGTTCCTGGACGAGCCAAGGAGCAAGAGAACTGAACTCAGTAGAGCAGAAAGCATCCACTGGAGCCTGAAGTTAACCAACACACGTGGTAACTGTGAAATACAGTTTTCCTGAGTGAAAATCTATACTGCAGAGGAAGAAACTGCAGAAAGTTAAAGGTGCAACTTTACTTTATTTTTCAGTGTTTTTTTCAAGAATCTTTCTTCCTGCATAACCAAAACTGAACAGCACAGAAAGTCCATGCTGGGCAGTTATTCTAGTGCTGCTAGCAAAAAGGAAAACCAAGGCAAAGTAAAATATATAGCAATCGGTCTTTTTATGGAACAGGAGAGTGATGAAACAGAGCAGTAAGAACCTTTCTCTTTGAGCACTTTGAAAAGTCATTTCTGAGCTTGCAAAAGGGTGAAACTGTTTACACACTTTTTGATTCATTCTTTTTAAATTAATTTTACAAACACTGAGCTTCTAGCTACCTTTGTCTGGGGACGAATGCTATTTGCAGCTGTTTTTGTCCTGCAGAACTGTTTTTCACCAGCCTTTCGTTACACTAGGAGTGCCTTCTGAGTGTAAGGGATGGGTAGGTGAGATTAAAAATTAGGGAAAAGAGAACACATTTCAATCTCAAGCTCTTTGAAAGCAAGGACTAATGATTTTTTTTTTTCTATACTTTTACACAGGAACTGCAACTAGCTCTCTTTCCAACACATATTTTTTTCCAAACCTTTTTTTTATTATTTCTTCTGCGCATGCCAACAAACACTGGAACTGCTTTAGACAGAAAAGACTGTAAAGTAAAAAGCAGTACAGAGGTCAAGTAAAAATACCCACTTTTCCTCATAAGAGGCAGACCATAAAGATACAGAGTGAAAGCCAGTTGAATTTAAAGCTGATCACCACTCTGAACAACTTCAAGTTCACAAAATTCACTGTCTTGAGAGAAAAAACAAATGGGCCAACATCATCTTTAACACAGTTAGAATGCATTTGGGTAAGAAATACATGCCTCAGTCTTAGGAATATAAAACTATTATCTTTCTGTGGTGAATCAGTGGCCGTGAGAACCCCTGCTCTACGTGGAGCATCACCTGCTCCTCTGCAGCTTGAGATGTTGGGCACTTTGTTAAGGCAGCAGCAGCAAGTGCTGAAACCACGCAGATTACTCACGTGGTTCAAGCTGATGCTTGAGGGATGAGAGAACTCCACAACCTACAGGATTGATTCTTAAGACAAAAAATGGACTGTATGGGCCATCAGTGTGGTTTTGCAACACCTATTCTTTGTTCCCATCTTGGATACTTTTTGTCAGAAGCTTCTCCTGGTAACTTACATTTTCTAGGAATTGTCTCTGTATATTCTCAGCAGCAGGATCTAACACACTGAAAGTCAGGTTGGAGGACTGCATTTAAACAGCACTGCCCCGCAAACTGATGAAAGAGCACATTTGATTAAGGGTGATCTCATCAACTATATAAAGATTCACTGCTACAGTCTTCGATCTTTTTTCCCTAGACATCATTACCCTGAAATATGAAATGAGATCAAGGAAAACAGGCAGATTGGGGGGCAGAGTGAATGCACAGAAGCAGCTCTTGAAAGAGTTATTAGTCAGCCCGACTTTTATCTCCAATGTTTCCCACTTGTTAGCAACTGTTGAAGGATGACAAGTAAAAAGAACTGGGAAAAGATGGAGGGCAGCATCTCTCTAAATTAAAAAGAGTAATGATGCCAAGTTTAGCGTGAGAATCTACACTCTCTGTGCATTTTACTCCTGGAAAAAAAAAGTCTCCTTCAGGTAAAGCCCAGGATTGTTTTAAAAGAAGTGAACACAGCCTGGGCATCTCTCTGTTGATCAGTAACTTGAAGGATTTGAAGGCTGCACTACAAAAAAAAAGAAGATATCAAAGATATGGCCTTTCATTTAATAGGTGAGTGCTGAATCTATTGGAGATGGATGGGAGAACTGTCTCCTGGCTTCAGCTAAATACTAGAAAATGTTAAATTCCTACTCAAAAAAGTAGATTTTTTCCAGAAGTTCTATGCAGGCAATAGTCTAGCTAGGACCATAAAAGGATGATTTGATACTTCTAGAAAAAAAATCTGGGGTTACAGAGGCCCTCAAAAACAAAACAAAACAAAACAAAACAAAAAGAACAACAAACGGTCCCAGCATTTGACAGCGGCTACCCCCTGCCAAATAGAGTACTAACTCACAGAAACACTGATACATCAATACAATTAATTGGAGCAATTTTCCTTTGAGGTGCAAGGGCCAGTACAGATGTTTGGTAGCAGTAAAGGTGCTTTGGAGCCACACAGCATCACAGTACTAGCAATAAGCAAAATGAAAAACAAACCAGGAACAGTAAGCTTAAAAAATTTAAATTACTTGACTCTAAAATTTGTAATACCAATAAGGTTGGCCATTATCACACTGAAAACCCAAGAAAGCTAGAGAAAGTGTTCAAGAAATAAATATTAATCACAATACGACATGCTGAATTAATCTTGTCACAATCTGTAAACCTACTCTGATAACTCTGCTTTTAAATCATCTCACAGAGGACAAATTCTCAAAAAGTTAATAATTTATAATAACAAGAAAAAACAGAATTATGTTCTTCATGTCTTTGTTTACATCATTCTTGCATCAGGAATAGTGCTTTATACTTCATTATTCCAACAGCAATATGTCTGTGTTAGGACAATAATTACTTTAGTGATGGGTTGTCTACCTATAGGAGCTGTTTTATCTACAAGGAATTAGTACTACCACAGCTACACTGATCAGCGATAGTCAGCGTTAAGAGTGACAGCAGCAAGACTGAAGTAGGACTACCAGTCAGAGACTTGAACAATTTAGCACAAATCATGTAGCTACTCTTTTACTACATGGCAATTTGTAGAGATCACAGGCTAAGTGTGCTACTACCTACAGTACTTACCTGCTCTTGTAGATTACTGTGTAACTGCACTTAGCAGTTCCATATGCAATTAGCATGCAGCCTGCACTGTAGTTCAGAACATACAAATAATTATGAATAATCATGAGGGGTCAGCTCTGCCGTGACACAATACTCACCAAGCATTTTCTCATGGACTATTTCCCTTCTATTACAAACCCCAGTCTAAGTCCTGAACCGGGCACACTGATTCAGTATTTCCAGCTGACAGCTTCTGGATCATGCGCATTGATTTAAAAGTGATATCCAGCCTTTGATACTCTCAGATGAGGAGCATAAGAGATACTTCACCTCTTTGTCCCCTGCTTGTATAAATCCTTTTTGTTTCATAACAAAAGGTTATGTAGATGCTACGGAAGGTAGGCATCCCTTGAGTTTTCTTTACTTGGTCCAGCACTAAACACATAAAAAACTTATGGCTTGTGGATTTGTTTTTGTATTATTTTTTTTTAATAATTGTTAGAGAATTGGAACAAAACTTGTCCAGAGAGTTTGTGGAATACCCAAAAGCTGCCTGAACATGGTCCTAAGGCAGTCTGCCCGAGCAGGGGTTCAGACAAGAAGACCTCCAGAGGTCCTTTCCAACTTCCATCATTCTTTAATTCTGTGAAAGATTAAGTTCTAGTTGCTTCTATTTTTAAGTATGGAAAAAAGTCAACTGCAGAAATAACCACTGGATAACTATCTTTGAAGAACCAATTCTCTGAAGAAACAGTAAAAATTATTCAACTGCTAATGCAGGAGAAATGTTTTCAGAGCTATAACAAAACTGCTCGTGGGTGCAATTCTGTTTGAGGTTTTGACTTCATCGACTCCAGTTTTCATACCCTTTCAGAATCACTGCTGGAAAAGTTATTAACTGTGACTGTTATAGCTTCCTCATATGACTGCAGCAAAATTCTGAGAAGAAACTTCACTAACGGAAATCTACATCCTACAGGCTTAGTCTATGATGCTTCTGGATCACATTTTCACAGAGTTGTGGTGGAGATACAAAAGCAGACTGCACTAACCATTTTGCGATTGAAATCCTTAGTGTCAAATGTAAAATAAAAATATATATATTTCTTTCTGATTAGGTGAGGAGGAGTCAATGCTCAGCAAAGTAATGTCAAGAATATGTAAAAAAAAAAAAACAAAAAACAAAAAACAACACCTTTTCTTGATCTTCTTAAAGCTGAAAGCACACATGGAAATGCAATACTTGTGTCTAACATCTTAAATATTCAATAAACATAGCCTGAAGCTCACCTGAGACTGCGAGATCGAGGTCTCAAGGCTGGAGAATGGCGCCCTTCTTCATCAGTGATGCTCTCAGTACTGAAATGCTTTGTCAGGAAATGAAGTTCATCTGCCGTGGGCTGAAAGGGCAGCTGGTGCAGCTTCTCCTGAGATGAGCATGATGACTGAGTACAGAAAAAAATACAGAAAAGAAATGCACTAAACGCATGCATAGGGGTCAGCTAATGAATGGAGGAGGAACGAATTCTGCCAGACACTGCACACTCCAGCGGAAAAGAAAGCTACTTATCAGACCAGGTGCCTCTGTTTAATGTTCTCTTTAGGCTAAGCCAAACCATGTGTACAATGACAGAGCTGGTGAGATCAGGACAACTTTGGGAACAGGCTAGGGAAGCAATACATCTGATTCTGGAACTGTTACATTTGATCACGAAGGTAATTTACTCTTAGGAGACAGAAAGGAATATACATGAACAACAGTGCTACTCTGGAAAGGACAAGGAGGTTCCTGGAGTGGTGAGCAACTTTCCTTTTCCCTCATGCTCTCTTAGCTCAGGAGTTTCACTGGCATGCAGAATGCTATGGAGCTGTGTAGACACGGGAGTTTTTACTTATTATTGGCTCTCAATTGAAATTGCTACTGTAAACGGTTTGGATTTTATTTCTCCATGATCTCCATTTTATTTCTCCTTTTCTTTACCCATCAGGCTTCTTTTCTAGCCAGGTAGGAAATAATAAAATGAAAGCAGCTGACTTTGTAGTTGCATGATTAATAGTTTCCTTTTACAAACAGTAAAGCAGCTCATTCATTTTTAAATAAGTCAATAAATTTATATGACATGTCCTATGATAATGATAGACATGAAATAGATTTAATTCTTGAACCTAAAGAAACCTGAGCTCATAAGATTTGTGGGAAGTGTGAATAACATCAAATGTTGGATGTTCCAGGGGAAAACGCTGTAGGTCAACTAAAGAATACACTTTTTTTGTGTGATTATTTTCAATGTCCCTTTCAATTTTTCAAAAATAAGTAAATGTATTATGTAAGGACAAATTTAAAATCCTCTGAAGTGCTAAATAACCAGAGCAGCAATGAATAACACCACTGGGCCTTATGAAAAACACCATACTAACATAAGTTCTGAGGCTTCTTCTCAGTCCGATGAAATCTTTTGTGCACATTTTTCCAATGGAAGAACTTTTGCTACAATGACCCTCACTGTAACTAGTAAGCAGAGCATCCTAATACCAGAAGTAATAAGGAATTATGCATCACATGATATGTATGACCAAAGTTTTAACTCACCTAGTTTGCTTTTCTAGACTTACTTGCTGTTGATGGTTTTTGGAAAAGAAAGCTAACAAGAGTGGCTGAGCAGTGAAAGCCAAACGCTAACAAGGCTGCTCATTGAGTCCTGCATGTTTGTACAGCTGGTAAAGAAAATATTCTGAGATCACCTAAACCAGGTGCATCCAAACTCGCCAACATAGTTACAGTCACATTTGAACTGAAGAAAAACTAAGCAGATTGTTGCAGATCCAATCACCTAACACTATCTTATCTGTAGAGAATTCTAGCCAAGACTGAGCTGAACTGAATGTGAGAATGCATAAACCTAAAGATCTTATCCTTTGATAACAGTGTAATTTTTTCAAGAGCCCAGATCCACTCCCTCTTCATTGCACAGAAAAGCACCTGCCTGAAAGCCTTAGGAAATCCCCAAGCACAGCAGGAACAGGGAGCCACAAATCCCAACTTTGGGCAGGTCTAGAAGGACCATGGTGGGAAGTCACATCTAGCAGTGTCTGCCTGGTGACAATTACCCAGATGGGGGCATCACCTTACACTTGTCTAATCCACACTGAAGCCAAAACAGAGTCGGAGTAATTGACAGCCCTTTGCCCACAGCAATTCTGCTGCGCACTCTGCTTATGCCTATCTGGCAGGAAAGAATTTCTCGCCGTATTACAGAATTATGCAAGTCCTTCTTGGCTTTCAGAGCTTTCTTTGATCACCTGTCTTACACAACACAAACAGGGGGGAAGAAGCACCTGCTTATGCAAAAACCACAACACTTTTCAAAGAAAAGGTGTGTGTCAGATGACATCCTATTCGTGCTGAATAACACCCATCCTGCAGAAGAGCAGGAAGTACTGAAGACACTGGCTAATGAAGTGCTGCATTAACAGGTACTCGAGCTCTGGCATTACGAGCGCATCTCTTATTCAAAACAAAATTAAACTAAAACTGCAACATTAGGAAAATTAGCACATATCAAGTTATTAGTTACTAGAGTTGGAAGAGAAAAATCAAACCTGAAATTCTAGAAAAACAACACGTTTCCCAACAGCAAAGTCACCGGGGAAGCTGCGTTAGTCAACTCACAGATGACCCACCAAAAACCTCCTTCCGTTTTCTCTCCTTAAAAGCAATTAGATTGTAAAGTTTATAATTCCAAGGAATAATTAAGGACAGCTCTGAAGATAGTTTCAGAAATAAATTATTTGGAAAAAAAGAATTTTGGAAGAAAGTCTTTACTTTGGAAGGAGTTCTTTACTCAAAGGGTGGTGAGGAACGGGTTGCCCAGAGAAGCTGTAGATGCCCCATCTCTGGAAGTGTTGGCTGGATGGGGCTTTGAGCAACATGGTGTACTGGGAGGTGGCAGGGGGGCTGGAATTGGATGATCTTCAAGGCTCCTTCCAACCCAAAGCATTCTGTGATTCTATAAAGACCATGCTGAGAAACCGACTTCCTTCTATCAAGGGCTTCTCTAGAAACCTTAAGGCATCCAGCTTTTCAGTGAGAAAACACAAGAGCAAAACTAAATACTTCTGAATTATTGATTTTTATGTAATCACATCAGTGTACTCAATATTTACAGCAGCCTAACACTGCTGGTTACAGATGCAGAATTAGCTAACTCTTCTTCAGTAAAAAAAAAAAATAAATAAATAAAAAAAAGATTAAGCTAATAATATAGTATTATATGTTTATTCTGCATCTAGAAAATTAATAGCAAACTAGATGCTTAAAAATAACTGTATATAGTCCCATTCAACTGACTATTCCACATAAATCTTTCACTTGAAATGTCTTCTCCAGCTTTTTCAGTGCTGGCCTGATGTATGTGGTCTTTATGAAGGATAAGTATGTATTTTTTAAGAAGTGTCATCCATCAATTGGAAGCAAAAAATAAAGCAGAATGTATGAGTTTCCACTGACTTTAAAACAAGTAAATGTCTTGGTTTGTTCAGCTGGTTGGTTGGTAGAATAGCTCATTTATGACCACAGAGATGCAACTCAGCTCTAACTGCCAGACCAAAACTCAGGCCAGCAGAATGCAGAAGAAACATTATTCTTCATATTTCATTTCCTACTGATACGTACAGAAAGGTCTACTGCCTTCCTTCTATCTTGCTTGAAAAAGAAACGCGATCTAGAGGACTGATCACAACAAACAGAAGCCCAAATTTCTGTTATGTTCTCACCCATGGCATTAATTCAGTGTGCTTCTGGCAAACCCCTTGCATCTTCTTACTTTAGTTTGAAAGTCTACATAGGAATAATACTGCTTATCAACCTCAGAATTGTTATTAAGATCAATTCAAATTAATTCTAATGTAAGAAATACTATGACAATAAGGAGTATTACATTTCTAAGCCTATCCTAAGTTTAATGCCTCCAACACTGCTTCGGAACTTACTAAACAGCACATTTCAGTGTCTTTCTGAGAGTATAAAACTGGATCAGGAAAAGGAAAAGAGAGTAAAGATTCATACATTTAGAAAAAAAAAAAGTCTTGGAATACAGGTTTGAATCCATTCCCTACAGGAAGGTGAATTCAGCTCCACATTGGACTATCACCACATGTTTCTCATTACTGTCCTGCTTTCTATTTACAGCTTTACAAGACTTACAGAATTTGGAGTGATGTTTTCTATGTGACATGTCTAAGATTTTTTTTTTTCCTGGAAAGGTTCAATCAAAATAATCTCACTGTTTCTGGGAACACGACAAGACAGGAATATTCTATCTTTCCCATGTCAGAAAGCTGAGGACTATCTAAAAGTAGCTTTCATGTTCCCATTTCAAAACAAGGACTGATATTTCCAACAGATTTCTTTTGTTACTTTTGCTCTCTCCATGGACATCTACCCCAAGTCTCATCAAACTATAATTTCTTGAAAAACTTTACACACCAGGAAATAAAGACTTAGACACTGCAGGCAGCTTAGTGTCATCCAAAGGTGTCATCTTCACAGGCATCTGGGAAGCTCTCACAGTGATTATCGATCATCTGACTATTTGGATGCCACCCATTCTGAAAGTAACAATACTTGCTCCATGCTTTAATAGCATGGTGCTTGTACCCAGACGAGGACACAACCATGGCTTATGCTGATAGAGGTTTAACCTAAGACTCTAAAGGCAAAAGCAGAGGTCCAAAAGGTGTTCTCAGGTGCTTGATAAATAATACTGCTTGGCAGTGAAACCAGGGCTGCCATTTTCCTGTGTTGCTATTGAAATTTTCTCCCACATTTTTCTGTTCTCAAACCTACCTATCTGTACACCCTTCTCCTAGGGAGACAGAAATCATGTCACCTGCTTTCTAAGGAGACAAGAAATAAAAAAATTCTGTCCTGAAGGACAAAAGATAACAAGTTGTCAAAATTGTGCAAACTAGAGTCCACAGGAATGTCTGAACATATGAAACAATACAGATGATATCCATGTTGCGAAAAACGGATTTAATCATGTCAATTATACCTAAAAATTTTGAGTCCAATTTCTTCTCCTATCTAGAATGATTTTAACACTCACATCCCAAGGAACTGTGAAGATAAAATTGCATTTGAGGGGCACTAAAAAGTTTATGGATGAATTTAATAGAACATCTCAGAATTAAAATAATGATGCTGCATTCAGAGTGAGATTATTACTCATTTAGATTTATTGCTTAGTAAGATTAATACTCATGGAGTACTGAGTCCTAATTAATGCAGGTATTACAATTATTAGGAACATACTCTAAACAGTAGGTATAAAACAAAATGATCAGTAGAAGCATTATAGAAAGAGGCAATGATATTTGATCACACAGTTGAAGACACTCACCCCGTAACACATAAAAAAGCATGTTAAACTAAGGCTGTAGAGGTAGCCTTGGTGTTTCTAGTCTCTTTTTAAGATTGTTATGTAGATAACTACAACAACTATTTTGCATGAACTAAAGAGTAAGATTCATTGTAAAAAGTATCTGAGATATAAGGGTTAAAATGGTGTTAGTGCCTTCCTGATATTAACTACATATTAGCCTTTTCAAAGTACAGAAGAAGTCATGTAAACTGCAGCCAACCTTCCTAATGACAAGTGAGAAATTCAAAGCATCACTGGGAGATTCAAATTATTGAAGTTGAGTAACAGATGTGGATTATCAAATTTTCCTTCTGCTAGCCTGTTAGCAGGTTTTAAGACTGAGAACTTGAAAGCAGACAAGAATTTCATTTCCCAGTTACAAAAAAGCTGAGTGCTTGCTAGTAATTATGCACTGTCTCAGAGTCCTGACACATTGTGCCTCTCAACTGATCAGTCGAGCCAAGTGCTGCACTGGGATTTCACCAATGCAAAAGGCAAAGTGCAAGATGATAGGAGCTGGGAAATGGAGGAAAAAGCAGCAGAACCAATAATTAAAATAATTTTAAAATAATTAGTAAATTTAATAATGTTAGCAAAACAATGAAGAAAGATCAGATATTTTAGTAAAGACTCAGAAGCTGATTTGTTAGGGTGTGTTCGTACAAACTGAATTGCTTGGAAAAATCTGGGGCACTTACTGAAACTGTTGAACTGGGAGTGTTTGTTCCATATCCTGATGAGGGAAGGGAGGCCAAGGACCAGCGGCGTCCATCCGTTCTATGGAAAGGAAGCAAAAGAAATTACTGTGATAGATATAGTGTGATCAGTACTTGGGGGAAATAAGCCTTTCCCCCAAATCTCTTAACTGCACATTTTTATTCCAGTCTTAAAATACTCAGGTAAACCAGCTATCCTATTTAGAATGGTCTTTGTGAAAAAGCAGCTAGGGTAAGTTTTAAGAGCAAAATTAAGGGACCTTGGAAAAGACAGAGAAAACAGGCATCAGATTCCTGCATAAAGCATTTGCAAATATATTTGCAAATAAAATATAAAATATTTGCAAATGTTGCCAGTTGAGCAAAAACTGAAGTTTCAGGAACAGACAAATGAAATCAGCTCATTTCAAACTTCTTTGAAAAAGACTTGCCTAAAATTATTATACTTATGCAGTTCCTTGTCTCCCAAATAGTGTTGAAAATTGTGAAAAAAAGTTTTCAGATCATGAATCAAGTGAAAGCAGACTCATTTGTTTACCTAGGTTAGTGCGTTTGGCCCAGCTCAGCCACTGACACAGCTGTGAGTCAAATCCACTACAGCAGATCAGAACAGAGCCGATAGGTGTATTTGAAATACAGAGGAAACAGAAATAACACCCAGGGTCTCTTTCTCCTCCGAACAGTATAATGTTAGCAGATATTTACTTATCACAGCCAAAGAAACATGACTATCAGGGAAAATAGCCAAAACATCCTTGAGATATTGCAGAACAGATCGTGTTTTTACCAACATCAGATGCTTGGTGAAGAACCCATACTGTCCTCCTTGAAGCCCTCTTCTACCCCTAAAACCCACCTCAGTGAGGTTGGAAAGTATACTCAATTCAGCTCTGTCTATTGTACTTTTTCAGCCTCTGATCTCACCTCAATCTTGAATGCATTTTGTTTCCTATAATAAAAAACACGCCCTGTTGCATGTTGGGATGAATGATAAAGAAATCTCCCTCATGTCAGTTTCCCCTTGCTTGCCTGTTTTACTCGGGCAGATTATCAGTAACTGGTCATAAAGTGAAACTGAATTAGAACAGTTCATTGTTCTAACTGGCTTTGGAAAGATTTGGGGGTTTTGTTATAATTTCATCAGTCCATTTACGCAGAGCATTATAAAATAGCATGCTTGGTATAGGTTTGACATAGTGCTTATAAAAAACCTGTTATCATCTTCATAGTAGTATTTCTCATGCTGCTATGAACACACAAAGCCTCAATCTTCAGAAAAAAGTTCACTGCACACCCACAGATCTGTTAATATTTTTTCCAGATCTTGTTCCTTTTATTATCTGGTACTCATGCCTGAAAATACCTATACCCTTCCTCTTTGCCACCTATTTTTGAACAATAGGGAAATAAACCCACTGTTCTACATTACTGAAAGAATATTGTATCAAGAGAGTTGTTAAAAAGATTCATGCTTCATGCATAAAAAATAGCAAGCTGTAATGCAGATTTCTATGCATGCATTCATTATAGCTAAACCCCATTTAGCCACAGGTGATGTTTTCCTTGTTATGACAAATATGTGTAAAAGAACAACCTCAAAAAATTCCAAGAGAAATGAAATTCCTTTCTTAACCCTGAAAAACAACAAAGGCCAGCATTACAAAGTCCCTGTGCCCTGCATTCAGGTACTGAAAACCAGCTGTCAGCTACAGAAGCTTCATTCAGCTTCTTCTAACGCACAGGGGTGCTGGGAAGATCTTCTGGTCAATGATTCGACCTCAGTTTGGACCCTCAGTCCCTAAGCAGGCCAATATGTTCCCATCTTCTCAAAGAGTAGACAGGAATGTACAAATCACTCATTTCTTGCAAAAGGAAAGCCTAACCCCTCTTTCACTGAGTAGCCTAAGTTGTGCATTGAAAATACTTCAGTATTTTCATTTTGACAATGTTAAAAATAAATAAATAAATCCTTCTCCCTTAAAAAATTACAGTACACCTCTTCATGCTTGGGCTATTTTCTACTGATGCAATCTAGGCAAGAAATGTGCTAAGCAGTCAGGACAATGGATATCAGCTCTGTATCTAGCAGAAGGAAGTGGGACGAGAGAAGAAATCTTGCAAATCAAAGGCAGGGGGAAAACGACTTGCTTTACAAGAAAATTCCTCCTTCATTTATGCAAAACATTTCAAAGCTACTTCAGTGTTTTGTTAATACAAATTTATTTTTAGAGAGACCTTATGCAATATTGCTTCAGGAAAAGATACTTGGAAAGAAAATTTTAGGTCCTTTATTTTTTATTGTAAAATAAACTTAGCTAGAACAACAAAAACATGGGAACAATGAGTTTTGCCTTTAAAATGCCATTTTAATAAGTTAATTAACAAGGTATTTTTATGGCAGCTATAATGCTATTTAATGAACATAAATTAATTTTCAAACAAGGTGATAGAAGAACAAAGCATCTTCTCCCAGAGCACTACCTGTTTAACATTTTAGGTCAAAATGCAAAGATTTTCTGTTTTGATTACCAAAGAATAAAAACTGAATGCCTAAATGGGGTTATAATAGCATGAACTTGTTAGGAACACAAGCTAGTGCTCAGCTGCACAGAAGCTTAGCTCACAAACACACATACACCAGCAACATGATACACGTTACCTGTCTGCTCTGTGTCCGTGGCTGTATGGAAGAAATTGTACAATGACAATGAGGGAGGGAGAAGTAAAAGATGCACGTGTGATTTTGGAAAATAGACACAAACTCATATTCTGTTACTAGTATTTCAATGAGATCGCTTTTACTGAATATGGACAAAATTAGTGATACTTTACCTTAATCACACAAGAAGATTTCTGAACGTGTTAACTTTGTGGAGATGAAATAGTCATTGAAAGGGTATCCAGTAGGAAATTTATGATGAAGCACTAGCTAAACTAAGGACAATCTTGCACAGTCCATAGTAGTGAAATTGGTTTTAAAATAAAATGAGTTTTCCAAACGCGATCCCTACTGCTTCCCAAGAATCAACTCATGACAGGGCTATAATCAAAGAACGAAAATCACAAGAGATATCCAAACAGGATAACAAAAGAAGAAATTGCATCAAATACAAAAGGCTGAAAACCAGCAACAAATCATTTCTTTGATGGCAATGGAAGAAATCAGGTAAGAACTCTATTAAGATCCAAACAATGCTTATCAAAAGGGTACAGCAAAATATTTGTTTGTCTGGGGTAACAGAGCAAAACATTTTAAATTACTTAATACCATACTTGAAACAGAAGTTATTCTGATACTACTGCCTGATAATATAATAGGTATGTATTGTTACTGCTGGCATAGCTATTCAGGGTGTAATACAAGTAGAAAATAGAAAAAAGGTTCTAAAACAAGCTGTGCTTACATGTTCTTTTCAGTGACAGATAAAGTATACAGAGTAGCATGCATGCTGTAAAATGAACCACACCACTTATTAGGACAGGCTTAACCTGTATTTGTCTATTTCTTTAAAAATCAGGTAAGAAAAGTGGAAAAGTAGGAAAGGGCACTCTTCAGAGTTTTACTATTAAAACTATTGTTTTGTTTGGAAATTTAGAATACAGTAATACTGAAGTAGCTGAAACAGCCAACAAATGATGTTAAGCTTTGACAATGGTTTCAGCAGCAATTTTCTTCCTCTAATCCATTGGCCAGAACTCCAGAAACAGAAAACCAGTAAAAATTCAGTTGACTTCAGCAGAACATAAAGAATACACCCAAATCAGGCTCAGATACTTCTTTAAAAATAAAAGTGGATGAAGTGAGTCCATTTGAATTATTCTACCACCACCTATAACTGACTTTTTCCCCTCCGAGGCAACATGAAAATACATACCCAGCTCTTCACATTTTACATGATTGTATGAAGTTCTTCTAATAATGTGAAGACCAAAGTGTACTTCAAAGAGTATTCAAGGCTCTAGCAATCACCTAACTTGAGAAACACTCCAGGATTTACCTGCCATCCAGACAAAGTGTATACCTGCAGCTTCTCTCTTCATTTCATAAACCCAGCATGCTTCCAAATCCTAACCCTTCATTATTCTTTAAGGTTTTGAGATCTACCCTCTCTCTAACTAATACTTGAGCTAAATTTGTCTTTCTCAGAAAACTTACTTCCTCTGAGAATGACACGTCCTTGGGTAATCTTAACCCAGGTAAGAAACTACAGCTGAAGGAGAGCTTAACAATTCAAAAATATCTTCCCCACACTTGAATCTAGCAATCCTGCTTCCTGCCCAAATCCTGTTTGGGATCACTTTGTTGTTATTCTTTATTTCTCAACTATATTTAACTTTCTGTATCACTATCCACTACTGCCTACCTGCTAGGATACGAAATTCAATACTCCATTTGTTTGCTTCTCTCAGCTGTCTTTATTCTTTCTATCCTATTCCTTATACTGAATTCGTCACTAACGGTATCAGATTTCTTTCCACCAGTTTGATATACAGCGTGAGCAGCATTTGTCTAGCATTCGCTACTGGACAGATGATAGCTTTCCATTCAGGTCTTTCAATACTGCTCTTCTTTTAGCAGTTCTGGTAGACTTGCAATTTCAATTATCAGCTATTTTCCTCATTAGAGCGGTAATGTACTCTTGACACCAATCCCCAAGACAGCAGAGAAAACTAAGAAGTTGTTACCACTCAGAAAGCAGTGAATGAATGCAGTAGTGCATGCCTAATTTAGGTACTTTTGCTAGGTCTGCACAAAGACAAACAAGATCAGCACACTTACAATACACCTCAGTTACTCAGTGTGAAGAGGATCTAGGATTACCTCTGAGATAGAGTTATTCTAATCATAATTGGCTTTTACATCATTTTGACTAAACTGCTTGTTTATGGCCTGTATGTCATCTTTCTGGAAGAACACTGCCTCTTCCCTAGTAACAGTATTTACTACTTTATATACTTTATCATATTCTATGTCTGAAAAGTACCTAATATGTTCCGAGTGTTGCCAAGACCTAAACAAAAAAGAGTAAAATAGAACTGCAAACATCAGAGAAAGTAAAACACAGCCCCAAAATTTGTAACCCGTAGGCAATTTTTAAGGTACACGCTATTTTCCTGCCAATCCAGACTGAAGATATATTCACTTACCTTCGGGCAGGAACAAAGGAAAAATGAGCAGGTGCATTTGGTGAGAAGTTTCTGGGACTGTCCAAAGGGCTGCTACCTGTTTGAGAAAGCAAACAAAAATTAATTCATACTTGCAATGGAGTAACTTCAGAGTAACCATGCAGAAACACTTTCAATTGCAAGTTGTAGCTATAAATAACTGAAAATGTGCTCCTTGAGCTCTTCATGACTTATGCATTAGTTTGCTAAAAAATATTATTATATGGATGTATCAGTAGTTTCCCTCCTTTTAAAATAATTTAAAGTGTACATTTTCTTACTTGCTTTTAAATAAGTAGTGCATCGTATATACACAAAATACAATATGTATTTTACATATTTTGTAATAATTCCCACATACAATCTTTACCTTACACTTCTCAATGAAAACCCTAGGTTAGAAATGACATCGATGACACTTGCAGGAATAATAATAAGTAATAAGAAAGCATCTTTATGCTTAAAGTGTTTATCACTGCTGAACATAGAATTCACTGAGGAAAAAAGACATACCAAAGGAACTGCATACGATAATAAAAGGACTAAACACTCACGGAAGATAATCAGGCCACAATGTACAGCCTTTACCCTAACCACTGGTTTGTTGAGATAATGCTACTATGAAAATGAAAGTTCTGGTGAATTCATACACTGAGGAAAAATGAATGCTTTATTTTTACTTTGCACAAGAATCTTTTCTCCTGGCTTTGTTCTATGATGTGTAAGCATACAGCTGGTAAGTAGTACAAGCAATGTCTTTTATTTCTAAGTAAAAAGCAACAACCTTATAAAAGCCCTCCTGAAAGCCAGTATCATTTATAGACTAACTACAGAAACCTTTGAAATTTAGAAGATAAATTAGTAGCTTCATGTCAGTGAGTTGACTGCTTCTATCAGGCACATTCTTAAGTGGTTTGCTCTTTCAGATACTAATACAAGCTCAAAAGAGAAACTATCCATAGTAAACATACGCCAACAGCGATTTCTTTGAGTACAGACAATAAAATAACATCAAAACGTGAGCAGGAAAACAAACAGACACTGGACAAACAATGCACTGCATGGTATATAACTGGCCTCATCAGAAGTGTCTTCGGGCTTAGATCCCACATAAAATGCATTTATTCTAAAAGTCATGTTAGACAAGAGCAATAGGTCAAACATCAGTGATGAGTCACCTGCAGAGGACTTGCCTCCACTTCAGGAGAAGCACTAGGTGCCCAGCTCACCCCCTAGCCCAGTCTGTGAGGTTATGTTTCCATCCAGCACTGTGCTCGAGCTTATACCTTTGCATTCATTTCACCACAAGTTATTCAGGTACCTTAACTGCTATGCTGAGCAGAAACTGAAGATAAGCACCGTGCTCATTCGAAGGTTTGCATTCTCTCACACTTCAGCCACAACCGTTGTTCACAAAAAACCTGCAGCAGCATCGCTTCACAACTTCTCATGAGCGAGGTGTGTACAGGTGGGGAAGGGGAGAAGGAGAAGGAGCTGATGCCTTCTCCGGCATGGGGATGGCCACGGCACCAGCCAGCACGCTCCATCTGGCCTCCAAGTGCAGGGGGGAAAAAGAGCAGCTGGTTGAGATTAAAGCAGCCCTGGGCTGATCTAGCACGTGCCAAGGGGCGCTGAGAGAACTGGAGAGGGAAGTGAATCCAGAGCACTGCACAATCTGCTTCAGCAACTAAATTAAAAACAAAGGGTTTGAGCAACAAGTTTGTTTTCCTTTGGGTTGGTTTTGTTTTGTGTTTTAATATGTTGTTATAAATCATTAGTTAAGAACTACCAATAGATGAGTGTAGTAAGACACAACACAGGTCTTCACCCACAAGTGAACACCATCAAACCCATTCCCAATATATCCCAGGTGGCAGGGGGAGAACAGCCATCAGAAATTAATAACAAGGTGATTTTTGGTGCTTCATTTCTCAAGCTTGGACTCACTCTAATTCTTATGGGCACAGTGGAAAACCAGAGGCATACTGCTGCTGAACTGAGAGAAGGCTGAGCAGTTTTCACAGTCTAGATGGCACTGCAAGCTAACAAGAAAGATGGAAAAAAGCTAAGAGAGCAACAAAACAACTCAACAGCGCATAAACACACATCCCAGCAGCAGCACACAGCTAGGGTTAGGGTTGCCACTTACTCGCTAGCAGAGCAGAAAGCTGAAGGAACAATTTAGATCAGAAGGGAGTGCAGTAGTAGCAACATCTTTAAGCAATAAAGCAGATACTCTGACATAGCAAGGAAGTCTGCCAGGCTTGGTAGGACATGGGTGTTTGCATGCACACCAAACCTTTGCTTCCGATGAATCCTGCTGTGTCAAGACAATCTTTCTGAACAAAAAGCTCATTGCCCAATGCCGTTATGAACAGGCAATGAACTGTCATCGCCTTCTTAATGTCTTCATCAATCTTTTGCAAACTTTCCAGATTATGATCAAAATAGGATTTCAGAATAACTGAACAAATTGGGTAATGACAGTTTTTAAGTTTTGAAATTAACTATGTGGGTGTTCGAAGTCTTCTGAGCCTGCACAATCTGGTACAGAGATACTATTAATTTTTAAGCAACAACTTTTTCAGATTTATATAGCATATTTCCTTCCAGACACTGGAATTTTAATTAGATCCCTCGTGATTTGCTTCAAGTTTTAAAATGAAAAGCAATTAGTTTTTCTACTCAATTCAAGTCTGGGTAAAGCTTTTAAAACAACAACAGGGAGAAGGGGAATTACTACTTTCCCTAAAATTTCCCAGTACTGCTGCATCTGCTATAGCTGAAGGAATTTTAATAAGGAAAGCCGTAGTGCAGTGGTCTCATTCACCAAGACTGATCGAAAGACGATTTATTCCGTTAGCAAAGGTAAATTCCCCTGTTGCTCAAGGGTTGTAGCTGGCTACTATTGAACCTGAAACGACTCTGTCTGAAGGGACGTTGTTACACAGAATGATTACCCATTAGGTAAATCAACACTGTTACATGAATGTTAATAATTCAGGCATGAACCTTCCCTTTTCCTGGACACACTGAGAAGGATGCAGCCAAAGCATCTGTACATCCACTACCTGAAAATACAAGAACTGACCTTACAGGCGAGAGATAGGCCAAAGTCTCAGCTGTCATCTACAAACATGATATTCATCAGACAGGTTAATAAGTCCAAAAGCTCAGACTAGTATCTTTTTGTAAAGCCTGCTTCTGAGATTTGTACACATAAATAAATACAAAGCTGTTGTGGTCTTCTACAAACAATACACTAACATTATTTGCTGAATATTAACAGAGGCAGCTAAGGATCTTATTGCATGCTACAGAACTTTCTGCCTTCTAGCGCACACAGATCTTAGAATAACCAAAATTGTTTAAGAAAAGTGTGTACCACCTCTCTCAAGAGAAGTGAATGTCATGGCTCTGTCATAGCATCCGAGCATCACGTACACAAAATGGAAACGAATGACAGCTTTGATAACCAGGGCAGGATCTGGAGTTGTACATGACATACTCTGCTCACTCTGTACAAGATTTACCTTCTCTTCACAGCACTGCCTGGTCGCTGCATAGATCCACAGCCTTCAAAACAGACACCCCCAGATGCACACTTGGTTCTGGAAGCAGGAGAATCTTGCCCTTCTGTATAGCACTAAACTTTTCTACTGATACTGGGAAAACAGATACGGAAATGGGACTCTGAAAAATATCTTTTTTTTTTCTTTTTAGCCAGAAGGAGGAACTGAACTTGCAGTGAAAAGAGCAGAATAATTTAATTCAGTACTACAGAGCTGCCTGCAAGCAGCTCCCTCCACATGTTATTATAGATGGGAACAGGGACGAGTATCTGCACTGGAAGTCAGCAGTGTGGAAAGTAAACTTTAAAATAGCCTGACCTTTCTCATCCAGCTTTAAGAATCTCTCTTTCCTACTGAATTACAAAGATTATGTTGCTTGTCTGATTGATTTTAAGCTTCACATTTTAAAATGTAACCTAACAGTAACTTAGTAATCCATCTCACAATGTGTACACTGTAATATGTGTACCATGAACACATCTCTGTAATCTTCAGTTGTTTTTTTTTAACAATTCAAAGAAATACACACAAACATAAGGAAAATACTTGTGCATATATACATACCTTATATTTGTGTGTGTGTATATAATAAATGTCTGTGTACATATAGGGAACCATGGCAGGGGAGTTGGACCCAAAGATCTCTGGAGGTCCCTTCCAACCCCTACAATTCTATGATATATAATAAATGCATATATATATATATATACACAATAAATTTAAATTTCTAATTTTAAAAGAAAAAAATAAAATAAATGGAAGGTTTGTAAACCTGTATTCCTAAAGTTCTCCCCTTCAATCCACGTCTGAGTGACTAAGTAGGAATGGTGATTTTCCCATGAAGTTAACAAGCTGTGGCTTTCTATACCAAGGTCCCAGGTAATTTTGGAAAACATTTCATACAGCTTGAAAAGTGAATTAGCACACTTCAAATACACTAAGAGTTCTTGAATCAGAAGTGATTCCACACCCAAGTTAAAAATTGTTTTGATTTACTTCCATCTCAAATGCTTAGACTTCTTAAGTATTACTTTTCCTCTCAGTTTTCTAGGATATGAAATTGCTTGACATCCTATCTTGATGCTGCTTCAGATATTAAAATGTGTATTTTTCCCGGATCAGTGTTCATTAGGAGCTAGGTCTGCCTGATGGACTGTCAGTTGTGATTCATCACACCCCCTGACTTTTACATTACATACAGAAGAGTAACTCCTGCAGCAAGTGCCATACGGAACTCCATTTTATAGTGGTTTTTGAACAGGGTTTTTAACTTTTTAGAAAGCCTCCCTTCTATTTCTGCATGCTTGCGGCTCCTTTGATTTGTAGAAGAGGTTCAGAGTGGCCATGAAGAGGAGCATGTTCAAGACACAAGAGGCCAGGAAGAGGCTGCAGCTTTTCTTAGTAACTTATCAGTGTTTGTGTCTGAACAAACAGATTGATCGATTCTGTTCAAATACTAAACAAATATCACAGCCTGTTCTCAAATTCACATCTCACATATGATATTTCTTAAGAAAATATTTGTGATTCTACTCTAAATTTCATCTACTTTTGTCTTTTGAATAAATAATTATTCTCAGGTAAAACTCCTAAATATAGCACTGGCAGAAAATTCAGCTTACAAGTAATTTATCTTCCTGTTCTCCACTTGCAACTCTTGGAGGCCACAAAGGATGTCCTTTTTAATTAATAGTTTTAAATCCCACATGACACATTAGAACAAAAAGTAGAAATATTTGCTGATTTCTGCTAAAGAAAGATGACATACTACTGATTAGCTACTCTAGTTCTCTAGACAGTCACATATTTCTAATAAAAGGTAAGTTTGTAAAGCCTGAGACAGCATCAAAAATGCTAAGACTAATTTTTTATTTTTGAAGCAGAGAGTGGAGAAAAGCAAATCTAAAGAAAATACAGGTGTTTCTATTGTGAACATTTCTGCCTTTGTTTTCTGAGAATGACATCAACATCTTGTTGCAATTTGCCAATCACAGATACTTCTTTCATATTCTGAGGAGCATCTTTCTGTATCATTTTAGTTAAATGTAGAGCTGATTTAGAATTTTCTAAATCCAGCATACGTATCAATTCTAAGAGCAAGTAAAAAGCACAACGTAACTAAGCAGAGAATCCCTACCATGAAAAATGCCTTCTTCGGCCCACATTTTACAAAGTTGTCACTGTCATATTCACACACAACAGAACCAAGGGAGTTTGAAGAGACATGGAATTCCTCTAGCAAATGCAAGCTTTTTGGTCCTGTAAATTCAAACAAGTTACAGCTTTGAGCAAATTTTCATAAAAACTTGAGTGGTTGAGGCTTTCTCAGGTATCCTTGAATAATGACTTTGGTCTTGTTTTTCCTTTCAATGGGCTGGATGTTCCCTCTCAAGACACACTGCGCTGCGAACAGAAGCAGATGGCTCCTTCTTGCTGAGCTACTACCAATTCGCTGTACTTCCTCAGCATTTCCTTAGTTTCAGTCTCCCGAAAGTATTTACAGAACATACTGCCGTGTAGGAGGAGGAAAGTCTGATTCTAATGAAAACAACTGTTAGTTGTCTTAAACACAACTGTGATGTGCTTCCAGACAGGCTCCACTGTGGATGGGTGCCACAACTGTTTAAGCTGTTTCAAGCTATACACTTGTACCCATTAGGGCCATACTTGAAACACAACCGCCCTGTCTTCCCTGTGTTCTGAAATACTGAAAGCAACACAGTCGTGCTTCACCCACCTCCCTCAGCAATAAAAACATCAAGGGCAAGCTGTTAAATCCTCATGCATGACCCTTTCTAAAAAGCTACCACAGGTTGAATACACATTCTTTCTTTTTCTTTCAAAAGAACATCTCCACACACTTCCCCCTGATGACTAACAAGTAGTTGCCCATTTGCTTTGAAATAAGCATTTCATTGCAGCTGACCTGATAAAACCGGCAGAAAAGTATAATTTTGTTTTTTTCAAACATCTCATGTTGCTCTAAGTAGGAGATAAGAGACCATAGATGGCACACTGCACAGCTGATGGTCTGCCAGAGGCATAGAGACACAAATAAGGCTGTTTCTTCTCTTGAGTACTACAGTTAAACTACTGGCACAAACTGTACTAGGAGACTCAAATTAAGATATCTACTTAAAGGTATACATTTAATTTTACTTGACGTTGCTCTCCTTCTGTTTCTTTTGCTGGACATAAGAGGACTGAAATCCTGAGAGAGTGGAGGTCAGATGCAATAGAGGAGAAACACAGCACAGAACAGATGATGAACAGAGTCCCAGATTTTAAGCATGACAAACATTCATTCTGAAACTGTACGAACCCTGTTATGAGTTAGAAACGGTGAAAAGCTGTGTTCAGGTTAAGTTTCAAAGCATACATCTTGAAGTCGATATGTTCAAACTCACTGCAATGAACACTGACATTTTTGCTAAGGATTCCCAAGCAAAGTAGTCCCCAGGAGTTACCTGCATGTCCATGAAGAGGGGAATGTGGTCGCGGGAGAGTTGGAGATGTGCTGGATGTTACAATCAAACTCTTTCTGTTGCTTGTCCGACAGCTGAAAGAAAGAGATATAAATTATAAGGCATAACCAGACAAAGAAAAGCACCTGAAGGCAGGTCCTGGAGAATGGCTTTTAGCTAAAGAGAAATCTCTCATATTTAGGTCGATATTTCCCCACTCACTCTATTTCAGTATTGACTGCTGGGAAGTAAACACACAGGGCCAAAAGGTACTTTGTCAGCAACAAATGTTTTAATATGCTAGAAGCAACATAAAACCTGTATCCCATGGGCCACTCATGGGCCACTAGATATAGCCCACAAAACACTCTTGATTCACAAATATGTGCAACTTGCACTTTACAAATCACGCAAAAAAAAAGAAAACAGTGAAATACTCCAGCACTTCAGATATTCTTACCAACATCCAAGACAGCAAATAAATCTGTTACAACTACTGGCTATCACCATGAGAAACCAGAGCATATTCTTTAGGGCAGAGTTAAAGTTACATAGTAAAGAGTTAGCACAACTCAGTGGATGAGCAAGACTTTATGAATAAAACTTAAACCCTGAGATTGACGAATCTTCACAAACACATGCAGCAATACCTATCGAAAACCATGCAAAGCGAGTTCCCAACAAGCCCTCTGCTGACTTTATCCCACTCACTGCAATTACTTTGCTCCATACTTCTGTATGAGTGAGTTCAGAGGGGTTTTCTGCACTGGCGCTTAATAATTTAGCCAAAAGAAGAGAGCAATGTGTACCTCCATTTGCTTCCCTGCCTGCAATTGTTAGTAGCAAACTGTTTGGTCCAAAGGTGATAAAAGTTAATTGTAATGAGCAAGTGAATTATTTTCAAATCATGGGAGCCATGAACAAGAGCAACTGGATATTTAAATTCCTTTCTCGTCACCCTTTTTCCCAGTTGGAAAAGTGGATATAGAATACAGAATAAGCAGTCCAAATTCCGTAGCAAAATCTCACAACTAAATATTAACACTATTGCCATTTACTCATTGTACTTCTGACTTGCTTTCTAGACTGCAGAAACATTTCTGCTTACTCCAGCAATTGGCAAAACGGGTGCTAAAACCGTGTTGCTCTTGACATGGGGTGGGAGCAGGCAGGAGCAGGACGGCCAAGCAAGGAGCAGCTCTGAGCAGCTCCACGCCGGGTCCCCGCAGTCGCAGACGAGGCGCCTTCGCTCGCACGGCTCCCGGTGCTGACATCTGCCTCCGTCCCTCCTGCACCGCCCGGGCTGGAGCAGCCAAGGATAAATGCACTCGGACTGCCAAGAACTGCAATTTAATGCAAAGCTATTTTGCTGCCACAGGATACTGTGTATCTGACTATTATTATTTGTAAGCCTTTTTATTGTTGTTCTATAGGAAACTGGAGAACTCAAAGCAGAGGAAAAAAAAGCACAACTAAACTGCCAACCATAATAAACAGTAATAAAGTTGAAGCCCCATTAACTGCTATTCAGGCTCTCTGGTGTACTTAAAGCATTCCTCAAAATTATCCAACTGATTCCATACAATCTTCATTTACATTCATGTATTATTCAACAACAGTCCATCCAAAAACTGATTGCCATTGTGTACATCCTATGGCAAAACTAACAGCCTGATGTTAAGAGGCTTAAAATCTCAGTTTATGGATTTCTTTTTTTGTCCTCAGTCAGTCTATTCCAGTAAGTGTTGAAAAAACAGAACACACGATTCCAGGATGGGTAGCAGATAACCGTTATGCTGACATTACTGGACAATCTCACGATACAAAAACGCTGAGTTGTCTAATACCATAGACATGACAATTTCAGAAATTAAAAAATCCTGAGTATTTTGATATAAATTACTATGTAAAAATTTTAGATCTTGTCAATATGAAACAGTAGTACTATGAGAAAAGAGAGCTCCATCCTTTTTGGTCATGTTCTTTTGCTAAAAATTGTTCCCAAAATACACTTTACCACAGCAGTGCCTGGAGCTTGCTATGGAAACTCGGTGTATTTAAATCACGGCATAATGGGGAACACAAACTGTCCCAAACTCAGCTTTTTAACTGCTTGCCTGCATCTGCCAGATTGGACCAAGTTTCCAAAACCCCTTTTCTCTGATATACTTGCAAAGATAAGGAACCAAAAGAGAAAGGGTTAAGTGGCTGGAGAGCAAGCACAGCTGAGGCCCATTAAAATAGGTCAGGCTTACCCAGAAGAGGGAATAGCTTTTGAGTGAAAGCCTAGCCCCAAGTTGGGAATAAAACATTATTCTTTTTACAGCCCCCAAATTTGATACTTTCAATTTCACTGCATCTCTAACCAGGGGAGGAGGAACATCACTGAGGCTCGCTTAGCCATGTACACGATCCATGTGTGCTGGCAGTAAGGCAAAGCTTACACACAGAGGCTAAGCCCAAAATTTCTGATTTCTCAAATCCACGTTACAGATCCAGCCGCACTCTCTACTGGTTGAAGAGAGCTCTCTCGATAGATATATAAAACTTTTTAAGAGACCTTGGAATCACAGAGGAATTACAGAACAGCAGTGATGAAGTCCTGGTAGTGACAAAAATACAAAGAAGAGGAGGGGAAGGGTGAGGTAACGTGCAGATCTCAACTGGGCAGCTAGCCCCAGGAAGCCACTATGACAGTGTTTGAGCACCTCCTCAGGAAAAACAGCTAAATTATGGAAATAGTAAAGCTAGCTTCATCTAGAAATTTGTGCCAAAGAAATCCAAACAAGTTGTATTAAGTGTTGGCACAAAGTTCACACAAAGACAAAATACTTTCCTGGAAGATGCACTTGAGCCAGACGCACGGTACTGGGCTCAGTGCTGAGCCACAAGGCCAATGATGAAGAGGAGATCTTGTTATTCATCTCCTGTACTGTATTATTGCTCAGTACTGTTCGCGAATTCTGCAAACAGTTCTCTAAAAATAATTCCATCTACATAAAAACAGGAGCAGAGGGGGAAAGTAGAAAAGGTTACCTATACTTCTGAGTATTTTAATAAGAAAAAAAGAATCTTAAGCAGTCCAGAGAGATTGCAAGCATTACTATTTGTTTATAAGCCAAAGTTTTGGTATTTTCATTAAACAGAAGGCGAGCCTGACCCTGACCCTCCTTTCCTCTCCCAATTTGGTAAGGGTCTCATTAACATGTTGTTTTTTTCTCAGATCCCATTTCATCATTTTAGAAGAGCAAACCCCCTGTAGGTCCTCCCAGTTTAGGCAAAACCTGATCTCAACCCAGGGGGTCTCAGTTCTGCCCCAGCACTGCAGGGCAGAGCCCCGGGCGTGGGGCTGCAGACACCTCCTGCGCCACCCAGCTCGCCCCCGGCCGCCTGCCAAACCCCAGGCTGCAAACCGGAATCCAGAAATCTAGGAAAGAGTTACAGCAACTTGATTTAATTCTGACCAAGCACGGCAAAACGGATAGTTTATGTTGAAATACTTGAAACAATGCCTTTGCCATCACTACGGAAATAGCGCTTTTACTATCGCTAGAGTTAACTTCTCTCCCGGCAGTAAAAATAACATTTGTTACGTGTACTGAAGTGTTCCAAGTGCATTCTTGAAACTGAACACTGCAGGACATCGGACGTGGAGCTGGTAACTGGACACTGTTTTTGGACCCACTGAAATGTCCTCTGGAGCCAGCGCCCTTGTCCAGACACATTTACGAGAACATTTGGGAGAATACCTGCGAGCTGCATGCAGCTTCAGCGCTCCTCTTCTCCCTCCTGACAAACCTTCGGCTAGAGACCAACAGACGACCCAGTGCTGAGCCTCTACACAAGTAGTTCACCTTCTTTTGTATTCATGTTCAGTCTGAAAGTGTTTTGGTTCGAGCATAAATCAGTGTTTCATTCTTCATGTTAACAGTTTGCTCACAGAGGTGTCAGTTTGGACATCTCTGACTCTTGCTGCTGCCCGTCTATCAAGCGTTCGTGTAATGAAAGCAAGGGCCACAGGAAAAAAAAAATAAAAATAACCAACCACCAATCTCTAGTAATATCACAGCACTGCTGGATATTAGAAATGAATGATAAGGAAGTTTCTTGAAATTTATCTAAATTTAATGGCCTAGAGAAAATTCTCATAGCCAAAACCTCTGCATATGCAAGTAAATGAGATGCACAGAAAAATCCTAGCTTAAACCACATTTTTTTAGTAATCATTAACGTATATGATTTTTATTTGTGACTTCTAATAGGATTTTAGTTCTGTAAACTACTCCAAGTTGTCAGTGCCAGATTAACCTTTGCATTAACTAAAAACTCTTTCCAAAACAAAATTTCAGAGGTCCTACATCAGACGCGCTCCAGAGGTGATGTTCAATTCAGTGATCCCTAAGCCATGACCACAAAATGGGACCCACAGCTTAGTGACCACACCTACAAAAGGTATCAGAGATAACTTATTCTCCCAAAATGTCACATCACCTAACCAAATTTAACGAGATTTTCCTCTGATGTTACAGGAGTTTAGTTTCGGTTGATTTGATTTACAAAGACTTCTTTATGAGAAACAGACATTTTGGAAATGAAAATAAGTATTTAAAATTTTTATTCACAATGGCAGAAAATTTAAAAAATCCAAAATCTGCATGTCAATGAATGCACCAGCTGCACAGCAATGTTAACTAGATGTGGAAGTTATCGTCTTAATTATAGTAATTCAAAGATGGAAGCAATTTTGTAAGCTGTAGCACTACCAACAACAGGAATAATTAGTTCTCTAAAATAGATAAGAATAAGTAAGCATCTGGTTCAACTGATATTTTTTTTCCACATTCAGAATAGTTTAAAAGTTATTCATCCTAGAATAACTGGAAAAAATGTATTATTATTCATGGTATAGGTTTGGTAGTTCACACATTCCTGCAATAACCGCTTCTTGTCTCTTAAGGAAACACGATTATGCCGGTTTAACAGATGAAGGATGGGAGCACAGGGCCAACAACACACATTTAAAATATCACAGGTTCTCCATTACAACAGGAACAGAACTTTTGTCTTCCCAGCATCACCTCCAGCCAGTGAGGCA